GCTCTATTGCTTAACTATAACTCTCCCACCATGTATGCTTAATGTACCGAATAAGTCTATCTATCTACTAACTCTCCCACCACTAAATATGACTCTACGAAACAAGTATACCAAAAATCATTTAGTCTCCCACACAACTCTAACAAATATCTAAAACTCTATCATAACTAACTCGTAGACTTATCAACTGGCGGGAGTTTTTCCCCCCAAAACTGTGCTGATAAATGTCTTCTCTCTCCAAAGTGGCATTTCTTTTTAATGGCATGTTTCGTAATTATGTTTTTTCCTATAACTCTAACCAAATGACAAACTTGCCTTTTTTCGATTTGAAACTTCCCCCTCCATTTTGGTACTTAACCAAAATTCACGTGCTAGTCTCGCACTTTACCCAAAATATAATTACTAGTTTGACGTCTAGTGATAACATTTGTTTAAGGTTACAACAAAGTTATAAATTTAACCAAAAATCTTTCGTTTGATAACAGATTTGTTTAAATTTTTAAAAACTGCTAGAATGACCTACATTGAGACCATTTTTTAATAAATGTTATGATAGATTTATTAATCTAGTGACAGTTTTATTTCAAAAAATCTGTTGTTTGATAACAAATTTATAGATGTAGAAATAGTGACAACATATTTGTTTTATGTTATGACAGATTTGTATATTAAATATAATCATGAAAGATTTTTTTTCTTTTTTTTCTATGATTTTTATATATTAAATTTATAAAATAACCTTAAAAATTAAGTATTTTTAAATGGTGACTTAATGGAAGAATAACAAAGTTAGTGAGACTAATAATGATTGATTATTTTTAAGTTCTTCAATTTTAGAATTCTAAGTTTTAAAATTTATTAAAATTTTGAAATTTATTTTTCTATTATTTTATTTTATTATTATTAGTAAAAATTATTTAGATTTTTAGTTATTTTATTTTTATAAATTTTAAGAAAATATATAAATTAAAAAAAACTTCTATTTTGTTTAATTTTATATTATGTATTTAGAATTGTTTACAACTTTTTTATTTTTATATTTCTTATTTTTTTTATTTTATGTTTTATTTTTGAGAATTTTTGAGAAATACCCCTTTTGGTGTACCATTTTGGTGTACCCTTTTTAAAAATACCCCTCTTTCTATCCATTATCAAAAATACCCCTTTTCAAATATGAAAAATTATAAACTTTTATATGGTTAATAAGGTACATCGAAATCATCATTACTACTGGGAGACTAAATCCAAATATTTATAAGGTTTTAAGAGGTTCTAAACGGTATTTATAATGTTTTTATAAGGTTTTTAAAAGGTTTACACAGTTTTTATAAAGTTTTTAAATGATTTTTAAAAAGTTTTTAAAAGGTATTTATACGGTATTTATGAAAGGGTGTTTTAAAAATCCATACTATAATAACATAAAAATGAAGAATCTATACTTGATAACTGAAAAATTAGATATCACTACTACTCCTAGTTGAAATTACGTAACTGACTCTACTCAAACTTAACACTAGATTTCAAAAATTTACTAGCCTAAAACGTATCCTGTAATTATTTTTAAACATGCTAAATAATTTGTTATCGCGATAATTTACATATTATCAGTTAAATTAATACTAACACTATTCATTTGTGATTGATAGAATTCGATAACATTGTTCATCCGTGATTAATAGCATTCAATAACTTATTTTTAAACATGTTAAATAATCCGTTACTGCGATAATTTATCAACCCAAACCTCTAATTTTGTCAACCCAAACCGTTAATTACAAAATCTAAACCCTAACCACTACTTTGTCAACCCGAACCAAAATTATATTTCGTTTAATTACATGTTAATAATTTGTTATCATGTAAACCCAAACCCAAACCAAAATTTTAAACATGTTAATAATTTGTTATCGCGGAAATTTATCAACCCAAACCACTATTTAATCAACCCAAACTGAAATTATATTTCGTTTAATTACAAAAATTAAACCCTAACCACTATTTGTCAACCCAAACCGAAATATAATTTCATTTAATTATAAAATCTAACCCTAACCAATATTTTGTCAGCCCAAACCAAAATATAACTTCAAATTTAGTTACAAAATCTAAAGTCTAACCACTACTTTATAAACTTAACATGCTAAATAATTTTTAGTGTTACACTTAATATGCTAAATAATTTATTAACAGTATAAATGATATTGTATCGCGATAAAATTATAAGTTATACGGTAAGTTTTAAATTATTATGATAAATAATTTATTATCGTGTTGTATTATTGTATCATATTGTAAAAGTAAAAAAACATATAACGTATAAATGTTGAATTAAAAACATCTATAATTTATTGATATTTATTATGTTATCTTGCTAAACTATTTGTTACCATATATAGGGGTATTTTTGTCTGAAAATTTAGAAGCTAAATAAAAATTTAAGGGGTATGGATATTTAATTTTATTTTTATTTGGGTACATCTGTTGTAGTTTCCCTTTATGAAATATATATATATAAATTTACACACATATAAAGATAATTTGTGTTTATAAATATAAGTTTACACATATGTTTTTGATAAATTTCAAATTTTATAGTAACTTTTATATAAAATTAGAAAGAATGGTATTTTCAAAAAAATGGTATTTGAAAAAAGGTATTTTTGAAATTCCCCCATTTTTACATTATTTCATATAAATTTGATTAGCTTATTACGACAGACTTAATATATGTGACAGATTTTCTTTATTAGTTTCCATTTTTGAATTTTAGGTTTTTTGGTCTTTTTACATTAATATTGTGTCATTTTAGTAATGATCAGTATTAAAGGGTTAATTCAGTTACTTTTGACGAAATTTGTGTCAAATTGGTTTAATTTCACTTTTTTATTTAACTAAATCGCTAAAAAACAATGATAGTTACGGGCAATGAAAAAATCATTAAGTTGACATCAAAATATTGGGCAAATATACAAAATCTAATCAAAATTTTTAATTTAGGAACTCGCTTTTAAACTATCCAATCATAATAAATAATTATGATTTCAGAATCAATATTTACTCAAATTCGACTGGTTGGTTTTTCTATTTCGTATATCCCTACTATAGTAAAAGAGAAGTACACAAAGGATTCGGGTCGGGTTTTTCAAAAAATTCCGGGTTAAATTTTCAATCGGATACTTGCCAAATTTTTTGTTAAATATTTTTCAAATATTTCAATGATATACACCAGATTCCTATCATTTAGGAAAACTATAATAATGCTAAATAAAAAATATGTCTTATAAGTAAAATTTGTTTATGAATATAAAGATCTCAATATTTTAAAAATATTCTAATTATTATATTAATTTCTTATATGAAAAACAAAAAAAAAATTATAATTTTTTAAAAGTTTAAATATTTGATATATAGAAAAATATAATTTAAAAATATTTGGTATAAAAAATATAAAAATGCATCTAAAATACATAAATAATGGTAATATAATCAATAAAAATGTTAATTAGTTTGAATTAGTTTGAAAGATTTTAATCAGAATAAAAAAATAGTATATGAAAAGAGGTTTCAAAATTATTTCAATCTTTATCAATTTGAATTACCTATAAAAAAGGAATAATATTTTATCAATAGCATAATTAATGCAAAATTATAGAGATCCATATATATCTAGAAATGATTATATTTGAATTTTGAAAAAAAAAAGAAATTTGACAATCACTAATATATTTCAATGAGTAATACGAAATATTTTGGATACAAAAAAAAATATTTTAGGATAATTATTATAATTAACTAAAAATACTTTAATAACAATATTTTATCTTTGTAATTATTAATCATCGAATTACTACTAATACAAAATCAGTCATAAAGAATATATTCCATAAGTTAGTTTAAATAAATTACCTTAAACTCTGAGTTTTCCTTAAAATGTTCTAAATATTTTAATATGTGAATAACAAGAATATTATGGTCTCTTATTCAATATGAAGTATATTAATATTTTTATTTTATTTTTATAGGATACAAGTATATACAAATCTTTCAAACTCATATGTTCTTGTGTGATACATGTGTATACATGATTTTCATGATTTTTTTTAAAATACACGGTTTTTGCTGATTGGTTCGTCACCACATACATTGTGAGTATACAATTTGTTTAATAAACGTTCTTTTATTTAGTTTATAAAAATATTATATTTAATTTCCGAAAACACACTTTTCTCAAAGAATTGAAACCAAATATACATTTCGAAATAATAATTGTTGATACTAAAATGAACGAAATAATAACACATACGACAAAACACGTTAAAATAAAATAAACCTGAAAATATTTTTTCGCGCTGTAGCGCGGATCTAAACCTAGCATACGTGAGAAAGTATACATCCACGATAGTACATATTCTCATACTTGCCAAATTCAACACCAACAATCCATTTTAACAGTTAAAAGTTTACGTAATTCGGGAAAAAACAAAAACCGACACTTTTCATCCGCGCTGTAGCGCGGGTCCGAGCCTAGTTACGATTTAAAAAGGTACAATAACGGGGATATTTATAAATCCTACAAATATGGAAAAACATATAATCTAATTCCGGGTGAAGAAAAAATCATTTGTATATCAATCAAACTCTTTCAAAAACAGAAAATTCATGGATATATATATTATGATTTTTCCTGAATACACATGTAAACAGAGAGAAGGAGCAAGTGGGATAGTGGTTCTTACCTCTGTTTGCCTTCTCACCAGATCCGGGTTCGAGCCCAGTCCCTCTCAAAGAGAGATTTATTATTTGTAATGATGTAAAAAAAAAACACATGTAAACAGAAAAACTAATATCATTCCTTAAAAATCGTGTTTTATGAATATTCATCCATAGTTTTATTTCTTTATAGAGAAAATGGAAAAGTTGCAAAATTTCATAAGTTTTTCATATACTGTATACTTAATATACATACTTAACATACACACACTTAAAAAAAAAGAGTAAAATGAAAAACTAAGAAACTACCAATAATCTTTGCAAGAGCATGATCCTTGTGAGAAATGATGAAACCTCTTAGAATCTCTAATAATGAGTCTCCTTTGTTCAATCAATGAAATTGCTTTTGCTGTTTCATGGCAATCCCCACAAATCCTAAGATTCTTCCTTATGATAATTGGCTCAATTGGACTAATCACCAAAAGCCCAAACGCCATTGCAATCTTCTCACTGTGTTGATTAATCATTTCCTCTTTCACATCTTCATCAACATCATGCAATACAAACTCTGTTTTTGATTTAAATCCCAACTCACTCTTCATCTTCTTCCTTATCTCTTTCAGCTTCTTCTGTATCTTCTCTGATTCAGGATGAGACCAATCTCCCACAACAAACTTATGCACCTTATTACCATGCTCAATGTAGCTACACCCTGAAGCTCTTACGAGACCTTTCTGTTTCATCAGATTCCTTATTCTTGAAGCATCTTTCCACAGACCAGAAGCTGAATAGATGTTTGAGAGCATTACATAGTTTCTACCATCACAAGGTTCTAATTCAAACAGTCTCTCTGCAGCTTTTGTTCCGAGTTGGGTATCTTTGTAAACCCTACAAGCACCAAGCAATGCTCCCCAAACACCAGAGCTCGGCTCCATTGGCATCTCTTTGATCAATCCATAAGCATCCTGAAGATGCCCCGATCGACCCATGAGATCAACCATACATGAGTAGTGATCTAACCTCGGCTCAATTCTGTATCTTTTTGACATTGTCTCGAAATAATGCTTCCCTTCTTCTACAAGACCCGCGTGACTACAAGCATTTAACAAGTGAGTGAAGGCTACATGATCAGGGCTAATCCCATAGTGAACCATGAGCTCAAAATGCTTGATAGCGTCTCTCCCATACCCATGAGTGGCATAAGCAGCAAGCATTGCGGTCCACGCCATACTATCTGGAGAAGTAATCTCACGAAAAACCGTAGACGAATCCTCCAACTTCCCAAGTTTTGCATACAAGTCTAACAACGCTGTAGTTATACACTTGTTTGCATTGAACCCACAAAACATGATTAGCCCGTGAATTCCTTGAGCTAATCTCACTACCCCGACGGCTTCACAGACACGGAGAACAGACAGAAACGTGGCTTGATCAGGCTTATGCCCAACCCTTCTGCTCATGTTGAAGTAAACCAAACCTTCGTCGGCTAAACCATCTTGCAAGTGAATCACAATCATAGTATTCCACGAAACCAAATTCTTTACACTCAAATCCCCAAACAATTTGCAGGACGCAGTCAAATCTCCAGTCTTTCCATACCAATTGATAAGAGCGTTCACAACTTTCACTTCCTCAAGGACACCAGACTTCATCACCAACCCATGAAGGCAACGTCCTTCCTCCTTACTACCCCCATGAACACAAGCCGAGATCATCGACAAACACGTAACTTCATTGGGTCTCAAACCCACCTCAGATCTCATCATCCTCAATAACACCTCAAAACATTTCCCCAGATATCCTCTCCCTGAATACCCAGATATTAACGAGTTCCAAGAGACTAAATCTCTATCAGGCATTTCATCGAACAGCTTCTCTGCACAAACATCATGACCCAATCTCAAGTAACAACCAACAAGCTGGTCCCCAATGAACCCATGGCGATAACTCACATTCTTCACTATCTTACAATGAAGCGAACGACACTGGTCAACGGAGACACAAGAGTTTATAGAAGCGATAAGTGATGAGACAAACGCATCTAAACTCCGAGAATCTCGTTCTTGAACAAAACTTGGTCCGCTCAAAAAGGTCCGATGATATAAAAATCTAAGCTTTGAACATGAATACACATTTGCTTTGATCATCTCTCATCAATCTAAACATCGACACTTCTATCTTGAAACCTTCTCCGAACAATATTACTGTATTAGCGTTCCATGCACAAGATCTTTATATTGTTTAAATAACAATATTTATTAAAATTGTTGCTTAGTGCAGTATTACAAGCTAGGCTTAAGTTCACCAAAAGCCATTACAAGAACAGTGACCATCTTTGAAATGGTGAAACCTGTTTCTGTCTCTAACAATGATCTCTCTGTCAAAAATCTTGGAGATCAACATAGAAACTTGATGACAATCACCACAAACCCGAAGGTTCTTCACTATCCTAATCGGAACATCTTCTTTCAAACTCATTATACCAAACGCAATGGCAGCCTTTTCACTATGCAAACACAATGCATCCTCTTTCTCTTCTTCGTCTATGTCGAACATGACCGGGGTAGTGTCTGCCATATACCCTTCAAGTCTCAGCCTTCTTGAGATTTCCTTCCATGCCGCCTCGATTTCGGAATATCTCGGGTGAGATTTGTCTCCCACGAAGAATTCATGGACCTCTCCATTGACCTCCATTACGCTGCACCCTGGTTGTTTTCTGACTCCCTTAGATTTCATCGACTGTCTAACGTGACTAACATTTTCCCAATCGTCTGAATCTGCATATATGTTTGATAAGAGGACATAAGCTCCGTGATTTGCAGTCTCTAGCTCAAGCATTTTTTTAGATGCAAGAACGCCAAGTTCAAGGTTCTTGTACATTCTAGATGCGTGGAGCAGAGAACTCCAAACAGCAGCATGTGGTTTCATGGGCATTTTCTGGATGATACCCACTGCATCTTCTAGGCGGCCTGCACGAGCATACAAATCAACTAAGCAGCCATAGTGATCAAGCTGAGGCTCTATCCCGAACTCATTCTTCATCGAATCAAAATGTCTTTGTCCTTCATCTACAAAACCAACCACACTGCAACCTCTGAGAACAGACACGAATGTGACGGCGTTTGGAGTAACACCATCTTGTTTCATAAGACAGAAAAGCTCGAGACATTTCTTTGCCAACCCATTCATGGCTAACCCATTCAGGGCGCTACTCCATGTATACACATTCTTCTCTTCCATACCACAAAAAACTTCCATAGCCTTGTCCATGTCACCGCATTTTGCATACAAGTCGACCAACGTAGTACCAAGCCTCACAGTAATTTTGATTTTGTTTCTCTCTATGTAAGAATGAGCCCATCTCCCTTGGTCTAAAGCTCCCAATTGAGTACAAGCCGATAAAACTGAAATCATAGAAACCGCATTGACTTTCACACCTTCCATCTGCATCAAATGAAACAGGTTAAGAGCTTCCCTTGATTCTCCTATCTGAGCATAGCCAGAGATCATCGCATTCCAGGCAACAGGGTCTCTTTCTGGCATCCCCTCAAACAACTTCCGCGCAAAAACGACATCCCCACATCTCGCACAAGCTGTGACCATAGCTGTCCGACACACAAAATCCGGGCAAGAAACCGAATTAAAAACCTTATGACAAGAATCCAGACAGCCAAGCTCAGCATACAAAGAAATCAACCCTGTCTGGACATGCGGATCATTGTCAAAACCACGTCTGATAGTCATACCATGAACTTGAAGCCCTGTCTCACGCATCCCTAACCCTGTGCACGCCTGAACCAAGAAGTTGACAGTGTAATTATCCGGTTTACTACCGTTTCCCGAATGAAGTATCCTCCTATAATAATCAAAGCTTTTCTCTGGAACAGGGCTTTTACAATGTGCTCTAATCATGGAATTGAGAGCAAACAATGTAGGGTTATCAGACCTGTCAAGAATCTGATTCGCATAATCTAAGTACTTCTGGTCACTCAAAGCCACTGCCTTTACAAACTGACCCACCAGATGGTCATCGTTGAGTGTCCCATCAACCAAGAGCTTGGCATGGATTTGTCGGACCTCCTTAAACGTAGTGCCAGAATCCAAAAGAGCAATAACAGGATGTTTCACAATTCTACTCATGACTATAACATCATCATCATCCTAGGCACCTGTACCATTTTAACCAAAGAAAGATCACAATCTATATAACTAGCTGAGCTGATTGATCTTATCAAGCAATGGCATTTAAAAATATTTAGCTTTTCGTCACCTAAAACTTCATTTCATTCAAAGAACTACTAAAAGAGCTCGTTTGGACATTTTAACAAGCATCTGGTGTGCAAGCTTAAAAGCTCACAAAATTAAAATCAGGAACTGATAAAGAGAGAATTTTTAACCTTATTCGACAGTCTATAATCTCCGCGCAGTGAGATCTTTGGGGCTGCAGAAATTTTCCCGGGTTGGGAGCATATCAATTGGTGTTAGAGTCTTTCTGGAACTAAAATTTATTTGCCAATGTAACATTTTTTTTGGTACCTCCTATATATTGGTGCTTTGGTAAAATACCGATCCTACCCTCTTTTGTCAAAAGAGCCGGAGCACAAGTCATTTACTTGGAGAAACTTAAAAGAGTGACAAAGAAATTGCTGCAACTACACAAAGTATTGTACTTTTACTTTCAAACGCATGCAACACACTAAATCAGAAGACAGAGTACAAGACAAAGATCAGAAGACACTTCTAAAGCTCTTAGTACAGACTATACACAATTGGAGGCAATCTGCAACAGTTTCAGGAGCATTCTTCAGTTCCAACTACTCAACATTACTGTTATCTGGATGATCTTGGTTTCATGTGAACATACCGATCGGAATTGTGTGGCTCTTATTTTGATCAACAGAGAAGACTTGTGCTTTGGAATCGAGGTAGTCTTCCTGCAGCAGAAGCTGCGGCAAATGCTCTGCTTCATGCCGTAACGCACCCCTTGCCTCTAAATCACAAGGACATCATTTTCCTCATGAATGCAAAGAAAGTACTGGACCCTTTGCGCAAGATCCTATAGGCTTCACCACCACTTAAAATGATCCACAGTACTCACCCTAACTGTGTATTTTCTTTGAATCATGCATCTGGCCAAGAATAAGGAATACAAGTTTCATCGCCCGCTGCATCAGTCCTCAGGTAGATGATTTGGCAAAGAAGGCTGTTCTAAGACTCGGATCAAGTACTTACAAGATAAGCTGTTTGGAACAAACCCAAGTTTCTGCATTCTTTCCTGAAGCTCTAACACTTTATTATATCCACTTCCCGTGTCACCAATTGCTTTAACAAGCAAATTGTAACTCTCTGTGTCAACGATTCTAAACTCCATAGCAAAGAAACTCAAGAGACTCTCGGCTTTATCGAAATCCAATTCTTTGCAATAACCATTAACCAAAGCCCCACATATAAAAGAGTCTGGTTTCACTTCAGAATCAAGCATTTCCGCCATCAAAGACTCGGCTTCACTGTTCATACCAATCCTACATAAGCAGCCAATAAGAGCTCGGAATGTCTTGACATCAAGTACATGATTCTGCTTTTTGAGTTTCCCTTTTAGAAGCAATGCCTCTTCAATAGCATCACAACGGGACAAAGACTCGATTAAGGTATTGTAAGTCTCTGGTTTGGCCTCATGACCTTCCTCTTCGTTAAGTCTTTCCAACAGATGCTTTGCTGCAAACGGTTTGCCTTCACGGCATAAACTTTCTATCACAAAGTTGCAAACTTCAAATGGGATCTTAACCCTTAACCTTCTAAGCTCGACAACAAAATTAACAGCAGCATGTAACCGTCCTTCTCTCACATACCCTTCAACTATAATCTTACATGTAAACCTATCAGGAACAAGGCTATTCCCAAGCATTTCATGTAACAGTTTCTTCGATTCTTGCATCATTCCTTCTTTGCAATAAGCATAAATAAGAGTATTGTAAGATATACAATCAGGCTTAATACCTCTGTCTACCATTCTGTGAAACGTCTGATGAGCTTCTCTAACTCTCCGGTCTTTACAAAGACCTTTGATAAGCGACGTATAAGTAACTAAATCAGGCACAACACGACGCCGATACATGATCTTGTACAGATAAAACGCGTCTTTCAACTTTCCTCTTCTACAATAACTACTCACTAACGTGTTATAAGTAACTAAATCAGGCTCAAACCCTTCTTCTTCCATCTTCTCCAAAAACTCATCAACTTCTTGAAAATCCGAATCGTTGCAGAACACATTCGTAAGAATGTTGAACGTATGCGTGTTGGGATGGATTCCAACTCTACACATCACATTATACACTTGCCAACAATTATCCAACAATTCCAATTTCAACAACCCATTCAAGAGATGATTACAAGTGACAACACTAACACGAAAACCGGAAACAATCACTTTCCTAAAAACCCTAAACCCTTCTTCAACCAACCCCAATTTCAGATAACCTTTAACAAGCATATCGAAAACAACAGGATCCCAATTGCATTCATCAGTAGCAGAAACCAAAACACTGAACACATCTTCTTCTCCTACTTCTGCATCTTCCTTAGATGTCAAATCAATCAACTCACAGAGATATTGCATAGCTAAAGGAAACTTCTTAGACGAAGCGAGAATGTGAAGCAACAAACAGTAGTTACCTACATTAGGTCTCTTCCCCAAATCAAATTTAACCCATTTAAAGAACACAAGAGCCCGAGAAGCATCAGACTGAAACCTAAGCAAAACTCTGGAGATTTCAGGATAACCCAAATGAGGAATCAGAGTTTCGACCTCGCCACGAAGGTTGGGTAATAAGACGAGATGGTCACGGTGGTTGAGAGTTGAACAGATAACATCAACGATTTTATTAGGGTTTTGAGTCTGGGGAAGTAGATTATAAAAGGGGTTGTAAATGGGTTTAGGTATGTGACTACATCGAGGTATTAACGAAGACGAAGAAGAAGAGGAGAAAAATCGAAGCTTTGAAACTAGCTTATTCATTGAGTGAGCGGAGAAGAAGAGAAACAGACCAGTGGAGACAGTTTTGGAGTGAAACAGGATTAAGTTTTTGTCCCACATCGGTTAATGAAACAATTTAAGTTGACTATATATATTGAGACATGAGTGATGAGCTTTGTGTTCGTAGAAAGGAGAGATGGTTGGCATCTCCTCTGACAGAGACGGGATTTGACCTTCGGGTCTTTGAACACATCCGGTTAAGGCTTTCCACCCTCGTGGTGGATCTAACCCAATTTTTTTTGGGCTTTTTTAGGCTTGTTCTTTCTCTATTGGGCCAATTTCTAAGCCTTGGTCAATATTATGCGTTTTTGTTGTAAACAAGCTATCAACTGACCAAACATACAATTTAAAGTCTTGGTCAATGTTATGCATATTTGCATTGAAATGAAGCAAAACTTAAAAAGCTAAAACCAAATATTATATTTCATAAATAAATATGAGAATACTAGTGGCAATGCAAATTCAACCAATGAAAAAAAAAAAATCATCACTTAAAAAGCCAACATAAATTGTTCACTCTCAGAAACCATGTAAAAAAAACGGCTCGGAGTTGTTGTGAAAACTCAACGAACGGCACGGAGTTTAGAAGGAAAACAAATAAAAGGAAACCTTCAACTTCTCTAAAACACGTACTCAATAGAAGACAAACCCTCTGGACCAGACCAAGGCACTTGCACCATCACCATTGAGTCTTCATAACCAAACTCAACAACTCCACCATCAATCAAGCAGCTCACAGGTTTTCTCGATGCGTAAACCCTAAACTCCCCAGCACCAAAAACTCCGACCTCAACGGATTCATCACGGTACACCAGAGAACTGATCGCACCGCTTGTGTTTAGCATGTTAACCAGTCCAATCGGAGCAAACCGGACTGAGTTACCTTCAATGGTCACAACAGGGGAGACAGTGATCAGCTCAAACTTGAACGGCTCTAAAGTGAGCTCCAGGTCGTCGTTTGGTCCAGACAATACAAGCTTCTTGGATTGAGACAAGAACAAAGCAAACTCTTCAACGTTTGCAATGGAGATTGGGTTCTTTCCACTGTTCCATTCAACGTCACTAGGTCTTGTTGTGGCTGTTAGCGTGTTAACATATTCAGAAAAACACTGGTTGCGTCTGGTTTCTCTGCACCATCCTCCTCCTTGACAGTTAAATGCTCCGATAATTCCAGTATACTGTTGTGGACGAAAAAAAAAAAACAGATCAAGAAACAAGATTGTAATGAACAAACACAAACTTGTGAATCAAGAACGAGTCAAATCATATGAAACTCAAAAGAACCATTGAAATTTCATAATTAATCCAACAACTACAGTCCAATAAGTTCTCATATACAAGCTTTAAAATGGGCTACACTTGCTTCATCTCTAACCAGACTATTTAATAACAACTTGAGCCATAAAAGAGGTTTGATTAGCTACAAATAGACCCAAAAGCCCCTATAATTGTCAGAGTCAGCCAAGATTATATTATCTGCAAAGACCAAACTATATTTATCTGCTAAAATCAAGGTTATCTCATTATGGAGGTTCTAATGGATCCTACTTGCTTAACCCTTAAATCATGCTAATTAGGGTTTCAAAAGAGCCCAATAACAGTCAATTAAGAGCTTATGAAAAGAACTTATTGTTTACCTTGTTCAAGTTCCAAATCTTGAGCATGGTTTTGCCATCATGAAGAGGATCATCAAAGAGACGATCACGAGTCGGAAGAGCATAGTACTCACACCTCAAAATCGAACCGTTGGGCAAAACCAGACGTTTCAAGAGATCAAAATCATGCTGTCCAACACAATCACTGATGTAAATAGGCCCGCCCGAAATGGCACGAGAAGCAGCATGGAACTCAGCACAAGGGTGCGTGGACTGAAACATGTCCCAATCAGGCTGAATGAAATTTCCCATCCAGAGACTGTTGTATGCACAATGGACCATGTGACATCCTTGTAGCCAAAACGTACCGTTTGGATCTCCCGATGGATCAGTACACCAAAAGTCATCACCTAATCAAATAAATCATTAATTTATGATAAATAGTCTAATATCTTTATAGATTAAAAAAATAGAAGTAGAAGACTTACCGACACGACCAAGAGCGATGGCTTCAGTTCCAAGGAACATGAAGTCATTACAATGCTCCATACTTGCAATAACGCCGTTACCGTTAAAATGCTTATTCACTGACGACGTCAACGCCTTGAAGTAAGCTTTGGCCATGTCAACTCTCCCGCCATATTTCTCACACAACATCTCCAATATCTGTAGTTAAAATCAAAAGCCACGTGTCAAATATTTAACGACGATACGGAAAACGACAAAATAATCCGTTAACTCGGACGGCAAACTTACGTGGATGACATCAACTTTAACGCCGTCAATACCGGCGTTTTGAAGATGAGAGTGAAGACCTTCGTAGAACTCTTTCGCCAATTCCGGCGAACAAAGTCCGATACCGGTCTCGATGATCTTGTCGACGGCGAGATCTTCCATCGTGAGTTTAAGTCCCGGCGAAAGCTCTGGCCGGATGATAGTTGACGGCGGCAGAGTCGGAGCTTCAGGACGGAGACCTCCCCAGTACCCACAAAGCGCGTGCCAGACGTAGATGTAATCAACGGTGGAGAATTCTTCTTTCAGATCTCTGACGAAAGCTTTCATCCCGACGTCGTTTTGATCTTTCGGAGACACGTAGTCTTTGAATTTGTGGTTCTCTTCAAACTTCAGAAGCCTGTAAAATTAAATCAAACCGGTGTGAGTATTACAACAACCAAAACCATAATTACGGTTCAATAACCCGGTTAGATTAAGCCAATACAAAATCTCAGTTATAACAACTTACTGTGACTTAAATTCAAACCAATCCGGTTTAAGCATAGTTATACTTGATTAAACCAGGAAGGGATCAATAATCATATGGGATTAACATAAGACTTAGTAAACCAAACTTAACCGCTTAAACAATCGAAAAAATAGAGTGGTAAACCGGAATAAACCAACCTGCAAGGCATTTGTTCACCGGCGACGGTAATATTCATCCCTTCGACATCAATACCATCGGAATCATGTCCAATCGATTGCCAACCGTCGTCGATAAGAACCAATCCCGGCGGACAACCACCGTCGACTAAACACTTAACACCTTTATGAACGCCGTCAGGGTTCACCGTCAAGTAAAAAGCGTCCCAAGTGCACCACCCGAACTTATCGACGATTCCCGGCGGCGATTTCTCATCAAGAAGCTTGAACGTATTCATATGAACCCTAATCACTTTCATCGCGTCTTTCACTAGCTTGAACGGGTCATCTCCGGCGTGGACGTACACCATCTGACGAAACTCCGACCCGGTTACTTGGGTCGACCCGGATTCGACACAGACCGCCACGTCATCGTTTTCACCGGGTTGGAAAGACGAACGGAAGGAGCCTTCAAGGAGAGGCAGCAAGAGAACGTAAGGACGACCCGACCCGGATCCGGATCCAGTACCCGACCCGGAGTTTTCAAGAATGATGATCTGAGTCTCGTTCTCGATGTCCCGTCCGTTTGACCCGACCCAATGAGTAGTCCACCAAACCTTGAAACGGAATATGCTCATGAAACGAATGTTCTTGAGTTTACCGATGGATGCCACGTGGCGGCTTTTAGGCTCACCGTCGAGTTTAAACCCGACGAAAGAACCTGCGGAGACGTCGAGAGGCACACCGTCTTTGTCGGTTAAGTAAGGTGAAGCGGTGAGCGTGACGTTAGCCGGAACATCGGTTAAAACGACGTGACCATTGGCTAAGAGATTGGAATCTTCTAACCGGAAAAGAGGCTTTCCGGTAAAGTCAACACCGTTGGTACCGGACTTGATCAAACTCGGTGGAGCCATTTTGCCCGACGAAGTTGTAATGTTTCGGACAAGAGATGTTTAAGGTTAAGATGGATGTGGTGGTGAAGGAAGTATAATTTATAGAGACTATAAGAATCTTAACACTTTCCAAATTTTGATTATACGATAAGATTATGGATTGAATGAAATGTTCGTTGTACTTATAGAGTCATAGATTTATATGTCGACCATGGAATGTGTGAGAAAGTGAAATCTTCTTCTTTCTTTTTTTCTTGTATTTTTTTCGTATTTTACTGATTTATTTACCTTTTTCATATGTTTGTTTTCATTATTTTTGATTCTTTCTAAATCTTTACGTGGGACAGAGTTGATTTGTGACCATTAGATTTGGTCGTTGTTGATTTAATACGAAGAGAAATAAAATATTGTATAGATGGTTCTAGTCACACGGCTCTCTTAACATTTGTTTTATAAAGTTTTTATTTGCATCATAATTGCGCCTTTAATTGACCTACCGACAAATGTAACTTTCACGAATCGACCAATGAAAATAACTCAAAATATTTAGTTTATAAATATTCACTCAAAACTTGTTAAGTTTCATTCATTTCAATTTTTGATATGGGAAATTAGAGAAAGAAGAAATGTGACAATTCCTAAACTGTCTATATAATCTAATTGATTCGGATGTTTAATGTTTTCAATATAGGCATTAGTCTGATTGACTGATAACGTCACGTTCCTTTTGTATACCAAAAAAAAAGACGAAACTATTTTTGAGACTTTTTGATATTTGATTTCGCAATAGACCTGTTATTAAATTCATTAATGAACTATATCATAGAAGAAAGGGTTCGATTATGATTTTTGGTGGACTTGAAAATGTCACTATACCATCCATGGTCGTTATGTTTATTTTTGGTTAAAGATTTTTAGTTTAGATTTTTTCGATTTAAGATGTTGATTACATTTTCGTTATAACAACAGACGATGCGTTTGTATAATTATGCGATAAATATAATATATATTAAAAACATGAAATAACGTTTAAGTCAATAACAAATATTGGTTTAGGATTTGATTGTGTGTCGGTCTAATGACAACTAGATTAAACTATACATCCACGTATTTTAGAATACGCATGTTGAAGAATTCAAGCCTTAAAAACTAATCTTCTAATTGTGGAATTGATTTTGACCATATTAAAACTACTAGTAGAATTTATTTATGGTGAATATTAATATAGATCAACATTAGAGTAAACGTGGAAATTAATTTATACTACCTACATCTCCAACGTCTAAACTTAATTTCTTATGTCTCTTTCGAATCCTTCATCGTCTCGTTCAAGATGAAATGAGACTGGTTTGTTATTGTTTTATTTGTTAAGACCTTCTTCGTGTGCAAAAGATGTTGGTGAGTGGTGACTGACTTGTATAAATGATTTGATTTTGTTGGCACTCCAGAGAGCATTAAGCAAGAAGAACATTCAAAAAGTCATTATCCAAAATTAAGGGTGATTAGGAGGCCACGTACTATCTCTAATTCCGTATTTCTTGTCTCTTTTACAAACCGACCAAAAAGATTAGGTCATGTAATGTTAGTTTGGATAACAGTCTTTGTGTTACGAGAGAACTCTGCACGTGGAGTTGTTAACACAAAGCCAACGCTTAATTTTTGAAACGTATGACGAAAGTAATCCAACGGTCGTGTGAAGCAGTTACCTTTCTATTTCTTGCACCGACTAAACATAAAACAGATTTTATTAAGTTTACACTTTTTATTTGTTTTAAAATTCAACCATAAACAAGTAGCTGTACCTACCTGATTAAAGAGATAATTGGAGAAGCAAAAACAAAAAGTTCTAATTTTCAATGTAAGAAAAACAAAGTTTTAAATTTTGTGGTTGAAATTTTATGTTTGAGGGATTTGCATTCGTGTTAAATTATTTACTAGGTTTTAGTATTCAGCTTTTAGATGTCATGATTTACAAAAATGCAAGTTCTATGGTTTAATTTTAATGACTATATTAGGTTAAAATTTAAAGGTTATTATTTTAAAACCTTGTTATAAAAATATAGAGTATTTTCATAACATTACTTGCTTGATATTTCCATCGTTTTTATAACTTTTTTTGTAAAAGGGTTTGCAATTTAAAAACTTATGTCTAATGGGTTTACACATATTTCCGGAATATCCCATCTAATAACCCAATATGGCCCAATCCATAACATCAACCAAACTAAATCAATCGAAAAACAAAACCAATCCGGCTTCACAGAACCGAAATTAACCAGTTACTGCAAAACCTAATCTACAAACGAAGAACTCGCCGTAGCCGCCGTCCAAACCTGCAGATTCACACCAGAGTAGGTCTTCCAGTGCGCCTGGACGCCGTGGGTCGAACAGAGAAGGTGATCAACGATCCGTTTGCCTCTTCGCCACCGTAGAGTAACTTTGAGGAAGAGGAAAAAACTGAGCTATCGTTGTCGAAAAAATTTCAGGCTGCCGTGAGATTGAAGACAGCAGGGAGTAGATCTAGGAACCATTGACAGTGGCTTAGGTTCACCTTGCCGGAGTCGACCTCCCCCATCGAGCAGCATATATAAATAAGAGAATATAAAACAAATATATATATATATATATATATATATATATATATATATATATATATAAGAGAAAATCCTTTTATGCTTTTTTTTTCTTTGACAATTACAAACCGTATTTCTTTACCAATCAAAAGTAAAAAAATGATAATATATCCTAGGAAATAGTAGCATTTTGAAAAATATGTTTGTACTTTTACTATGAATTCGGTGCAAAGTCCTAGACATCTACATTTAATTATACAAGAACTTGTATGCCACAACAACAACCTAACATAAATATACTTTTATTTGACTAGCATGCCACACATGTTTTTTTTTTCATGCAACACATGTTAATACCATACACTAGAGATATCTTGACTAAAAACTTCTGTTACATGTAATCTAAATTGTAAAAGTAAGATCCAGTTGCGTTTCAAGGTGGGCATGAGGGCAACGTTTAAACAAACCAATTTGACCGGTCTGTTTTAGTCACTGTCAAGATCAAGTCCTAAATTATCACTCAGTTTGAATCTTATTTTATAGTGTAAAGGGAGTTTTTGATACATTTTATTTCAAGTGATTAAAATCTACATATCACCAATATTTTTGATAAATTTTAATCCTGAAAATCGGATTATTTTCATTTTCAAAGATTTATAAAATTTGAATTTTTTCTTAGGTAATATATATGTGATCCACTCCGGTTGTACAAATGGACATTATTCGATTGGTTATACAAATGAGAATATATTTTTGGTTTTATTAAACTGTCCTAATTTATTAAACTAATTTATTGACTTTCCTAATTATCCGATTTTGTTTCCATACTTATTTAACTGAATATTTTTCAGAATATATATTGAAAAATATTTTAGGATATATATTCTACATTTTTCAGAACATGTAGTAAATCGTAGGATACATATTTTGAATTTTGCAGAACATAGAATTATTTTAGAATATGTATTCTGAATTTCGTAGAAGATACAAAATTTCGTATTCTGAAACTTTTGCAACATGTTTTCAGTTCTAAAATTCGTAGAACATGTACAAAATGGTAGAATGGATAATCTAAATGTTTCAGAACATAAGAATACGTAATCTAAATTTTTTAGAAATAAGAAAATGTTTTCTAAACTTTTCAGAACAAAAATCATCTATGTGAAAAACTATTATTTTTCAAAAGAATTCAAAAGTATTTTCTTCAAATATAATTTATAATGACTTATTTACACTATTTGATAATTTTCAACTTTAAAAAACCCTTAAAAAGTTTTATTTATATGTTAGTAGGGGTAGTGTAGTCAAGATTGACAATTTCCAAAAAAATGTATATATGGACAAAAGTTTGAAAATATGTCCCTTTTTCCAATTTTCCCTTAATAATAAGCAATTACGATTTAACAGTTTTATAAATGTTTACCAACAAAAGATTTATAAGCTTTAAAATAGTATATTACAAACGTATGTGTTAAAATAGTATAGGTTACAAACATATACGTTCTAACCTAACACCACAAATCTTGGCATATACCAATAGTTTATCGATTCTCAATTATCTATACTATTTTAAGTAAGAGCTTACTTGGAAACAAAGTCGACAATCTCAGGAATGTCAGGATTAATCAGAAGTAAAGACATGTCGTAAGCATTTGAGATCAATCTTTGACCTAAAAAAAAATAAAAATACAAACGTTTGTGTGGGAAGGTCTGAAAACATTGTTTAGCTAATTGCTGAAAATATTTTATTTGTGACTAACCATTGAACATGTTTATCTTTGCAAGACGAATCAAGCAATTAACTGGGCTACCTTCTGCCTTTTCACATTCATCCCACATGTTTTCAGCAAATCTCCCCCACAAAGTACAGGACAAACGGTTATCACTGCATATTTTTGAATTGACAAAATTATTAGAGACCAATAAACCGAATGTACAAAAGAAAATATCCATCATTGAAACAATTACCTTGTGTCTCTAAGTTCTATTTCCAACCGTTTCGATATTTTGCCATTTTGATCATGAGTTTTCATAGCTCCAACGCTCACGACCTGTCCTAACACATCTGTCATATTTTCATATGCAAAGAACCATTAATATCCGCACATACATAAATGACAAACCGAATTCATAAACATAGTTTAGAAAGCTGTAATATCACAAGATTGTTTCATGGTTAAAAATTCTCACCAATTAAAATGTTCTCATTGAGACCATTCTCATCGAGGATGTTTCCAAAGTCAACCAAGTCGAGAAACATGTCATCGGATAGGATAGGTGAGCGGCCTATGACCGTCGTGTTAGTGAAGGTCATCTTGAAGGCATGTTTAGTTGCTCTATTTCTCCCCATCGATTTAGTGAGCTGAAAATTCTCAAAAGTCTTCCACTCTCCTGACACTATCATTCTGTGAAACTTATTCACTTGTTGCTTATTAACAGTTGCATGGATCAGTGTTCCCTGCACAATGATAGTATTTAGTTAGTATAAAAATGAAAACATATATAGAAATAACAAATAAAATATGAAACTATATATATTCAGACCTCCAGATCTGCAAAAATCATCTCAATGGTTTCCCCATAATAAGAAGTGTACTGCCTACAAGAGTGTACAATCTTAGCTTGCACCTTCCATGTTGTTTTGAAAGGTTTGATCAGAGCAAGACTTGTGATACCATTAGTTTTTGCCATTTTTTGATAGAAATAATGTGTTTATCGCTAATAATATTTTGGGAGGATTATAATTCAACGATGGATTCTTCTAGTATTTATATTAATACTAATACTAACTGAACTTAGAATATTCTTAGTATTTATTATTTTCATATATTTAGTTTTTAATGTTTGATATAGTTTCGAAATTGTTGAGTACGATTTTTTTGTTTAAGAAAAAATTAATGGTTGAAGTAATGAAGAAATTGTTTGCTATATTTTAGCATAACTCTAAAATTTCCATCGATTTGAGAGTGACTATATTATTTAATCATCTCTAGCAAAATTTTCGTTGATGATGATTAATTAAATTTTATGAGTTTAATTTGTTATATAATTGTTTCTATAATTAAGGGATTTCAAGTAATGAACAAATTATTTAAATTTAGTTATTAATATTTATTATAGTTTTGAATTTCGAAATTGTTAGGTATGATTTTTTTGTTTAGTTAAAAAATTTAATCGTGATTTAATGAATCTAAATTAATGAATAAATTGTTTGCTATATATTAGGAATATATTTTTAAGAGTGATTATATTATTTAATCATCTCTAGCAAAATTTTCGTTGATGATGATTAATTAATTTTTATGAGTTTAAATTGTGATATAATTGTTTCTATAATTAAGGGATTTGAAGTAAAAAACAAATTGTTAACTATATTCTAGCATAACACAAAAATTATCGTCGATGAAGGTTTCATTTAATATTATTAGTTTTCATAAATTGTTTTTATAATCACATTGGTTTTGTTTTACTTTTTTTTAATGTATAAACTATGATTACTTTATTCAAAATGCTTCCATTTTAATAGTATAGATAAGAAGATGTTAGGGATAATTAAGGGTGATAGATCGTAGAAATATTTTTTTTTTTTTTGTCATTACGTAGAAATATTTTTCTAAGCAAGTATATTATCTAAAAAAAATAAAAATAAAAAAATAAAAAATCGAAATGATCTAAAAATATTTATAGAAAACATATTGATTTATTTAATATAGGTGTTATGGAATCTTAGATTAGCTAGCTTACCTTAATTGTAGGATAATTGTTAAGGTATAATTTAATGACTGATTTTTTATTTTCACTTTATTTTCGGAAACATATATAGAAAATAATATGCGATTAATAAGGGATTTAGGTAGAGTTAATTAAGGAAACTCGTAATCAATTTGAAAAATTTATGAAAATACCCGAAAATATTGTGAGAATTAATATTGAATGATTTAATTTTATAAAACAATTATCAGTGGCATTGTCTGTAAATAAGTTAGAACTCCAAAAAAAATTCATATGTTGCTGCAAAAATGTTGTGATAGATTATATTTTATGTAAATTTAAAAATTATATAATCTTAAAAACTAATTAGATTTTATGTAAACCCAAATTTGTAGTCATACACACTTAAAAACATATCTATTCAATATTGTTTTTAAAAAGTTGGATCTTTAAATTGTTAAAATCTTCTCTTTTGGATCTTCCCAACTAATTTCTTGCAAAAAATAATCAATATAAAAAAAATCTATTAAAAAAGGGTGATTTTGAAAACTACCATGTTTTAAAGTTTTGTTTTGAAAACTACACCTACCCTATTAAAAAAAAAATACATTTTTCTAAATATATAGAAAAACAATTCTGTCCTGATTTTTTTACCAAAAAAATTCTGACCTGATTTAATTTAAATGCTTCATTTCTCATTTATAAAATACAAAATTTAAAGGATAAAATAAACTAAATAGGAATATATATATATATATATTGTTATTATATTTTTCTAAGATAATTATAGATTATTAAAAAATACTAAATCTTAGAATTCAAATCTATAGTTTAATATTTATTAAATTTATATAAAGCCAAACAATTTCACAATTCAACTATATTATTATGTTTTTTTTGTTAAAGGGTTAACTATATTATTATGTTTATGCGTGACTTTGTTACGAATCAATTGTGTTCCTTCATGACTACGTTGATTTTTTAATCTTATTCTACAATTTTTATGAAATACTTTTTCGTATAAATTTTTTTCATAGAGATTTCTTTGTGAGTGAAAACATGCGTATGTTTGTTGTTATGATTATGTTTATACACTTTGACCTTATTACGTAGATTGTTTTTTCTTATACTACCATCTATACTATTAAAAGGGAAGCATTTTGTATAAAGTGATCATAGTATATACAATTAAAAGCATTATATACAGCCTACAAGTACAACTACAATTGTTTTACTATTTTTACTATTTTTTAAGGTACAAGTACAACTGTCTTTAATAAAACTAAATCGTATCGTTGTTTTTGTTTAACCTAATTTAAAAAAAAAAATCAAATAGTGACTTGATACTGGTTTAGAATATAAATGTTAATAACATTCCTAAAAGTTACGTTTACAAACATAATCCCGTACGTACATAATATATTTGAAAATTTTATAACAAATTTTGTTTTTGAAATCAATCCCGCACGTACGTGCGGGTCCAAATCTAGTATGTTTATAAAAGAATTTACGTAGAAATTGATAGATTCTGAAAATATATATAACAATATTACATGTTCAGAATTCTAGGCTGTTTTTGAAAGAAAATAAATAAAAATAAGGATTGTACTTTTGCTTAATTGTATCTTTTTCAACTTTCATTAAATTTCAGTAAGACCATTTTAGTAATTTTGTATATCTGAAAAATAATTTTAAAAATAAAAAGAATACAGAGGTTACTTTTCAAAGGTAAACTTGAAAAAGAGGAGTTTTCCAAATTTTCTCTTAAAAATTGTAATCTCCATCAATTAGCACATACTATATAACAGCTCAATCAGTAATATACTAACCATATTTGAGATCTTATATTTAGCAATACAAAACTTCAGAATCTGAATCTTATAGATACGATTTTAAATGTACTAACCGTACTTTGAATTGTTTAAATATAAATTAATTAACCATGTTTACTTATCAAATGTGCACACAATAATAATTACTATCACCTAAAATATAGATATTTTTAATTTAAAAAATAACCTAATTATAGGAACAAAAAGAATACGAATGCAATTAAAGAAAACGTAAGGTAGTTATATTATAACTATCAAAACTTCACTAAAGAATACGAATGCAATTAAAGAATACGAATGCAATTAAAGAATACGAATGCAATTAAAGAATAGTCCATAATCGTAATTAGGTTTACCTCAAAAATATATGGTTTGACACTTATAAGGAAAAAAATTGGTAGTTATATTATAACTATCAAAACTTCACTAATTTGGTAAGAGTCAACTTTGGGACGTTTAAATCTCTATTTTGGGACGATTATTTTAACATTTTCAAGTATATTTTTTTTATAGCATGTAAATGGTGATTTATAAAAAAAAAAAACTAATCTTATTGAAAATAATGGGTACAAAACGGGAGCGGGTAATTCGAAACAATAAAATATTATCCAATTTTTTCATTATTATGTTTGACAGCTCATAGTTCAACATACAATTTGGATCCGCTATCATGTCGATCCGACATTCACAAATTTCATGAAAGCAAACCAATATTAGTTCATGTTATAAATGCTATAGCGAATAAATATATCTACAAATACAACTCTACATTTGTGTGTAAGTCTAAATCGTTGACCTATTTTCTTATATGTTTGATTAAAGTATACAATTTGAAATAGGTAAATAGTTAAAATGCTTATGGGATGGAAAAACATAACATATTAGGACGCACGAGAAAAGATTTATGTCCCGAAATTGACAAACCACATTTCTTTTACTATTTTTTTAAGTTATTGTCTTTAATAAAACCAAATCATATCGTTCTTTTTGTTTAACCTAATTTAAAAACAAATCAAATATTGAATTGGTACGAATTTAGATTATAACTGTTAATAACATTCTTGAAAGTTATGTTTACAAACATAATTCCGTACGTACATAATATATTTCAAAATTTAAGAACAAATTTTGTTTTCGAAATCAATCCCGCACGTACGTACGGATCTGAATCTAGTAAAATATAAAGTTTTGATGCTTTACATTTTTAGATTCTTGGAAGTTGAATCTAAAATTATGATTTACATATTAAAAAGATAGAACACATATAACAAGAATAAAATTTCAAAGTAAAAAAGTAAAAAAAAACTATTGATTTACTCTTTTTTTTTTGCTTTGTGTGCAAAAACGATTCATTTACCCTATAAAAATTTATTAATTGAACAACCTCATAAAAAGTAATTATTAATTGTAAAACAAAAGAAGTAATTATCAGTAGTACGTCCTAGGCTAGAATGATTAATGTATGCAGTTTCTAGCCAATCAAAAGAAAGAACTCCAAAGGACTTTTGAACATTAATAATAAAGCCACCGTTAATTAACCCATTCACAAAATTACTTTTTATTAATTTTTTTCACCTTTTTATATCTCTCTTTACTTCTCTACCGTCACACACTCACATCAAATTATTCCGAAACTTCTTAAACACAATTCTCTTTTTTTTCCAAAATTCCAATGGCAAAGAAGAAGCAATCACAGCCTTTGGTCACTCCATCCACGGCGAAGAAGCCGTTGCCAGTCTCATCCACGGCCAAAAAGCAGTCACAAGTCGCATCCACTTCGAAACAACCACCGGAAAATCCATCTCCGATGAAGAAGAAGCCGACGGAAATCGCATCTCCGGTGAAGAAGCCGCCGGTACTCGCACTCGCTTCAACTTCTAAGAACAAGAAGCAGCCTGAGCCGGTGAAAATTCCACCACCACCGGAATCTTCCAGCGACGAAGAGGAGGAGGAGGAGGAGGAAGAAGGATCGGGATCTGAAGAAGAAGAAGAAGAAGAAGAACCCGGATCTGAAGGAGAAGAAGAACAAGACGAACCAGTCAAGAAAGTTCCAGAAACTGCTGCTGCTCCTGTTGTGTCTGTAACAAATGAGAGTACAGATTCAGAGTCTGAATCTGAGACTGAGGGTGGTGACTCCGAAGCTGAACCTGAGCAAGCTACACCACTTCGTGTTGCTGCTTCTCCCCCAAAGAAGAAGAGACAAAGTGAAGCTGCTGCTGCAACAGAAGCGAATCCTTCAAAACGTGCTAAGACAGAGGGCGAGAGTGGAACAGAGACTAACAATAACAAGAACTCTTTGTTTAAGAGAATTTGGAGCGAGGAAGACGAGATTCTCCTACTTAAAGGAATGGTTGATTACAGGAGCAGCACAGGTAAGACTGCTTTAGAAGACGTGAATGGCTATTTCGAAACTGTGAAAAACTCAATTAGTTTCGAAGTGAGTATCAGTCAGTTCAGTAGCAAAGTCAAATCTTTAAAGGGTAAGTATCTCAAGAAAATTACGAAAATGAAGGACGCTGGTGAAAGTTCTGTTAAAAAAGATCCTCATGATCGCAAATGTTTTGAGCTAGCGAAGATTGTTTTGGGTGATTATGTCGGTTCTACTAAAACTGCTGTTGTGAAGTCAACGAGGAGGAAGATTAAGCTGGACAATGGTTCTTCCAAGGCTGGTGATGCTGAATGGTTTGGAAACTCGTTTATTATCCGTGCGATTACGAGTTATGGTCCTGTGGCTGATGAAGAAGCTGTGATGGGGAAATGGAGCTTGGTGCCGGTTAAGATGAAGAAGAAGATTGAGGAAAAGTATAAGTTGTTGAAAGCTGATGAGCTTAAAGTCTTCTTGCTTAAGAATGAGATTTTGAACGATGTAAGTTCTGAAATCTCTAAATTTGACTAGTTCACTAGTTGGTGTTTTGAAAGATGCATTTGCCCTTTTTTTTTTTGGTTTCGTAGTGGAACTCTTTGATCTCTTGTTTTGTTTTATCGGTTGTATCGGCTAATTGTGTTATCAAATGCATCTTTGTTTTGGTTTTTTTGGGGTTTATGTAACAGCAAACAATCTAATGGCTGATCTTAATTTGCTACTATGGTATTTCATAACTATGTCATCCATTGTTAGCTTTTCTGCATATTTCTTCTAGTCGTATGGTTGCCACATACTCTCTCAAGTTATGGATACAAGTCAAAGGATCATCGATACATTCTTACATATCAATTGCTTTGTATCTTGTATTCTTCCTCTGACATTACACTCTCTGTTACAATAAACAACAGAGATTTATACTGTCTTGTATTTAGACGGTGTATCTGTTTGTCCTAGTCTTTGAAATGTGTTTCTTGTGAGGCTTTCTAACTAAAAGCTCATTCTGATGATCTCATTATCGTATTCAATCCAAAGCCTTGACTTGAAAGCCCGTAGCACTGGTCTCAGTCTCGTGAGAGTCTTGAAGCTTCTCTGTTTAACTTAAATCTTTGGTTTTACTTTACAGGTATGAGTCTACAAAAGTATCATATTTATTTTCTCCCATCATTTGATCATTGTCTCTTGTTTGTAATTCGTATCATAATTGATAATTGATATTTCTTTGCTTTAGGTCTCTGTTTATTGAATATCATTAATATACACATGTTATATACGGTGCATATAAAAAACCTATAATTGCTTCAGTTTTAAACATCTATCTCAGTTTTTTTTTGTAACCTAGTTGTAGATACCCGTTTACGTTTGCGGTTGGCTGAATTTTGCTAATGTGTTTTTAAGATCCAAAACAGAACACTATTATAACCCAACATATCAATCAACAAATGCAAAATTGGAGTTTGGACGATGTGATATATATAGTTACTATACCCAAACATAAAATCAAATTGACGCCATGTTGCATATTTGTGTAATAGAATGATATTTTAGTAAAAAAATTTAGAAACTTATGATTATAATGTTTTGTGATAAGTACTATATTAGGTGACCTAAATGGCGAATGTTCCTAAGATCGGGAAGGCTGTCTATAATGTTTCTTGATATAGGATGGGGTTTGTTGTATTATGAATTCAAGATCAAGAACCAATAAGGAATGTGTCATGGCTTGTGACAGGGTATGATTTTTTTTTTTTCTTTTTCTTCCAATAGGAAAAATATATATATAGAAGAGAACAATGGGAGTTTAAAAGATGTTGGATATGTTAAAAGTGTTAGTGTTATAAATCAGTTTGTGAAATTGATATTTGTGCTACCGCGGTTATATCCCGCTTATAAAATCAGATTACCACCCAAAAAAAGCTCGATGTAATGCATTCAGATGAATTTTGTGTACACCTACCTCAAGAAATCGGTGAAATATTCTAGGAAAAAAAGTCATTAGCTTCTATGAGTAGTAGAAGATTCTGAAGAGGTATATGAAGCTTGATCCGTTTTGACCATCGTGTTACATGTCGTAGTACTATTGGTGCTATGAGATATAGTACTACTGTACTCTAGGTCTTTAGTTAGAGGGCTAGTCCTCAAGAATGGAGGATTGGTTGGAGCTGGAATCAAGTGATCTCTCTCGGTTAACATGCGGATGACTTCTTCCATCGACGGTCTGAGTGATGGAGAAGCTTGTGTGCATAACAATCCCACGCGGAGAACTTTACAAGCTTCTGCTTTGCTGCCTTGTTCTTGAAGCAACTCATCTTTTAGACATGAGTCGAGAGCTTCACCCAATCTATTCAGTGTGTAGAGGCTCCAGACCTAGGGACAATGAAACAATATAATGGTGGATATGGAAATTCAAAGAAACCTTAAACTTTAATAACAATGAATATGGTGGTTGGGGATTCTTACTCGTTGTAGGAGATGACCTGTTACTGGTACAAACGAGTTGTTTCTTGTTCCACAAGCAATTTCAAGAACAAGAACTCCGAAGCTATATACGTCTGCTTTCTCTGTTAACTGTCCTCTAACAATATACTCTGGAGCCATGTAACCTCTGTAAAGTGACATAACTCAGTTTGAAATATTTATCTTGAGCCTAGCCGGTAGTGATATAAACCATTTGTGTTCTAGTGTTTTTGAGTAGCTTACAGAGTTCCAGCGATGCCAGTGCTAAGATGAGTTTTGTCATAACCAAAACATCGAACCAAACCGAAATCAGCGATCTTGGGATTGAGCTGTTCGTCTAGAAGAACATTACTAGTTTTGATGTCACGATGAATAATCCTCACTGGAGATCCACCGTGTAGGTAAGCCAGTCCCTCTGCTGTTCCCAAGATTATGTTTAGCCTCTGGCTCCAGTTTAAGACCTTGCTTTTACTTTCATCTGAAAATCACAAACATATGACTTATTAGACTCTACTCTGTTTTATAAACATTTTGATGTTCTTTTTTCTTCTCAACAAGACTATAAAGGAGAATTTATTACCAAAGAGAAAGTGGTCGAGGCTTTTGTTAGGAACGTACTCGTAGACCAAGAGACTCTCAGGTCCTTCAATGCTACAACCAAGAAGTTTGACGAGGTTTTTATGTTGGATTCCACTAATGAGATTCACTTCGTTGAAGAATTCTTCTACCCATTCTCTTGTGTTGAACACTAATCTCTTCACTGCCACGTTCTTGCCATTTGCAAGGGTTCCTAAGAAAACGGTGCCGTTTCCTCCTTGCCCTAGTTTTTTCTTGGTGTTGAAGTAATCAGTAGCCTTCTCTAGCGTCTCGTACTTGAACTTCGTCTTTGAATTGTTGAATTTTCTCGAAATTAGACCTAGGTTTTTTTGTTCTGCTCCCGAACAGAGATTAGTGAGATAAATCAATCAAAAGCCAGTAGAATACGTGACATGTGACATGTGTGACATGCCAAATCAAATAATTATAAGCTAGAGAACGAATGTTTCTTCTATATATGGATTATTCAACATATCACATGCGCATTTAATTAAGTGTTTACCTTGTTTGGTCTTGGACACTTTTATCATAATGACATACGTTGCCAAGAGAATGAGCAAGACGAACGCTGACGTTGTCAAGACAATAGCCACGATGACTCCTTTGTTAAAACGCACTACAAATTAACAAACCAAAACACTCCATTAGTTTGGTTCATTATGTTATAATATATGACATAACTAACAAGTCTTACCATGAATGTTATGATGCTAACAAGTCTTACCATGAATGTTATGATGTCCATCACCATTGTAGAACTTATGATCAGAGTACCTAAGGTAACACCCTGTATTCATAGCTCTACCTTCACGCCTCGAAACGCACCGTTTCAATTCTTTAACAGCTTTCTCCAAACAAACTCTACAGTCTTCCTTACCCAAACTCTCCCAACACTGAGCAAGCGCGTGTACTCCACTCTCTCCGGCGACTCCGAACCCTCCCTTTCTAACCGCGACTCGGGCCGCGGTCTCGGAAACGCGGAACCCGAGCTGTTGATCTAAAACGGTGTCGTTGCTACAAGAATAACTATCCGACGTAGCTGAGACTGATTCGCCGTAGAACTCGTAGGTCTCGTAACGGAGGAAACAACCGTCGAGGAAGATTCTTGCGGAGGAGGAAGGGAGACAACGAGGGAGGCGCGTGCGTGCGATCGCGTAACAGAGCTGGCAATCCGACGGTGAGAGATCGTCGTGGCATTGGATCATTGCGTAGATAGACGGCGTTGTGTTTAAAGATTGAGTTGCGAAACGTCGTGTGGTCAGTTTTAAAGAGAGTGAATGCATATCTTCGACGAACGTTGGGATGTAGTTCGGATCCGCCGAGGATTTGCTACGTCCGCCGCAGAAAAGACCGGAGACGGTGGTTCTTTGATCGTCGGAGGAGCAATACAAGAACGGTAAAAAGAAGAAGGAAAATAAAACGACGATGTAATGAAACCGTATTGTTTTTGTGAGGCAATACATTTTTTTTAATGTTTTTGCAGAGAGGCTCTCATATGCTTAATTATTTGTCATTTCGTTTTGTTATATAATTCGAAATAGTCGTATTATAATAAGTGAACATGATATATACCAAAACTCCACATAAATTTGTAGTAAGCAGAACATAAAAACATAGTCCTTTTTCGTTTCTTGCTATAGCATAATACAAATTTAGTGACTATATAATCACTTAACTAACTAAGAAACATCTATTTGAACGAGTTTAATTTAAGTAATGATGTGATAAACGAATGGATACAAAGAAACGATAAAGACATTGATCGTAATAAATAGAGAATCCTGGCCTTTAATAGCGATGTGAAAACGTGTACAGTTGTAACTTGTAAGGTCCAAAACTAGTGATAGATCAGACTTCAGACATTCATACTGCTTAAATTTAATTATTGATTGAGTACGATTTTTTTAAAAATTTTAATGGGTTTACAAATTTAATGGACATTGGAAAATTTCAGGAAAAATAAACCCTTTTAAAGCATTTTTTTTTTCTTTTTTAAAGTTGTAAGTAAGATTCTAAAGATTATTACGATTTGTGTATGAACTGTTTAATCAAGAGAATATACACAAAGCATGAATAATCAGAAGTATCGTTATCAGAAATAAATTAAATGGGCCGTCCTAATTTATGCGTCGGTGGCTAACTCGTTAAGTGGGTGGGGACGTGGGGTAATGTTAGGTTGGGTGTAAGGCTAAATTCAATAATCTTCGCCTCAATTACTGACTCGATTCGTACTCATCGGTATACAACGTTACGTATCATCATTGGAGTACTCAAGTGTATTAAAAAAAAAAATATAATATAGTATACTGTTACTAGCAAACAATAATCACCATAAAATACGAATAATACACGTTTTTTCTTTAATTAGGTTCACAAGTCACTGTATTATATGGGTCTACTACTTCATGAGACCACACCAATGTATAAGTATTGGTGCAACAATTATAAATTCCATCACAAAATACTATCTTTTTCTAGTACTACAAATCAATGTACTCGACCACAAATAATTGTATTTGGCTATTTGCAGATGTAGGTTTAAGAACTCTACACCTCACGTTGAGGATATACACATACTAAAGAACACAGTAATCCATCATTACTAGAACTGATTAATCAAATTTGATTTTTAATTTTTGTATCTAAACTCTTTGTAGGTTCTGTTAAGGTGGTAAATGTTTTTTAAGCCTTTAAGGCCCCAGTATATATATATTTTTGTCCACAATTCAACAAATCAATACCATATAATAACAATATCTTTTATTTTTATGTGTAAGTAGTAAATTTTATTAAAACAATGTTGGTTTTGCTCGCCACAAAAAGAAAAGCTTCTTTAAGTAAAAATAAAAAATAAAAACAAATCATAATACAAAAAATTAATTTTATTAGTCTTTTTTTATATAACTATTTTTACAATACAAAAATTAAAAAAAAAAAAGATCCAATTGTATAAACGAAAATAAAAGATTCAAATTTACATGAGCCAGACTTTCAGAAAATTAAAACAGAATGAAGGCCCAATAAAAGCCCAATAATATAGAAATCTAAATGGAAACACAATCGTTTGGTGAAAAAAAAAAAAACACAATTTCCCGTTTCGTAATCGACGGCTGATATCAAATAATTAAATCTCCGTGTCAAAATTGACGGCTAATATCGAATAATTTAAAACCCCCGTTTTGTTTTATTCTATTTGATTTTGAACGTCGTTTTGACTGATTCAACTACAAAATAATATCTATCATCCATCCATACATACAATACATACATATTGCGTTTGCCTTTTATAAAGCCGAGTGATTCGCTTCTCTTCTCTGATACTTTTTAGTTTCCTTCTCCACTCGAAGCTCAGATCGATAACAAAAACTTAACAATTTCTCAATCTCGACGAAGATGGCGATGCAGAAGGCTAAGGAGATCGTTAACAGTGACTCAGTCGTCGTTTTCAGGTCACCCTTTCTCTTCTTCTCTGTTCTCTAATCTTTTTACGCGATCTTCTCTGTTTTGATTGTTTTGTGAACCTTCGAATCTGTGTATATGGCTTTGATTGTGTGTTGTGAAATTGGATTTTCAATGGAGAATTGATACGATTAAGTATCCATGGATGTATCTAGACGCTTTTGTGTAGTAAAGGAAGAAATCTGATTTTGTGGCTGTGGTTTCGTTTTGGAATTTTGCAGCAAGACTTTTTGTCCGTACTGTGTGAGAGTGAAGGAGCTTTTGCAACAGTTGGGAGCTAAGTTCAAGGCTGTTGAGCTCGACACTGAAAGTAATAAATTTCACAACTTTTTTCATTATGAATTTGTTTGGTTTACTGTGTCTTGTTTGATTCAAGTATAGGTTTTTGCTCTGTTTTTGGGAAGTTCTAATTGTTCTATTGCTTGTGTATTGAGATTTGAGTTTAGTTTATTTGATCCAAGTTTAGATTGTGTTCATGAATCCAACCGTAGAAACTTTTGCTGGAGACTCATGTTTATGTTTTTGATCCCAAGTATAGGTTTTGTTTACGAAGATGATCGAAAATTTCTCTGTTTTCTTTGAGATCCCATGATCATGTGGTTGTGTACACCAAGATTTTCAGAAAGCATATCACCCTAAGGACTTTTACAAGCAATGAACTATGCATATGACATTGATCCAAGTATAGGTTTTCTTCATGAACCCACTGTAGAAATTTTGTCTTCTTTCTATGGAGATTCGATCCAAGTTTATGACCTGATGATCGTGTGGTTCTTATCTTCCATGAGTCGAAGAAGTTTCATCAACCTTAAGCACTTTTTGAATATTTATTTGCTTTCTCTAGAGATTGGAGTTTAGGTTTTTAATTCAAGTAAAGGTTTTTTTGTTCATGAATTGGTCATTGAGTATTTCACTGTTTGCTTTCTCTGGGATCTCATGAACATGTACGTTCTTATCATTTACCCTTAAACAATCTTAAAAGAAGTAACTAATTGCATTTATTCAGATTTGTATATATACTTACTAAAGAATCCAGACTCAAGCATGGTTGTGCTATTTTGAATAATTCATTGCTGTTGTTTAATACAGGTGATGGTAGCCAAATTCAATCAGCTCTTGCAGAATGGACAGGACAGCGCACCGTGCCTAATGTGTTTATAGGAGGAAACCACATTGGTGGCTGTGATGGTAAGAAAATTAGAATTATTATTCCCTTCAAAACTTTTGTTTGCTTTTTTTTTTGTGGTCGCAGACCTCTAATTTTATTATTCTAAACCAAATTTTTGTGATTTTCATTGCATTGTAGCAACATCAAACTTGCATAAAGACGGGAAGTTGGTTCCGCTGTTAACTGAAGCTGGAGCTATCGCTGGAAAGACCGCAACAACCTCTGCTTAAGAAGCACATCCTTATGTGATTGCTTCATCAGGAATAAAAAAGGTTTGAGTCAGCAATAAGAAGTTGTTTCGTTGTAGTCAAGTTAAGAAATATTCTGGAATGTTATAAGATTGTGGTTATGTTGAAGTCCAGTTTGAACTTCTGATATATATTATGTTAATCATCTTCTGGATATGCGTTTGGTAACATTTTAGTATAACTAGAAATTCGAGTTTAGGCTCTCAGATTAAATCAATTGAAGAGTGGGGAGGTCGTAGTAAGGACGGTTGAGTATCGCCACAATCATGATTTGGGACATTTTGTGGACTATCAAATGAGATTAGGGGAGCAAATTAACAAAATCCTAGTACAACACAAAAAAAATAATCATAAGTTTGAAGTATTGTAAAACACAAATAGTCTTTCATTTAGATTAGATAGATTGATAGATAGATAGATTATAGATAGATAGAAGTCAAAAAGAAAAGAAAAAAGAGATATAGATAGGTAGCTACATAGATAGATAGATAGATAGACTTAAGCATGAGGGTGATAATGAGAAAACATCTTGAGCAGAGCAATCTCCTTCATAGGGAATTAGTTCCAACCATTCATGAGCATCCATTCATGAGCATCCATTCATGAGCATCATCATCATCCACGGGTTCATTAACTCTTGTGAAATCATTACCCCATGGAACCGCTGTTTTCTCCGGAACATACGCATCCATCATCATTGTTGCGGGATTCTGCCTTCCACCAACCAGATTACCCCATGTATACACTGTTTTCTCCGGAACATAAACCGAGGTTGTTGCTGCAGTCTGCCTTGTAGCATCCAGATTCAGATTCATCATCACCCCATCAGCAACGTTCTCACGTTTGTTATTCTCCATTTCAGCGTTTGCAACAGCTCCTCTGTTCAAGTTGTTGACTGCAGTAGACCATATGTAATTTTCAAGGGTGTTGTTGGGAGGGGGGAGGGCACCACTTCTCTTGTTCTTCATCGAGAGTAGCCGACGTTTTGTGGCATTCCAATGGTTCTTAACAATATTCTCACTTCGTCCAGGGAGTCTCTTCGCGATTTGGGTCCATTTGTTCCCAACTTGCTTGTGAATTTGAACCAGTATTTGATCTTCTTCTTCACTCCAAGCATTTTTCTAACAAAACACTCATTACTTATATATAATTTGGTGCATATATATTAACCTAGCTTATATAACCACTTGTAGTCGTTACCAATTCATATATACAAATACATAAAATTGAAAAGATCAATAGAAGAGAAGTACCTGGATGTCCGGACGGAGATGGTTGTGCCACCTCTCTCTACACTGTTTACCAACTCGTCCTTGGAACGATTTTGCGATTTCTGTCCATCTTCTCGTTCCAATACGTTTCACCATTTTCCGTAACAGCCTATATATATATATATTTACATGGCCAACACACATATTAATTATAATAACAATAACCATGTCATAAAATAAATTTATATAGGTATATATATTTTTAAGAATTTTAGTAATGGAATTCAATTTTTTTTTTTTACATCAACAGACTGAAAATAAAATAAAAATGAAAACTTACTTGTCCTCAGCAAGATTCCATTGCCCTTTATGACTGATGCCTTTCTTCTTCTGATCGGTTTTGATGATCACCTTCTCCTCTGGCTCTGACACATTAGTTTGTTGAGACTCAACCATGAAATGAACAAGGGTTGGCTCATGATTACCAGTGATATTCCCTTGATTGTGAGAAATATCATTCAACATAGGGTTCACCTGAAAACCATGCATATCATATGGTATACCTTGAGATGTTACAGGGAACGGGGTGTAATAGGTCTTTGGGAATTTTAGGTCACCGGTTATGTTATGTTGAAATCCCTCGAAAGCATCGGTGTTTGAGTAGGAAGAGTTACCCATAAATGGATATGTTGAGGGTATTTCATTTGGAGGAAGTATGGGAAATAAATGGTTTTGAGTAACACAATTGTGAGGATTAGAGATTTGGTTTGGGACCGATGAAATCAGATTTTGGTGATACATGTTAGGAGTAACATTTAAAACAGAAGGTTGAGTCCTTCCAATATCAAAAGAAAGAGTTAAACTGTCACCAAGAGATTTGAGATGCTCTTTTTGTAGATAAGATGCATCATCAGTATGAAATTGGTGAGAGTTTATGAGGAGATCATCATAGATGTTCGTCATCAACCCCATTCTTAAAAGCAACTCGAACTTGAAGGTAATCGAAAAATCGATGAATTCAAGATATGAACTCAAGAGATATTTTGGTTTGAGATCAGAAATACAAGAGGGAACTCAAGAAATATTTTGGTTTGAGATCAGAAATACAAGAGGAATGATAGAGATAAAAATAAAATTCACTGATTGACAACTATATATAAATGTAGAAAGGGAAAACTGGAACTTGAGAGACTACAAAGATGAATCACCTTAAAATTGACTGAAAATGAATGCACTCTTTAAAGTTGACTAAATATGAGAAAATGTAAAATTTCATTCTAAAAGATAAATGTTAATATGCAAGATCAATAAATTACTTCATTGAAAGAATAATTTGGTAAATTTCCATAGATTTTCTGAGGTCGTAATATTAAACACTAAAATGCAACAAAACAAAACAAAAATTTATGTGCAATAAATTAAATTCGCTAATTAGGGTAATTTTATAAATTGGGATTTCAACAGTAATAGTCCACGTAGTTTAAGGATAGAATAGTCATTTCATTTCTAAGTTGGAAGAAATAAGAATCTTGAAATCATAATGAATGGTATTTTAGGAATTTTGTGTGTTCAAAGAAATTCTCGTAATTTTCGGACACGTGCTAGACATGTAAGTAAGTTTTTAATGGTAAAAGTTTTCTTTCTATAAAAAAAACTTTTTGGATTTGAACCGTTAGATATGCTTTATTAATTTTAGCAATGATGTCTATAAAATGATTTTTGTTGTAAATATTTATTTCGAAATGTTTAAACACGTGCTAGGCATGTAAGAAAGTTTATCATTTTTTTATTTCAACCATGGGGTACGCTTTTTTCATAAAGATAGATGTTTAAGGTTAGCACCAATATCTACAAGATGGTTTGTGTTTTATAAAATTTTGATTCTTTTATTTTAAGCTTTCATATTGTTATTTTATATGTTATTTAAATGATTTATTTTCAATAAAGTAGCTGCTTGGTTTCATGAGATATATATTAAATACAGAAAAATATTAGTTCCTTCGAAACTTTGATTTTTATTTCAAAATTTTCATGATCTTTAAGTTACCTAAAATTTGTCATATGTTTGGGTTGTGTTAATTTTCTAAATCAGATACATAAACTATGGTACTTGTGAATACATATCAAGAAGATGGACTCAGGAGATTTTATCACTTGGACGCCAAAATTAAAACGACAAGCCTAAATTGGTAGAAGAAAGGGTCACCTTATAGGATTTGGATTCATGATTATGGAGGATGATGATTGAAGAAAGAGAGAAAATGAGAGTAGAAAAGAAGACATTATTTTTGATTGATTCTTTTGCCAATTGATGTAAAGAACATTTACATAAGGGTTTGCAAGGACAAACCAAAGTACAAACTGGAAATAGCAACCAGACATTTTACAAACTCTAGTCATATATTAAACCAAAAGAGATCAGGAAAATATCACATCCTGTCACAAGAGGCTCGTTCCTTGTTTGATCATCATATACATGCTTTATTTCGATGAATGTGTTGTGTTCGCATAATATTAGCGTCATGTTCCATCCGTCAAAAACATGACTTAGTCGACGGCCTCAACTATTTGACAACCAGATGATAGTGGACTGAATTCTTGTTCTTCTCACACCCACACACAATACTTATAAAGATTTAAACCTGACATAAAAAAAATTATCTCTATTATGTTCACCTCTATAGAAATTCTAGTCCATCCGCTCATATCTCCCTCTTGCATTGAAGAAACTGTCTTTCTCCAATAAAACTAGTCCTATATCCTCACTAAGTAAAAGATCACCTTTATATTTGACCTTGACTAAAATTTGATATCTATGCTCACCGGCCGTACCCAATATTCACTTACTATATAATGTTTGTTGTTGGAAACAAACCAAAGTCCCACATCGGAAAATTAGAAAAAGAAGTTTATAATATATAAGTCAAGTTCAACTTAAATTAGTGTGAGATCTTTTAGAAAAGAGCCCAATAACAAATCCGTGCGGACTTGAGTAATGAGTTCAAAGCGAACAATATCATACTATTGAAAGAAATTGACTTGACTTGAAAACCCAACAAGGTTTTAATCCACACTCGCATCCCTGTCAATAAGCACATACATATTCCTCGCATGAACTTATTCTCTTTTCTCAACAAGTAAGATTACCTCATGATCACTTATTCCAAAGATTACCTCGCATGAACTTATTATTTTTCATTTTTATCACCAAGAAAGTATCATATATCAAAATTGGGTTTGAAAACTCATTCACTTTCATATATTATTTTAGTCACCGGTAGAGATGCCTATGCAGGGTAAATGCATCAGAATGAGTTAATATTCATATTCGAACCATAACTATATATAACAGTTATTTTGATTCTAAAACAAAAGAAGAAAGTCCTATACAGTTGTATAAAGACTCAGTAACTTATGCGAGTAAATGCACCAAAAATGAGGTGTACATTCAATTTGGTCTTAGGTTTTTCGTTTTCCTTCCGATTTTCAGTTTATAAATAATAGAATATCCAAATAAAAGTTTAATTTATCATATATAGTTTGGTATACTTTTGTTCGTTTGGATTGTAATGTACGTCGAAGAATGATTGTGCAATCACATATACATATACATGTAGGAAGAAGATATTGATAGAGATATCATACAATATGATCATACACTATCATAATTAGGTCGTGAAGCTATATATCTCCCCCATGTGTTATTCCAATTTGTATAAAAATAAAATTAAAAACAACAATAAGTGTGGCCAATTAGTACTATCTAAAGTAATTTAAGATTTTGGATTAAAATTTAGAAACCTTTCTCTCTATAAAAGCAGTAGCTATCTCTCTGCCCACCACCACCTCAAAATATCAACTCTCTCTCACACTTTCAGAACTCTCCTTTTCTATTTCTCTCTCTAGAAAATATCTTCATCTATTGATTAGATATAGAGTAGAGTTATCAAGAGTTACTTCGTAGATATGGAGAAAAGAGAAGGCAGTGGTACTGGTGGCTCGGGATCATCAGGAGATGCAGATGTGAGAAAAGGGCCATGGACCATGGAAGAAGATTTGATTCTCATCAATTATATTGCCAATCATGGTGAAGGTGTTTGGAACTCTCTCGCCAAATCTGCAGGTCAAAATTCTTATATATAAATATCACAATATTCTACTTTATCACCAATTATTTGTGTGTGTATGTGTTGATGAACTAGGGTTTTGATTTTCACATGCGAAATATATGTTTAGATAGAAAATTTATATTGATCTAAATCTATATGAACTAGGAATTTTTCTCATATATTAAAATCATAATATATATATATATATATATGTGTATATGTGTGTGTGTGTGTGTGTGTGTAAGCAAAGACTATCTCAAACTATTTGAAATCCATGGATAATATAAATTTGTAGCAAAGTCTCCCAAATTTGTGCACATATCAGTAAAGCCAATAAGATGATAAAATTTTGAATCCAGATCTTAATGGAATGCATCAATCGAATAAAATCATCCGATCCCTTTAAAATCTCTGTTATATTGTATGTACATAATTTTGGAAATGATTATATTGGTTGTGGAGAAACAAAAATATTAATCTTGTGCCTGTCTATAACGAAAAAAATCATTTATGTGTACATTTTTTCGATTTATGTTTACCAGTTTTAATATATCTTACTAACACTATTGTGTTACACAGATCGACATGACCTTGTAATTTGATCGAACCTCTTTTATTTATACGAGATCGCTTTAACTACAAAAGGTCTTGTTTGGAACTTGTTCCTAACTGCAATGGTTAGCTAGGGTTTTTAAAACTTGATATTTCTTCTTACACTCTCAATCACAACAACAGATTTATCCCAAAATAACTCAATGCAAAACACTTCTTATTTATTAGCAACGTTTTTAGACCTGACCTAGCCTGTCCGGTTATAATTGTTACCCGTAAGCGAATAAAACTTATGTTAGGGTTTAAAAATCGAATAATACTAAAACACAATAACAGACAAGAAAAGAAAAGAAAATGATATTACCAGTGAATAGAACAAATACGATATATGTAATATATATATACACATGCATGCACACAAACGATATTTTCTATTTCTTCATAATTTATTAATGTAACTATAATTCTATGTAATATATAGGTCTAAAACGCACCGGAAAAAGTTGCCGGCTCCGGTGGCTGAACTACCTCCGACCAGATGTGCGACGGGGAAATATCACAGCAGAAGAACAGCTCATCATCATGGAACTTCATGCCAAATGGGGAAATAGGTTAGTAATGTGTTTATACATACAAAAATTCTAAAAGTACGTACAATATATAAGGTTATATATATACGAACGAAGCGAAGCTAGGTTTTCGAATTGGTTATATACATAGACATCAAAGCTATTAAATTTATAGACATCAAAACTATAAGTTCTCGAACTATGAATCGGTTTCATATAAAGACTGAAAGGATCTTTAAAAAGACATCAAAGCAAGACATTAGGTGACGAAGCCAAACATATTGGTGGGTATGACAAAACTTACAACTCTTTTTCTCAGCCATTTGTTTGAGTTTTCCACACGTGTCGAAAATTTCTTCACCATTAACATTAAACCTCGTGCCTATTCTGGATTCTGGTTGTAATTCTCTATACGACCATGTACAAAGACATGTACCAAATATACTATATACATCTCTTTTGTCAACACGAAATACTTATATATTGGGAACTGTATGTACAAGCATAAAAGAGATGTATACCGAAAGTTAGATATTCCATTATATATGGTCTTATAATTGAAATTCACACCATACCATATAACAGTAGATGTAGCTGTTTCCTTGCAGCCACAGCTTTGATCTAACTTCAATATAGTCATTTGTTATATCTTAATTAACATACGTATGCATAATTAATAAATCTTGATGATAAATTATATATTCTTGACTATGTCAGGTGGTCGAAAATAGCAAAGCATTTACCGGGAAGAACCGACAACGAGATAAAGAATTTTTGGAGGACCAAGATCCAGAAATACATAATCAAGAACGGAGAAACGACGACGACCGCTGGATTGCAAAGCTCTGAGATCATGAACCATCATGTGACAAGTACAAGCAAAGTCTTGAATGATACTCTAGAAGAACCCATGGATTTGTACTCTCCAACGACGTCGTATCAATATGCCAACAATATCGATCATCTTCAGCTTAGTTACGGCACTTATGTGCCTGAGTCAGATTCGATCATGATGCCATTATCAATTGATCAAGACGTACAAAACTATTGGAGCGTCGATGATCTTTGGCCCATGCATTTATATAATGGTAATTAATTAATAATTAAGTATTTAAAGGGTCCAAAACTAAGAGGGGTATACATATTTTATATACAACTATATGAGTAACTAAACGTCGATCCTTAATATAAATTAAAGTTATAAACAGATATTAAGTGTACTGTATGTATGGTTTTGCCTCATTGTTTAGAGGTAGCTAGGTACTCATCAAGATATTCGACGTTATACCTAAATAAAACTACGGAATGGATCATATACGTACGTATTTTGAAATCTGTTCAGTGCTATATTGTTGATGTATAAGAACACCCTTCAATATTATGTTTTGTATCAACATACAACGTTTATTTTTTACGCTCTCTGTGATTTTTGTTCAATTAAGTGATGAATATATATAATCGGGAGTTCAATATGTTACCGCCGGATAGTTTTATTTATTCTTATGTTAGAAGATAAGTTATGGAAATAATTTTTTTTGAGCTAGTGTATTCTTGTCAATAATATGTAGTATGTATGTTAATACGACTAACGATACAACGACAAAACTACTACAAACAATTATGTACATATGGAGAAATAAAAAAATGTAGTTACGTTATTTCTATTGCAACCACTTTATGGAGATATTTGTCTAATTTTGAAAAACTTTACAAGCTATTATAAAGAGAAAAAGGGAAACAAAATTAGGGAATGATAATCTAGGTTGCATGGAAACGGAAACGCATACGCGGAAACGAAACGTTTCGGAAACGGGAAACGACAATTTTTGAAAATTAAGGATTTGAAACGTTTTGGAAACGTATGTATATATAATTGTATATATATATATATACTAAAATACCAAATATAAAATCCATATTAAAAAAAAAAAAAAGAATTTTTGAAGACATAAATACTAAATAGTTAAACAAAATTCTAAAAGATAATACTAAAACGTTCAAATTCAAATGTTTGGACCATCATCGCCGTTATCATTTTTATCAAATAAAATAGCCTCTAAATCAGGTTCGTCTAGAGAAAGATTTTCAGACTCAAGTTTCCCAAGATTATACTCATTTAGTGAATCAAGTTGATCACCTCCAATATCCCACATATGATTAGACCATAATTTATATTTATAGAAATTATACATCTTTTTTATTAGAGATAGATACAATTTTTTTTTAATCACAATATATATCTTATATATTATATTTTTAAATCTAAAACGGAAATGGGAGTTTCCAAAACGGAAACGGGAGTTTCCATCGAGTTTCCGAAAGAAAATCTTTAGGAATCGTGTTTCCATGGGTATTTTCCGAGTTTCCGAGAGTTTCTGTTTCTGAAACGTTTCGGAAACGGGAAACGCACTTCGAAAAGAGTTTCCATGTAACGTAGATGATAATTAATTTAACGACTACAGTAAACGTCTTTTTGCAATTTTATAATTTGTTTTTTAAAACGTAGACCCGACTTTGATACCGAATTTTTTTGGTGGAAATACATGTACATGTGGATGATACGAAAGCACATGGAACACATGATGACATTTATAATCATGCATAACCTAATTCAACATAGAACATGCATCACAAGCAACTATACAATTGTGATACTTCTTATTACCCTTATTCGCACTGTATCCAATTTTATGCATCACCAAGCAACATGTAGAACCCGACGTTAGCCTAACTCTTTAAACCGAAAATTTTAAAACCTCAAATATGTCTACGAAATTTCGATTAGAGAGGAAAAGAAAGGCTCTATATGAATGAAACAACAGTTACAATGATCGATCCAAATTCCAAAGTTATAACAGCAGAAAAATAAGAATTGTTAATTAATTGGTGTGGAATATATATATTTTCGTGGACGTACGTAGTTAATGTGCTCAATATTTGTTGATGTATAATAAACAAAAGTGGTTAACATTTTGGTTAGTAACTTAGTATATTAGAATGATATACCAGTTAATGTTCAGACTAACTTGAGTCTTAGCATAATGATATTAACTTTGATGATTGATTTAAAAATTTTGATCCAAAAATAATCTTGATTATGAAAAGAAGAATAATCGGACCGACAAGAGTATTAGTTGTGGACGACAAGAAGTTCGGTAAGGGAGTGAGTTCACTATAGTAAGACGGCACAAGTATTTAAGGTTTACCAAACTTCTTGCTTTGTCCAATGAAGCGTTTTGGCCCAATTTGCATTAATAGTTGTAAGAATATATATAACCAAATAAATGTATATATCAAACTAAATTGATACATATCATATTTTTGCATAGACACAAATTATTTCACATATACACACTAGTGGAGATATTATCATCTTAACTGAGTATAAATCAAGTTTGCTGTCGCAAATATGGTTTCGCTCTTCTTTTTAAACTGTTAATTGAAATCACATCTTTCTGATTTGGTCTAAATGAAAGGATATATAATTGAAGTTACACGTTCAGGATTTGGATGTGTAGAATTAAGAGTAGATGCATTGGTTTAGTGATTTGATTATATGTTTTCATCATACGATTTACACCAAAGAGACTTTGGATCTCATCTCAGTCAATGTTTCCATATTGAAAAAAATATTAAAAAAAAATAAAGTAGACAAACCGTTGATATAAGATTTCACTTCCAAAGAGAAACAGATCACCTCATGATGACCAAAGTCGCTTATAGTATTTAGAACTTTAGATTCTATAGCTATCATCACCTCATCATGCATGACCAAGTTGCTTATATATATAGTGTTTTGATTGTGTGTATATAGCATTCATACTAGAACAACATATGCTCAAATCATATTCGTTTTGACCCATCTTCAATCGTAATATATAGATTTTGTGAATTAGATTCAAGTACAAAAGAATATATAAAACATTAAATTTCTTGAGTTAGGTTGCATGTCTTTTTTGGTTTTTGCCCACATGTTTTTCATGTGTAAAACGTGAATTTTCCCATGTGAAACATATACGAAAACATCACATGGTGGCTCGTGCACAAACTTACAGTTGGGTGTAGTATTTAAAACGTGCATGAATTTGAGTTTCATTGTTTTGTTTAGGAGTGGACAAAAATTCCGATATCCGAAAACCGATCCAAAAAATCTGATTCAAAAAACCAAACCTAATAGTCATAAAATCCGAATAGATAATGTATTCTCCTACTCGATTTATCCGAATGCGGAGAAATCTAAACCGAATCCAATCCGAAATTCGAACGCCAAAGCTAGTTATTTTATTACTGTGTATAGTGTACTACTTTTTTTTTCCTTGCTTGTAAGGCTATTATATTGGGCCTTAGGTTTTTTAGAGATTGATTGAAAATTAGATAATGGGCCGAAACCAAGAAATTTTACCCACTAACATCTAAACAATTTGATAAAGGATCCAATAGAACAAAGACATGGATTGAAATTTAAAAGTCGTTTACCAGAATAACTAGGTTTGGACCCGCGCTACAGCGCGGAGGAAATAATTACTTATATATAATGTTTAACGGATTTTGTAAAATAATTTATTTAACCTTTTATCAAAAAAAATTTGAACGGATTAAATTAAATTACATTTTAATTTTACTACAGTGCAGTCGATTACATTAAATCATATATTTGTATAATAAGTTTAGATAAAATAATAAAGGAAAAAAGCGAGTAAATAATAATATATTGAGTTTTGATACAATTAAAAAAAGGGTGAAAATTTAGCAGCACAAAAGAATATTTATCGATAAATTGTTCAATTTAACAATTTTAGTAATAGAAGTAGGAATAGATGTAAAAATTACACACTTACAATATATTTTTTGAAGAACCAACCCGTAACAGAATTCATATCGTAAAAAACATTATTCATAACTCGCTTTAACATTATAACTGTGATTTTAACAAACTACCCGTGGATTATCTAAAATTTACGTAATTTGATATATAATATTTTATCAATAAAAATCATGTCTCCAAATTTACATCTATGTCTCAAAACAAATATTTTAAATATGCTTATCTAACAATGGTTTTAATATTGGTCATATTTATAGTGATTTTAAATCATTGTCCAAAATATTAAACCAAGTGTAATTGAGTATTATACGTCCGTTTTAAAAAATTTAAATTGCAGCATATGCAAAAAAAAGTTAAAATTTTTTGAAACATTTTTATTATTTAGTATAATATCAGAAATTAAAAAAAAGATCAAATAAAAGTGAAAGAAGAATAATATTTTTTTTTAATATATTATATTAATTTAGTTAGATAAATATTAGGAAATCATAAAATTAGTTATGGAAACAATATAATCCTAAAATTAAATATGGAAAGTACCCGATGTATGTATCCAAACCCATTTTAATATCCAATTTTGAAGTATCCAATTTTTTTACTCTTGACCCGACCCACGTTCTATTTTGTACTTGTCTTTTACTAATATAGAGATGTTATAGAAGCAGATGATACTGTATATATGTAATGATGAATCTTACGAAGAAAAAAATTATTCTAATGTAATGAAGAAAAAAAGAAAAAAGCTAATCATTGCTTAAATTACATAGTCAAATAAAATACCACTGGTCATTACGTAAATTAACTTTAATTGGTCGATTCTCTTAAACGGATAAAATCAGTGATAAAAATATATAAAAGAGACTAATCAACAAACAAGCACTAAATTTTAGATAACAAGTCAATTTCACAAAAAAAAAAGAAAAAAGAAAAGATTGAGATATACTCCTCCTCCTTAGTGGGCCGAGCAAAATCCATAAAAGTTTAAAACAAATTATATTTGGAAAACGGCAAATATATGTGTCGTTTCAAATACCACTTCAAAAAGATCTCACTGTCTTTTACTACTTACTACTACTGCCAGTAATAAATATAAGCCGTCTAATATTAGCAAATTACAGCTGTCGATCATCTAAAGCATGTGACGCGTCTCCCAAATCCAAACTCAACGCTCCTTCACATCCACGTGTTACTCACTCTCTACTCTGATCCCCGCCACGTAAGACTCTGTAGCACATAACAAGAGCGAGTAAGCTTTAGTTCTCTACTCTCGCATCTGTGTCGACATAGTCGTGAAAGCGACATGGCTGATTTTGGGAAATGTTTTTTAAAAAACGTTGTCTTTATTCTTGGGGACTAAAAAAAAGCAGATAAGTTAGTAAAAAAAAAAGAAAAATATAGTAAATTACGAAAACACCCTTCAATTTCTCCGGAAGGGGGAAAACAAAAAAAAACTTGCGCCGCGTTTCACTTTCAACGCCTTTCATTCATAGGCTTTGGGGTTCGTTTGTTTCGTCTTCTCCAAATCAAATCCAGAGAGCTCTCTGAGTCTCTCTCTCTCTATCTGTGTGTTGTTCTTTGTTCTTACGAGAGTTATTTCTTGAAGATTTCGCTCGAACGTTGTTGCTTAGAGCTCAGAATCTGTAAACACCTGGTAAATTTAAATCAATTTTACAGATATTCTTGTTGTTTTGTTTTTTCTAGGTTTTTTTCGTAAGATTTTTTAAACCTAATTTATTCTTTTTGAATTTTTTTTTGGGAGAAATCGTTGGTGTTTATGTGTAAAGTGTAATAGAGTTGTTAGGTTGGATTTTTTTTTTTTTTTTTTTTGGTTCTGAATAATTTTGTCGTTTTCTGATTTTTTTTTTGTTTTGTTTTGTAATTCTACAGTCGGCGAGGAAAAAAAATGGAAATGGAAGTTGTTTTGGGAATCGGAGAAGAAGAGAAGAAACTTAAAGCAGCTAGTTGTTCTACGGAGATTGAATCGGGTAAGGAACACGATTCAGGTGAGAAAACGGTACAAGATGATGGTGTTCTTCGAGATAACGGTGTTAGGGTTTCTGTGAACGGAGATAAAAAGTCTGACGACGATGTTGTTGAGGAGGAGAAAGATAAGGTAAGCGTTGTTGAGGCTGAGATAAATTTGAAGGAATCTGTTGTTGTTGTTGAAGATTGTGTAATGAATGGGGTTTCTTCGTTGTTGAAATTAAAGGAAGATGTGGAAGATAACGAAGAAGAAGAAGATGGTGATGAAGAGGAAGAGGATGAAGAAGAAGAAGAGCATGGGTACTGTGTTGGAGATTTTGTGTGGGGTAAAATCAAGAATCATCCATGGTGGCCTGGTCAGATTTATGATCCATCTGATGCTTCGGATTTGGCTTTGAAGATAAAACAGAAGGGGAAATTGCTTGTGGCCTATTTCGGGGATGGGACATTTGCTTGGTGTGGTGCGTCGCAGTTGAAACCGTTTGCTGAGAGTTTTAAAGAGTGTTCGAAGGTGAGTAACTCGAGGAGTTTCCTCGGTGCGATGGAAGAGGCCGTTGAAGAGATGGGGAGACACATTGAGCGTTTATTGGTATGTGATTGTGCTGAGGGGAAGGATAAGTTTGATAGTCGTGCCGTTAACAATGCTGGGATTAAGGAAGGGGTTTTGGTGCATGATTTGAGACGGGAAATGATTGCGTCTTTGCTGGTTGGGAAACATGGAGAGATTCTTAAAGATGTTAAATGCTTTGCAGAGACTGTTAGTTTTGGTGGGTTGCTTGAGCTGGAGATATTGAAAAGGAAGGTATCTGCCTTTTATCGGTCTAAAAGAGGATATGGTTTGATTGAGTATCATGAGCCTCAATCAGTTCCAGGACTTGAAGACAAAAACAATAGTGATGATGATGAAGAAGAAGACGAGAATGTTAATGATGGGTTCGAATGGCGTGCTAAACGTTCTAGCATAGAAGAAGCAGCAGATTTGGATCCTGAAGAGTCGTCTCTACATAGATCGCTAGAGAAGTGTTCTGGGTTTCCTGATCATAGGCTGCTCCACAGAAGGAAGGAGAAAAGTATTGCTGATATATTGGAGAATGAGTCCTCTGCGAAGGTAAGATTTGAGACAGATCCAGTGAATGGAGATGTAAAGTCAAATGCAAAGTCGGGTAGGAAAAAAACAAAACGCTCTGATCAAGTTAATGGTGAGCTTGAAAATATTACCAGCTCTACACAGAGGAAAAGAAAGAGTGATGCGAGTCACAAGCACGTGGAAGAAAGTAGCAAAGGCGAAACTTCGAGGAAGAAAAAGAAAAGGGATGTGGATGTGGATGATGATGGGAGTGGAGACAGAGAAGAGACTCAGAAAAACGAGACTTCGGATCTGGAAATAGATATTGATTCAACTCCCTTAGCTTCACTGCGGAAAAAGGTCATGGTTGATGCTTCCAGTGTTGAAAATAATGCTGGAAATGGCGAGACCGCCACACAATCATCAAAGAGGGAGAGGAAGAAGAGCAAGTACCTTTCGCCTGATTTCTTGTCAGATTTTTCTCGGAAAGGGGGTAAAAAGAGCAAACTTGAATCTGAATCTTCTAAAATTTCAAGTCAGAGCCAAGTAGAAGAGCAAATGGCCGATGCTAATGGCAGCATCGTGGCAGTGGAAGAAGATAAGTTGGATATACCATGTGAACCATCATTTGATAATGGATTAGGTCGCGAAGAACTGTCAGAGGAACTAAGTAACGCTGTCGATTTTCTGAGGTTGGGAGCTACGCCAAAGGAAATGCAAGATCTAATCCGTCTAGCAGCTCTTGGTACACAGTATCCAAAAGAAAATAGCTCAAGAGAGATGGTAAGAGAATTCATGACCATCTATAGAAGCTTCACATATCATCATGGAGCCAATCACAAGATTTTAGGGGGTTATGATAGTTCAGATAGAGAAAAGGAACAACTGTATGAGACACCCAATCCCGAGACTAAGGTGAAAGAGAAAAAAGATAAGAAGCGTAAAGTGAAGCAGCAAGAGGAGGAGATTGAGGAAACTGGAAAAGAAGAGAATGAGACAGACAAGAATGGGGATATGAAGAAAGAGCGAAAACATAAGAAGTCTAAATCAAAGAAGCAAGCCGATGAAGGAGAAGAAACCCAGAAAGAGTCAAGTGAGTCGACAAAGAAAGAGAGAAAACGTAAGAAGTCTGAGTCAAAGAAGCAAGCAGATGGAGACGAAGAAACTCAGAAAGAGGCAAATGAGTCAACTAAAAATGGGAAAAAACGTAAGAAACTTGAATTAGAGAAGCAAGTGGAAGCGGATAAAGAAGATACCAAAAAAGAGTCAAGTGAGCCAACCAAGAAAGAGAAAAAACGGAAGAAACCTAAACATGTCGAAGAAGAAACCCAGAGTGAGACTGTGAAACCCGAAAAGAAGAAGAAGAAGAAGAAAAGAGAGGGAAAGTCTAAAAAGAAAGAAACCGAAAAGGAATTTGCAGGAGCTGAGCTATATGTTACATTTGGTCCTGGTTCGAGTTTGTCTAAAAAGGAAGATTTGATTGAAATATACGAGAGGTTTGGATCATTGGACAAAGAAAGAACTGATATGTTGGACAACAACTTGTCTGCCCGTGTTGCATTCTTGGATGTAGCTGATGGAGAAAAAGCCTTTGAATCCTCACAAGAGAAATGCCCGTTTACTTCTAGTTCGACCGTTAAGTTCAGGCTCAAGTATCCTAACGAGAGAACAGAGGAGAAGAAAACTAAAGCTGAAGTTGCAGAGGCGACAAGGGAGGTGGATTATCTGAAGAAAAAGATGGACGAGATGAGAATGTTGCTTGATGGATGTGAAGGAGGAATGACCGAAGAAGTAAGAGTGAAATTTGAAGATGAGATGGTAAATTTGTTGGAGAAAGTGAGAAAGTAAGAGAGATGAGATGCCCTTTAGGATTATAATTTATGTTTTTATTTTGTTGGTTGAGAATCTTGAGGAGACTTTTGCAGGTTTTAGGATATTTATGGTTTCTGCAAAACAAAAGACAAATATTTTGGGAAGTTGATGATACTATGAATCTTGTCATAGGTTAGAGAGTTTAGATCGATGTTTCTATGTTTTTTGTGTAGACTTTTCACAAGTTTACAAAATTTGGTACTAAACCCTGCTATTGGGCTTTTTGGTATATCACACTCTTGAGTAATGAGTTTGGGATGCTCAAATACTGTTTTATTTTTTTTACCATGCTAGCAAGTTACTTACTAGTAGTAGTAACATGACTCTAATTTAATTTACCAAATCCAAATCATGATTCTGCCAAAAACGTGATTCCGCGTTTCTCGCCAAAAACGTGATTCGGCACTTTTCTTCTAAAACGTGGTTTCGCGTTTTCTACCAAAACTTTGGTTTCACGTTTTCTCGTCAATCATGCTTTTCCGTCAAAAATAAAATCATGATTTTGTTGAAATTCAAAATTGATATAACTATATTTGTAATTATTAAAATTTTAATAACTAGAATGTATAATGGAAGATATTGAGAGTATACTCTCATAAATGACACTTGCATCACTTCATATGTTTAAACTATGTTTGTACAATACAAGGACTAAGACCATCATTTCATATTGATGGTCTTAGGCGCTTGCTAACAACACTGAATCACATCACAAACTAATCGTTTTATCATTCAGTGGTAATATGCAATTAGGGTCGTCGCTTCACACCCGGATCAGATTATCATTCGGAACCCTATTCTAATTGGTTAGTAGCTAGTTAAGCACATACTAATTAGGCTCTAGTGTTTTTACTATTTGGAAAAACAATTTTTTAAACACACTAGTACTACTAATATTTTTTTTGTAAACATATATACTACCACTTTAACGTTAACTTTACGTTATCGTTAGCTGAAAATGCATATGTATATATATGTATCATACCACTGTCTCACCCTTTCACCCATATAAAACTTTAAACGTAACATCCCTAACTTAAGATGTTGGTAACTATATTTTATAATGCATAATCTTTTTATATGATAATCTAATACTACATACTAATCAAAAATACAATTTTGTACATAAAAATTAAACAATGCTGATAAAGACATATGTATAATATGTATGGTGGTGCAAGGACAAAAGATTTGTTAGAGATAATATAGAATGACGATTATGAATCGTTCTATTGTTATATACTAAGTTACTAATATATGATATGTACAAAAATATCTATTTGAGTTTATTAACCTCACGACGTTTTATTGTTGTAAGATTAAGAAACTGAAGCAATCGAACCTTTCGTTTTCGAAGATGATAAGAATTGATATATGAGAGAAACAATCGTTGGAGTGCAAATGTAGTCATGTTTCTTCTTTCATTTGGTAGCAATTTGTATGTATGCATTATTTTATCTCATGTTTCCCAACGAACTATATTCTCAAAGTTATATTTTTTTTTATTAAAAGTTTTCTTTTCCCAAAATTTCTACAAAATTAAAATAAACAAGCTTAGTTGCAAGTCACAACCTTTTTCATTATTTAAAAATAAAATAAATTAAATTTACATTCTATTAAAAAATGGTGATAAATTTTTGTATCAGTTATTAAAAAAAAAATTTGTTTGCCTTTCTTTTTCTTTCAACATTTTTCTTTGTTCATTTTTATGATGTTTGGTAAATTTAGGAAAACTATTATGATTTATTGTAAACTTTTCTTAAAAACGATGAGATTTTAAATTTTGTATTTTTAACTAAATATCTAGCAACTCCACTAAAACCTCTTAAATTCATTTAAATTCCAATCTTTAAAATGTTTTTAATACAGGGGATTTTAAGATATATTTTAAAATCATTAATTAATTCAATAGCATTAGATTTTATTATATTTTAAAGAAAATTCATAATTGAAATAACATAGATTTCTTATTTTCAAACAAATCATTTGAAATGTTTGATTGAATACAATCCTCTCGGAAAACTGATCTATACGATGTCTCGTATAATCAAAAAAAAATTAAACAAATTTAAGTCTAGAAATGTGGGTTATGTACAATATAATGATGTTTTGATAAATATGGAGGATAGAACTTGTTACTTGATATTATGTTCTTATTCATAAGCCAGTTGAGTCATTAATAAAAAAAAAAATGTATATGAGTAATCAGATCACATTTGCATTGGTTCTAGTTTTAGCAGCTAGCTAATTAATTATAACACTCGATACAAAAAGAATCAGGTAACATCTCATTGTCAATTAATCAATAAATAAAACATAACACCTAAACTTTTTGCATCCAATAGAATCTATTCTCTTCTTGATATACAATAATGATACATTACCATTTCCTCAATTTATTTTTTTTCTTTTCCATAACTTATCTAAATTGCCATTTTTATAAGCCAACACTTTCACCTATATATATATTTATTACACTGAACGATACAAAACACCATTACAAGATAAAAGCATGGAGAACGAAGATGACTACACAACATCAGTTTGCCTTAGCTTTAACAGTTACACCACCAACGGTCGAACCGCTGAGACCGCCGAGCGAGTTCGGCTCGAGTTTTCCGACGAATCCAACGATGAGTTTGAGTTTCCAATTCTTGACAAAGACGGATCATCACTGTTGCTGCCACTGGCTACGGTTAAGACTCAGCTAAAGGAATTGTTCCTACACGAAGATCAGTCTTATTCATCATCTTCATCATCTTCATCAGATGAGGAAGAGCTTGACGTAGTCTCGAGTGAGAAATCGCTAAAGAGAGGTCGTTGGAGAAAGAGCAAATCTACGGGAGCATCATCGTCGACAACATCGTGGAGAATTAGTGATTTGTTGAAGAGAAGTTATAGTGAAGGGAAACAATCTCTCAAGTTCTTGAATTCGAATTCAAGAAACAGAGAAGAGTTTACTAAGAAGGAGAAGGAGAAGGTTGTTTGTGCACATGAGAAGTTTTATCTGAGAAACAAAGCGATGAAGAGCGAAGACAAGAGAAGATCATATCTACCTTACAAGCAACATGTCTTTGGTTTTTTCTTTACTGTTAAATAGTAATATATATATATATATATATATATATATGCTCAATCTCCATTTTTGTATGTAGTTTATTATTACTTCATGCATGGGACAAATAGTAACTGAAATCAATGAAACCGAATCAAAATGGTTAAAGAGAAATTGGACTGTTAAACTAGGCTTGTGTTTAATTAGATTAGGATTTATCTTCTTAAGTTATAATTTATAGGCTTTTAATAAGGCCCAAAATGTGTTTGCTAACATGTTTAAAAGAAATCTGTTTTTTTTTTTTCCTTCTACTCACACAAACATAAAAATTATAGATATTTACTTATGTTTTTATAGTGGTAAATATATATCCAGTCATAACATAAATTTATTTGATTATGTCTTTATAATGAAAAATATATGTCCAATCACTATATGTCTTTACAACATCATATTTTTCTTTAGATATTAATCGTTAGCAAAGAGACACTATAAAAACAAAATCACACCATATAAAAACAAAATAAGACAAATAAAAACTACTAAAAGATAAGTAAAGTTAAAACATCAATTTTTTTAATATAATAACTATAGATAATGTTTCTACTAAATTTGTTTTTAAAAATACCAAGCGGCCTAAGGCAGATTTCATCCTAGTCAGTAGTCATCTTAAAAGAGACTTTGGAAATTTTATCATAGGGTAATATCTAACAACATCAAAACATTTTATATGAAAATATTCATTTTTTTGAATATACATTTGAATATTTATATTAACATTTTTGCAGTATCTTTTGTGTTCCACCCTTTCATTTTGTGATATTTTCATAATTAACCCCTTGCCATTTGATTAAATAAAAAAAGTTTAAGATGAATTTTGTAATTAAATTATAATAAAATTGCAAAATTAGAAATCAATATTTATTACATTAAACAAAATTTCTTAAAATCTCTCCCTAAGAAATCAAATATTTCTGTAACATCTTTATATGATCTTATTTGTTTTTAAATTTATATTATTACATAAACATATGTATGATAAAAATATAATTTTTTTTTTGCATATGTTGCAATTTGAAGTTTTAGAAACGGATGTATATTACTCAAACGATACAAAATGGATGTACTAAAGTATTAATGATAATTGTGTAGCACGGGTCATGTGATAACGAGTTATAATTTACATAATTATGATTATAAATATTTTTACGGGTTGTCTATTATAGTATAATTCACAAAATATTTTAATATGAAATTATATTATGTAAACAAATATTATGTCAATATCATTTCATTATTTTAAATATTATACTTATAATTAATTTGATCAAATTACGATTATATAAAACATAAATTATCATATAATATTCTACGGGTTAAATCTTAGAATTAACAATCAAAATATAGTGGTACACTCTTATATACCAAACAAAATTAATATGATGAAAATAACAAATAATACTTAACTTAATAGTGTATATGGTAAATAATTTTTTTTACCCCCCCCCCCCCATCTTTGACTTAGAAGCTGGATTTTTGGTAGATTAGTTTAAAAACAAATTTTTTAAAAGTTAATCTTAAAACTTTATTTACTTAAATCTAACAAAAATATTGATTAATTTATAATAGCATGCATGCATACCATGTAAATACCATCAAGTAAACGTTAATTATTATTTTTTAATAATCCTTCTCTCTCACTTTATATATATATCACACCTAGGAGAATTAATATATATATCACACCTAGAAAATTAATATATATATCACCGTGAAGCAGATCTAAATATCAATCAAAGATAAACTCTCGTATTTTCATATTCTGCTTCTGATTTCAATTCCTCCAAAAAGTATGGCAGAATATATATTTTTCAAAGTAGTGATGCTAGGCGACTCCAACGTTGGAAAAACAAATCTTATATCGAGTTTCACCAAAGATGAGTTCGAAGTTGAGTCAAAGTCGACCATTGGCATTGACTGGCTAACTCGATACGGTAGCATAAACGACAAGAACATGAAAGTCCAATTTTGGGACACCAATGGTCGTGAACGGTCTGTCTCGCAAAAACACTTTTATGTTTCACAATTCAAAATCAATGCACGATAAATATATAGTTTAATTTACAAAGTTATGACTTGTTTATAAAGGTTTTTTTTTAATGCATATATACGTACAGGCCATTGGCAAACCATTACTACAAGGAAGCTACGGTGGCTTTAATAGTGTACGACATCACGTTTTACACATCGTTCAAGAACGTTGAAGGATGGCTGAAAGAGCTACGTGAGCATACGAATGATCCCAATATGGTTATCGCCCTCGTAGGCAATAAGTGTGATCTTGGTCACCTCCGAGCCGTCTCGGAGGAAGAACTCGAATCTTTAGCGGTGAAAGAAAGTGTCTGTTTCCAAGAGATATCGACTCTCAATGAAACACAAGTTAGAGAAGTTTTTCAGCTTTCCATCATGGAAGCTGCGAGACGAAAAGGCCTTTACGGTACAATGAAATTTAATCATTGTATCAAAGTTGACCGAGCTAGGCGAGTTGGCTGATTAATTATATTAAGTTCATAATAACAAAATTTCCCCGTTATCAAATTAATTGATGTTTGATGAAATAATGTTTTATCAATTTATTTTATAAAATCTTCAGTCTTAACGTATGTAATGAAAAAATATACTGCATGCGCAAGTTATAGAATCATGCGTATTCAATGTTTCACACGTCCTCGTCATATCCAGAATCTTCAATACGTATGTTCTTTGGTGTAACTTACTAACTTATGATTCATCGCACATTCATCAAATTGTTAACTCCAAAAAAAAATCTTATGATTCATCATCTTTAATAAGTCCCATAGAATTTGTATTTTCAACTCTGATTTATAAATAAATTAAAAAAACAAAAAAAAAACTCTGAGTTAGTTTTGTTCTCTTTGACTTCATGAGATTGTCCATTACATATTTACATGTACGACCAGAAGGCACACACTGCAAATTTATAGTTTTATAGCCCTATGAATGGGATAACATAATTCGATCGGCTAAAATATATATCAAACCCATATCGTTGTTCTACATATATATGCACATGTCAACTAAAAGAGAGAGTAATGTATGCAAGTACAACAAGCTTGAACAAAAGATGAGATTATTGATTATATGATTTGATCATCTAATAGAGTCTTGACAAAAAAAAAGGTTTTCCGATGGGGAAATATGTATTTTTATATAGTTTATCACAACATATTTCGACATTTAAAATTTTTATTTTATTATTTATAAATATATTATACAATTTTTTTTTTGTTAACCCGCAAAAAACATAGATATAAAACTGAAAATCATATCAAATATGTGCATATAATATAATTAAAAAAAAATCTCAAACAAAATTTAATAATCGTTAATTCTTACAATATAAAAATGTGATTATTAATTTATTTGACTCCTCAACTTTAAAAGATGAGGATTCAATCCGTCAGCGGTCACGAAATCTACCAAGGTCACCTTTTATGATTTGTTTTAAGAAATAAATACGTTTTAATGATTTGGTTTACTTTTTTCCTCAACGAAAGAAAAGAAAAATAAATCTCTACCAGTTGGCTTCCTAGCTCAACTAACTTTCAAATTCCAGTGTACGAGGTCTGGTCTTATCTACAGTATGATTTATTTAATTCTTGGGTAATCGTCATTAATTTCAAATTACATTTCCACCTCTAACATTAGTATGTGTAATTAAGAGCCTAACCTGACAAGACCTCATTCACCTTTAAAAATCTTTAAGACCGTGATACGCAGAATCAAGGCTTGTAACAACAGCTGGATTATCTCTTGTTATCGTTTTAGATGGTTCTAACATATTATAAAGTACAACAAGCTGTATATAAAATTTAATTCTACCACATCTTGTAAATATAGAGCATGTAGTATTATTAGAAAGATGCCATGCAAACTAAATAATATAATTTGGATATTGACAAAGTTCAGTTATAATCCAATCCTATATAAACTAATATGGATTCAATTTGGTCATTATAGGGAAAACCAAATAACTCTCTATAATTTTCTTATCAACTGATCATCCTTACTTTTACACAGAACAAAAATAAAAAAAAAGTACAAAAGCTAAGAGTAAATATAGAAAGAAAAAAATCGATCGTATTCATATTCTTATTCTTGTTTCATTATAATCTAATAATCGATGATTAATTACTTCTTAGAAGCTAATCATATAAGATATTCAGATACAATACCCATTAGTAAAATCCATCATAGTAAGTGAACTAAGCTCGAAGTCATCTTCAAGAACCCAAAAGGTGTCGAACAGATTAGGAACCGTGGCTGCAACTTCTACGTCAGTTGGTAATGAGTGGACCGGTTTGGGTTTCGGTTTTAGTTTAGACTCATCAACTAACGTGTCGAATCTTACAGTTGAAACTTTTTCGCCGGCCATCTCTTGAGGAGAGGAGGAAGTTGTGGTTATGAGGGCCAAAGATGGTGGAGACTCTGAGTCGCGAGCCGGTTTGGCCCCTGACGAATGGTCTCCGAGACCAAGTTTCTTGCTGAGATGAGTGTTCCAATAGTTCTTTACTTGGTTGTCTGTTCTTCCCGGAACTCTTTTAGCTATCAACGACCATCTAAATATATATGAAAAAACCATATTAATTGTTATGTTCATTTGTGGTTACACTTTTTTCAATAATAACGTAACATAGTACTAGTAAATAAATATTTAAACATTGTATGAATGTTTTCAAAATATGTGGCAAAACTTTTGAAACAATCAATTTGTAAATCGGAGTAGTTTCTATATCGAGGTGGGAGTTAATGCTTATGGGCCTATATAAAGCATGTGTGTAATACATGTAGCCAAATTATGTATGTTGATATGTTGTAGATGTTACATGAGACAGGTCATGTATGTATATGCTGATGATGATCCATAAATGAGTACAATTATGAGTCATTGTAAAATTCGAGAATTCATTTTTTTTCTTTTTAATAAAAAACCTAGCAATATAAATTAATGGCCGGAAAAAACAAACGGATGTATATTGCTAGCTAGGTTTTGATTCAAACAAAGAACAGATTGAGATATAGGTTTTTATATTCAAATTTACGATCCGTTTCTTTCGATTATACTACTATTTAATTTGAATAACCATTAGATGAGCATATGAACCTTTGCAAATAGGTTTAATATGCACAATTATATATTTTGTAACTTAACTGATATATGTATATGAAACGAATTTAGATATTACCGTGAATTAAGAATCGTACGTATATACGAGTTACATACTATATAAGTGATATACGTACGTAGCTAGCTGTAGATGGACACGTTTTAACAATTTAGAAATTACCGTGAATTAAGGATCGAACACAAAGCATATAATATACATATGACTTAGATACTATATGTTATATATAGTTTGCAAGCTGTACACATTTAAACAATTTAGCGTGAATTAAGCACAGATCTCACTCACACACATATAATTAATTGAATTTGTATAAAAGAATATAGAGTAAGATAATCCATGGATATATAGATTTAATAAAAAGAAGAAGAACCTGTTGCCGAGGAGCTTGTGGAGTCTGATGATGAGATCTTCTTCTTGGTCAGTGAAATTGCCTCTGTTTACGTTAGGGCTTAAGTAGTTCATCCATCTCAACCTGCAGCTCTTCCCACATCTCTTGAGCCCTATAGGTATAATTAATTCATAGTTTCAATCTTTAGAATATTTTCTTTTAGCTTCCATCAAGAAACAAGAGAAGAAGATAGAAAGAAAGATAGTAAGAGACCAGTTTTCTTGGCGATGCGGTTCCAGTGGCCTTGGCCGTGAGTTCGGACATAGTCCATGAGAATCTTGTCTTCTTCCACTGTCCATAAACCTTTCTTGTATTCATGCTCTTTTCCATCTCTTGTCATTCTCATCCTTTTTTTTTAATAACTTTTCTTGATCCCGATGAAGTGAGAGAGAGAGAGAGATATATATTTTGAGAGAGGGAGAGAGAGAGAGTAGAGATATAGAGAGATTTTGAAGATGGCTGAGTCGGTGGTGCATGTTTAGTCGAGCCTGGCTCTATATATATAAGATTCCATGTGACGTGTATAATAAGTTCTTATGTGTATACGTAAGGCATGTTTGTATGATGTTGTCTCTCCAAAAAAGTTCTGTATATGGTAAAGTCTTACATTCTTTTACCAATAAGTCAACCTAACGAATTAAATTGATTTACCCATTTAAACGGATGCAGATATATTTAGTTATGGCAAAGTAAAAAATTTGCATGCATACCATAAAAAGTCAGTGGGCTACGAGAATGATGTTGTTAGCTAGTTTTGCGACAATTTGGATATAAATGAATTAGCCGCTGAGCACATAGAGAATTTCAAAAGTTTTCTGAACTTGCATAAGATAATTATTGTAATAGCTTAACTATATATATATGCTAGCTAGAAAGAGTTTGAAGGGATTTGTATATCCTCGATTTTGTTGTTTTGGTTGAACAAAGACAACAAAGGTGATCTTAACATTTAACCAAAATACAAAAGACAACAAAGGTGATCTGAATTTCCCATAAGGTTATACGTAAAAAAGAAGCTAAGCAAATTTGAGAAATGATACTTCAAAGTTCATATGATGAGTTTTAGTTGTTTTGTTTGCTACTCAAAATATATTTTACCCACAAATGATAAAATCGAAGAATAAATGTATTAGTTTATACACAAAACTCAAATTTTATTTGTTCTAAAAAGATTCTGAAACAAAGAAAATATGAAATGTAGTTATAACAGAATTTACCAATATCTAATAAAGTAATGTAAAAACTGTAATAATTTTATGTATGTGTAGGTAGACATGTGTATAATATATATCCCAACTAACAAGTTAAGTAGATAAAGTGAAAATTGAAAAAAAAGAAGAATATAATTACTATAGAACATAATAATGCTCCCTTTGGGTAGACAGTAGACAGATATCATTTTTTTTTTTACTTTTTATATTAATACCAAACATAGTAGATCCTCTGCTCATCCAGCTAAGTTTTATATACTTGTATATGTAAGCTATATATATTTCAAGATTTGAGTATTATTTTTTACTCGGATCCCAATGAAGAGACAACTCATTTGAATTCTATATTCTTTACTTCTACATACATTTTACTTTTCAATGTGAATCAAATATATATATATAAAGATTGCTCGAATACAAAACTAAAGTATACATAATAGAATTAATTATGAATTTAAATTTTTTTAAGTTACCATATATAAGATGCTATTTTAGTAAACTTATAAATTTTGAAACTAAAATTATATATGATTAAATATATATTTTCCATTATGTTTGGATTTAGTTGGTTTATTTTTTTAAAAAGTTTTAGTATTTGCTATAAAATATGTATTTTAGTTATATAAAAAATCATCAATATAGATTTTTCACTGTTTGATATTTTTTGAAGTAGTTACTATTCCCTTTAACTGGAATTTTGCAAACGAGTTTTTTTTTTTATAACTAGAGTACTAGACTATAAAATTACACTTCCTTAATACAAAAATTTAAACAAAATTTAAAATTTAGACAGTACTGTAGTATAATAATCACTACACTAAATGTATTATGTCGTACATATGAATTATGTATGTGTGTATTAGATTATAGCTTCCACTTGATTTAGCCTACTTTTATTAGATTTTAATGGATAATTAATGATATAGGACCCTATAGACCTTTTAATTCCTAACCTTACTTTCAAATCAAAGATCAACCCAACTAGTTGATGTTCATCATTAATCTATTACCAACACTTATTCATACATTTATCGGTAGAAAATATGTAAATAGCGATTATTTTTTTAAGAGAATTTTTGAGAAATACCCCTTTTGGTGTACCCGTTTTTAAAAATACCCCTCTTTTCTATCATTTTCAAAAATACCCCTTTTCAAATATGAAAAATTATAAACTTTTATATGGTTGATAAGGTACATCAAGATCATCTTTACTATTGGGTGATAAAATCCAACTATTTATAAGGTTTTAAAAGGTTCTAAACAACTATTTATAAGGTTTTATAAGGTTTTTATAAGATTTTTAAAAGGTTTACAAAGTTTTTATAAGGTTTTTAAATGATTTTTAAAAGGTTTTAAAAGGTATTTAAGAAATACAAATTTATTAATTTACACACATATAAAGATAATTTGTGTCTATAAATATAAGCTTACACATATTTTTTTGATAAATCTCAAATTTATAGTGATTTATTGATAAAATTAGAAAGAGGGGTATTTTTAAAAAGGGTTATTGGAAAAGGGGTATTTTTGAAATTCTCCCTTGTTTTAATTATCTGGTAGACTATAATTATATAAAGATATGCGTAGGGTAAAATTTTCGATTGAAATAGTTCTATTTTTAGAAATTGTATTGAAATCGAGAAAGATTAAGGGAGGTAATTTTAAACGTTAAAATGTAGGATTTGTCACATTACTCATGTAACATTATTGTACAAAAACAATATATTACTAACATAATAAGTAATTTTATTTAATTATGTACTACATGTATAATGTATATATAATATATATAAATATATTTCACCAAAAAATAATAGGATTAATTGGGTTTTTAGTACATTTTTGAAACATAATTGTAGAAATAGTACATTTACTATTCATTATTAGCAAACTAATACATTTTTACTATTTGGACACTATTTAGACACTATTAAAAACCCCCTTAAATTTAATAACTAAAAATATTCATCAAAATATATTTGTTTTCTATAAAATTTCAACTACATAAAAATCTATATATTTTTTCTATAATTTGATATGCATTTTTTAAAAAATAATTTCAAATATTTTTCAAACAAACTTTGATACGTCCAGCTATCCTTATTTACAGTTGTGTGTCGATGTAATGAAAATCATCCGTACAGCGGTCTATATATACGTATAATTGTATGTGTACAAATATTTTCTGGTCTATATATGTATATTTGTTTATGTATAAATACGTTTATATGTAGTTGTTTCTCTTTGTACAAATATTTGATGTACAATAATATGTTAATGTACAGTTGTCTATCTGTACATATATCTGAAATAGTAAAATTGTACTATTTTGCTAATTGTGAATAGTAAATGTACTATCTTTATAATTATGTTTCAAAAACGTACTAGTTTGCCAACACACCCAAAATAATATATATATGAAAATTTATAGATTCATTCAAATGAATATTTATTACAAATAAATTACATTACTTTCTCTTTTCACAATCTTAGTTAATAGTTTTTAAAAATATTATGAAAATTAACTTTTATATATTTTGACACTTTAAAACTTAATTTGATATTCAAAATTATATTACATCACTTAAAATGAAACAAAATTTTTAGGGTAAAACATCACTTAAAACAAAAACGGAAGGAGTAATATATAGAGAAACATTAGTTAAATGAAAAATAATATTTAAATATACTTAGAGTAGTTATATGATGTTTAATTGGTTTCATAATCCTATAATTACAAAATATAAGTTTACGATTTTTTTTTGTAATTTAGATCCCTTATGAAATCCAATCTTACTAAAGTTTTTCTTGATCTCGATAGTTTTAGATCAAAATCGTTTGAAACTTTTACATGTAACACGATTTTGAATTTAACTTTTCCTTCTTTTCTCTTCAATTTCAAAGTCTGAGGCAAATAGATGTGAAACTCACAATACCAATTTCGTGAAGCTAGAATTATAGAAAGATCCAAACGTGAACGTACGAGAAAAAAAACATCCCTCAGTTTTGCGGACTTAGCAAAATACAAGCATATAACCACGAGGCAATGCTTTTCTAATGGATGGTTAAATGATCAACAAAGGTCCGACCCTGGTTAGGAAATTAGTTAGTAATCTTAATAAGTCGTGTGTTAAGTGAACCTCATCTTTAACATGATTATGCATGCATTAGCTCACTTGAACCTCGAGTGCTAAGTTGCCATTTTGACTTGATCGATTGAATCGAGTCTCTCGCGAGATAACAAACTTACAAAGTTAGGTAGACACTGGTGATACGAGGTGATCAACTCATCATGTTGAGCTCAGTCGTCATGCTTGATCGTGCATTTTACCTTTGACATTTCTTCTAAGTCTCTAACTAGGCTTTACTTCATACTGATCTCATGACAACATAATCATTTTTTTTTTTTTTTTGCGTCACGACTTGAGTACTAGATCCAACAATTACAATAACAACAACACTAGCTGATACACAAATATTTATGTGGTACACAATGTTTTCCATACACATACGTACTAACGTACGTAGCTGCATTGAATAGATATGGTAGTCGAAGTTGTTATATAACGACTAATTAAGGTAAAGAAAAGAAAGATACAACCATATATCATTAGAATAGTCAAACTCACTACACGCGATTGTCTAACCAAGCCGTTGGCATGCAACTTTTTATATATCATCGACATGTTTTATTTACATTCACACATTCGTTTTTATTAAATTTTGGAATTTATTTTTATGTAAATGTTCACGTGCAATTATTTATATAACTTTATTATATTGTGTACTACTCCATATAAAGAGGAGGTTTCCTAATCATTGATGTGTCTATCCAAAGTGGTTAGGCTATAAATAGAAATCCACTATATATAAAAAAAAACAATATTGTTTTTATTTTATTTTCACGAATGTTTGATTAGTCTTATATATGAATTGTATACATAATTTGTGGTGGTTTTGATATCCTTTTGGTTACAAAATTGTGTAGTAGCAATTTGTAAATTGTAACGCTATACAGCTTTTATAGAATAGGGAGCTTATTTTATTTTTGCCATCGCTAATATATTTCTATGGAATTGTGAACTCTGACTACTCCTGCCGACGTTGTTAATTCTTGCACCAGCTTAGTATAACAATATTTGCTGCTAGATACAGTTTGTCAGTGTAATTCTTTAACTTATTGATATACTATTAGTTTACCACATGATTTTTTTTTTACTTTTTACCACTATTTATCCTGACAAAAATTGAATTATAAGAATGATTTTTTGTTCAAAAAAAGAATGATTTTATGATAATTATTTTCACACTACCCAAAAAAAGTTTATTCGTACCAAAATTAAAACTTATGAAATGTTTTAAACATGTTATAAGTATATAACATGAGTTAAAAACTTTATAAATTACATATGTATTTTTTTATTTTTTTATTAAAATTAATAAATTTGTATATTGTGGTATTTTGAAAAATGGGAGAAACACCACAATATACACCAGAACGAAAGGGTTCTAACTTTTTAGTATAGCATGGTTCTCACATGCATAGATCAGATGTATTCTTAATTATACAAAACTGATAATGTTAACATAATAGAGAAGGATCTTAGATATATAACATGATTTCAATCTCTTATACTATTAAATATGAGAGTTTCTCCTCTCCATAAACATAAAAGAGGACAAACATAACTATTCGTATAGTCTAAGCTCACTGCAACAAAAGGTCCCTTGCAACGAAAGCCACACTTATAGCATCCTGGTCGATTTATACCATTCAAAGCCACTTCCCATTTCCTTTTATTGAACTCAAAATGTAGTCGAGGCTTCACATACCTAAAATCTCCAAGTATACACTCAATATGAATAGTTGAGCCAGAACTCTCGCAAGTGTAGAGTATATTCTCTTTATCCATTTCTCTCTCACATATCTCGCACCAGTAACTACTGGTCAAGTCCTTGTCCCCATCGTAGCATAATCTGAGAGGATCTCTATCGTACTTGTACCTTACATTAGGTGGTAAAGTAGCACACTTGAAATCCAAAACAAAATCGCAATCCATACAAGTCAAAACATAATCCGACTCTTGCTTACAAGTCACACATACCTTGCTATCTAGTGAAGTCTGGAACAAAGGATGCGGATGACACTCGTAGGAAAATGGTTCGGATATTGAACCACATCGTACATCTAATGTGATATTGCAACATTCGTACCTAAAACCACTGCAGAGTCGACGACAAGCAGAGCATAAGAATACTCCATGAAGCATTGGACAATCCTTGACTATGTTCTCATCATAGTATAGAGTAAGTTGATGGTTGTGAAGTACATGTCGCTTCTTACGAGGAAGGTTAGCACATGTTTCGTGGAGGATAAAATCATCACATTGCATACAACTATAGAACATGTTAGAGTAAACAGGACGGGCGCATGCTCTACAACGCAAACATATATCATTGATATTAGTAAGACTAAGACCATCCTCGAGTCTTAGATTGTGCTCTCGATGACTAAAATGATTTATCACTCCATCACTCACAACTTCAAAAGGTTCTTCACATTCATCACTTTCTTCTGGCTCGTCCTCAAGTTCTCTCCCATCCCACACGTCCCTCCTCGTCGCACATCTAGAATGAACTGCGTAATCCGGACAAACCGAGCAAGAATACGCCCCATATCTCCCATCTATTCTTCTTCGACAAACTCCGCATTTCCAATCTCCAAAACCAAGAAAATAAGTACGAGAGATACGATGTACATGACGTATCATGCTAATGACGCGTGGTAAGTTAATACAACCTTCATGAATCATAAAATCACACTGAGGACAAATGTAAGGAGATCGATCCGATTCAAGACCACATGCATTACAAGTAAAGCATATGAGCCTTGGCATGAGAGTGAGTGTATGCTCATGACATTTCTTGAAGTAAACTATAAGCTGAAGCGGGTTACGTGCACAATAAAGATCTAAACTAAAGTCACATATGGAGCAATGATATACTAATTTGCCAACCTTTTCTCCACATAGACGACAATTGTGATCTTGAGCTACCAATGGTAAGCCATGTATTAGGAGCGTGAGAGGATGTCTCTTGTGAGATGGATGGTTGATCTCTGGTGATGATTCTAAACATTCTTTGTGAACGGTGAAGCCGCAAGTATCACATCTGTAGCCGTCAAGACCCTTTTCTCGAAGTTCAGGGCATCCATCGCATTGACCGGTGCTGCTATAGTGGGTGTGTAGAGGATGTTCGTGAAATGAAAGCATCAGAGTTTGTCCCATGATCTGGTTAAACACCATGGATGGGGTTAATGACCCATCATCATCATCATCATCATAGGAATGAGCTTCATTTTGTTCAGAGAGTTCCTCAACAAGGACCATTTTTGTGAGCTTGACGAACTAATTTGGGTTGTTTTTTTTTTGTTGTTGGATACATATATGCATGATTTAGAAAAACAAATTGAAGAAGAAGAAAAAAATATAGCCGTTACAGAATTATTTTTTATTATTTGAATTTTTTTTGTAATTGATGTTTATTTGTCCCACTAATCTTATACAATTAATATTCGAATCTTTGGGTTACAGTGCTTTTTAGGCCTGCAAAAGTTTGGTAATTGTGCTTGTAAAATTTATAATCAATTATTTTTGGGAAGATAGCTAGGAAAATCCATATTTCGAAACATAAAGGTGCTTGGTTTTCTAAAAGGCAACTGGTTTAAAAAGCTAAATTTTTTAATACTTCTATACAAGATATGTTTGAATCTTATTTATTATCATGTATGATAACAACTTTAACTTTTAAAAACAGTTTTTTTTTTTCTATAAAAATAAGAATTTTGTGCTACCATTGTTTGATGATGTTGGAAAGACCTCAAGTTTTCGTACAATCCAAATACCCAGTCTTAAAATTTACGCTTCATTGTCGTAAAATTAAGAACTCGGGAATTTTATTATTATCATATATTTGTGTTATGTTTATGCATGTGTGCTCTGGCCTCTAGTCGAAACCCAATAATTCAAGTTCTAAATTACTACGATTTCAATTAAAGTTTATGATAATTGAAAATGCTTTAACAGATAAGAACATATATTACACTTCACAACTCTGAAGATTAATAGTCTAGTTTTGCTTTGAGCTTTGCCTTATAAACAAAAGAACTTTATCTCTATATATAATTTGTCACTTAGCTAGGTTAGCCAAACCATCCGAACCAAATGTTTATAAAAAATCAAAGTTTCTTTAAAGAAATTTTTTTTCTTCTAATTGGTTACAAACTAAAAAGCTTGATTGTGTTATCTGGTCAAAGGGGCATCATTTTTAGCTTTGTTTTTTTCTAAGGTTTTTTTCTTAAAGTTTCAATCTTTTGATCTTCTTTTATTTTTGTTATTTATTTGCAAGTTTTATTCCCTTTCACAGGCGAAAACAAAAGAGCACAATCCCATGATGTCTTCATGTTATTCCCCAAGTACATTTACTTTTAGAATGGTATATGTAGGAGGTTTGACTGTCCCATGCATATATGAATACATTTTTGGAGTTTCAATATTAAAGTTTTAATCTTTTGATCTTCTTTAAAGGTAAAATATATACTATCAATTCAATTGGTTAATTTTTAAAAATGTTTATTCTTACTACTATCAGTGGGTATATATATTTTTTGGATCTTCATAACAATTAGTCGATAATTTCATTTAACTTGAAAGTTGAGACACAATCAAAGAAAAATTTATTTTGTGAATTGCGTTCAAAGTTTATGTTTGACCAAAGAAGTAAGAAAAGTTATAATCAGTGCATATACTTGGTGTTATACCACAGTGGACCATTTTACGTGCTTTCTCGTATGTTCATGAATATTTCTCTTTTTTTGAATGGAATTTTGTTACAAAAATTAGAATATATCTTTTGGAGCAGAATTAATATACAAACAAATTAAAATTCAGATATCGAATCTTGACTTTGGCGCCCCACACATCGGTCAGTCAAAAGTTAGTTTTGCTTAGATAAGCTAAACCGCAAAGTGTATCTCCTAAAAGAATGTTGAAAGATTATATAGATCATAACGTTTAGTGTAATGCTCTGATTCACTATCTGAAAATGAATCTTAATGCCAATAATTATGTTACTACGTAAATGATGTAAGTATGATGTAGAGAATTGAGAATAAAGTGTCAACGATAAAGAACAAAAACACGACAAAAAGATTACCAACTACTATCTTCAGAGTGCATATGGGCTATATGAGCCATGAGTAGTGACTACTTCACAACTTCCCAAGTTTATAGCAGAAGTGTCTATGATACACCATAAGGTCGCTTGTGGTTTGTTGCTTGTTTGCTTCGGTCTCCGATTCTCTATGGTTTATCCAATTTATTCTATCTTATGCTCATTAAAGCTTATTGTACTCTTTTGTATATTTGAAAACTTTGTAAACTTTTCCCTTGAGGGGTTTGATTGAATGAAATACAAGTCTTGTTTGACCAAAAAAAAAAAGAAGCTAGTAACATTATATTGTAAGATTCTTTTTCAAGGCATTTAACATTCAAAAAGTGATAAATTGATGAGAGTAAAGAACAGAAATGTGTTTAGAGGAAGAATTATATTAGACTCTCATGAAAATAATGTTACAACTTACAATCTCTAGTTTTATGATAAACATAAATGTAAATAATATATATATATATTGTAGTAATGTTAAACTTCCTAAACTCAATATTAACATTTATCAATAATCTTCTATAATAATATCTTCTCGATTTCCATATTTTGGGGTTGACATCTCGACCGTCGATCTCGGTCAATCTCCGGTCTTTATCTCCCAATAAAAAGGAAAATCTATTATGTCTACTATTGTATATTAATTAAATTGGATTTCGAATAAAACATTAACTGTATTTATAAAAGATTGATTACTGTTCATGCAAAAAATTTATATGAGGCACCCAAAAACTTTATATAGTTTTATAGAAATAACTAGCTAAATATGTATATTTTGTAAGGAAAATTAAAAATTATATTCAATACAACTTTATAGTATTGATTTATGATACTTTATGTAATTTTTAATCTATACCATTTTCTCTCGGTCACCCAAACCTCTATGCATGTAACAAATTTTTCTAGCTTTGCCACTAGATGGACAAGCTGGAGAATAATAAACCAAACCTGCACCATTGAAAAAATATGGTCAACATTATATATATGGGCCACCGGCCACTGGAATAGTTAGTATACATTGTGAAGAATCGTGAGTGATTCATGTTATAACTAGATGCCTGCAGCTTACTATAACTAATTAAGGTAGTTAAGTTAATGGACATATATATGCATGACTTTGTATGATTTGTGTTTTATTTTCTGTATACTACATGTGGTGTGTGTATTTCTTACATATGTATATATAAGTAGGATAACAAAATTTAGTGAATTTGTAACATTATTTAGTTACCAAAATGTAATCGATTAATTAATCGATAATATAACCATTAATTAGATTGGAACCACACCAGAAAGGTATATCTCCTCTTTCTTTGGTTTGTTTTTTTTTTTTTTTTTTTTTTGGTATTTCATAACCTCAAATCGATACGTCCGAAATCAGAATAGTTTAGGGAATCATCTAACTTCGCCTTTATTTTTATTTTTTTTGTTCTTTTATTCCCATGATTTTGCCTATATAAACACATGACTTCTCATATATTCTCAAATCTCCATACACAGATCGACATTAAGAGAAGGAAATTAAAACAAAAACCTATCTATTCAAAGTTCTCTTAACTTAAAAGCTTTGAGCTTGCTCTTGTTTATAATGGACTACAGATTGTCAATGGAGTCCTCAGAAACCCTAAGGTATTTATACTAGTGTAACGTACGTTTTAGTAACACCAATATCTAATGCTACTATATATGTGCATGTTCGCAAAACACTCTTAAAAAAATGAACAATTCGTAACAAGTGAAATCTGTAATTTACTAATTTAGCTAGTGAGAATAGAGTGTACGTACCTTAAATTATAATATAATTCGTGCATGATTAAAAAGGAACAAGTGTGGAGGATGCTATAGGCAATTCAACAAGAAGGAACACTTGGTGGAACACATGAGGATCTCTTATCATTCAGTTCATGAACCTACTTGTGGCATTTGCAACAAACATTGCCGATCTTTTGACTCCCTCCGTGAACATCTCATCGGTATTAACCGTCTAGTTTATAACTTTGTATTTAATTTCCATTTTTTTTTCACATTACATTTTGGACTATATCTTACTTAATTAGGGCCATTGCCGAAACAAGAATGTAAGAACATTTTCAGCAGCCGTGGCTGTAGATTCTGTCTTATAATCCTTGAAAGCCCCAACGCTCGTAGGATCCATCAAGAGAGATGCCAGCTCTCCAACGTCACTTTGGTAATCTTCCCATATTTTTAAAACATACATAGTAATAGATGTCTTAAATTCTTTCAAAACTAAAAAAAAAAATTGTGTTTATGTTTATTCGTCCATGTGAAAGAATATTATAAAACCAAATCGCCTTGGTCCAGGGGTAAAGGGAGGTAAGTTCCGCCACCTAGATTCGAGTAGCACTGGCCACGAGGATTCGAGATTTAAAAGCCTTTGAAATCACTTATGAGTTATATAAAAAAAAAAAGAATATTATAACTTATGCATTACTATCAAACGTATACACGCAGGAGGATCATAATCTAATACTCTTTCTGATATATTAGGGATTAACAACTCGTATGGCGGCTTTAGGCCTAAGAGACAACCCTACAATCGACTACACTTCTTCGAGGTCACCTCGAGTGGTCGCACTCTCATGCAAGATGGTTGGAGGAGGCAGCGACGGATCGCTCGACATATGCGCAAGGGTTTGCATTACGGACGAGAGTGATAACGTTGTGTTCCATACTTACGTGAAGCCAACGATGCCCGTAACGAGTTATAGGTACGAGATGACAGGGATACGACCTGAGAATCTAAGGGACGCAATGCCACTGAAGCATGCACAGAGAAAGATTCAAGAGTTTCTTTGTAATGGAGAACCAATGTGGAAGATTCGTCCAAGAAATGGGAAAGCAAGGATTCTCGTTGGACATGGACTTGATAACTATCTTGACTCTCTTCAACTTGAATATTCCTCTTCCATGATAAGGTAAATTAATACTTTTACTAGAAACATATAATATCTAATCATCTTTAAAGATGGTAACATAAAGTTATATAAAAATAACATTATACCACTGCTTTATATGAATTCATACATATATATAACACAATAATGTTGTTGTTGTTGTTGTTGTTTAATAGAGATACTGCGGAATACCCTCCATTGATGAAATCAAGCAAGTTAAGCAACTCTCTCAAGTACTTAACGCAAGCCTATCTCGGGTAAGTTTTTGTTTTTGAAATCTCTATAATTAGCAAATTAACATTCACCATTTGATATTATAAACTAGTTGATAGAATAAAAAAGACTTTTCAATATTCCATTATTATCTTAAAAATAATAATTACTCAACTTGAAGAAAATATAGTTTATCTACTAAACCATGCATGTATACAATAATGTAAATTAGTACATGTCGTATGTCATATTCGGACGCAACAATTACTAGCTACTAATTAAGCTCCTAAAAGAGATATCCAATGGATACTTTTGACACCAAGTGTTGTTGATCGACGTGTACGACATACGTATAGCGTAAAAAGTTTCTTACAAAATTCGAATAAAATCAATTGATGATAATCTTTAGGAATATATATATCTCGTTCATATCAAAGTTTGATTTGTGCATCTCTACTCTCTACCTCATATTTTATATCATTTGATTCATAACAAAAAGTTTCGCATGTCTAATTTGCTCCTATCCTACCTAAAAGGCTATGCCAAGTAAGATACTTTGATATGCAAAACTGATTTAGAAAAAAACCTAACTATGAATTACACCAATTTGGCTAGAATTTATTGTTGATGGTTTAGTTTTTATTTAAAGGTTTAAATGGGCATAGAGGTTTGTTTTTCTTTATAGTTTAGATTTTAAACAATTTTCAAATTTTAAGAATTTTATAATACTTTACCTTTGATATTAATTTCTTATCTTTCTTGATGACCTTGTAAAGGTATGATATTCATGTGGGAATACAAGATCCTTATGAGGATTGCGTCGCGGCCATGAGGCTATACACGAGAATGCGATATCAGAAACACAGGATCGATGCTTATCCGATAGCCTCAGACCCGCAGAACCGCAACAACTACGGGGCGTGGAGACAGAATGAGCTAGAGAGGATGTCTCCACAAGAGTTGCTCGACCTTTCACGTTCAGACTATTACTGCTGGTGCCTGGACTCGGTCGCTTGAAGAAGAACGTTATGGTTGTGCTTGATCATCTCCAAAAATAATATGGATGCGAGGATTTATATACTATAGTATACTTTAAAATCGAATAATAATTGTCTTAAACTTAATTAGTGATGATGTTGATCATAACTCATGACTCATGAGATAGAAATGGTCTCATACGTACGCTTTTTTAGTAATACTAGCTAACTGGTAAACTTCTTTGTTTCCTATGTATTAGGTCACTTTATATCTTGCTTTGGCTAATCTTAAAAGTGATATATCCCTTTTGAGATTAGTTGCCAATATTCCTCATTTTCATAAAAAGCTAATTCTATGGCTTTAATAACCTTTTTACTTTGAGATTACTTGTCAAAGTTTTCTTTTTTTTCAACCTAACCTTTGTTATTATTAGATAGTGGTTTTGGTTTTAGCCACATACATCAGAAGAGGTTTGCAATTATCACCACATACATCAGAAGAGGTTTGCAATTATAACACTAGACGCAAGAGTGCAGAAATAATCAAATTTTGCATTCTTGTATCATCTTTGTTACATGTAATTTTTTACATATTCCACTCATGCATGGTTATTCATTCATACACACGTCTGTGTAACTAAATTAGTATGTAACTTCTGCATGGCTATTACTGTGCTTATAGCTTGACATTTTATCTGATGTGACTAATTTATACTGACTTCTTAAATGTATAAGCATCTAAAACATTGCACTAATTCGAAAGTTGAAGGAGAGGATGTCATCATACTGCTTTTCTTAGAACTATGATATATAAGTGATCATGTAAACGACCATCTTTTACAAGATGAGATATCGTCCAGTCCACCATATAATATAAAAGTTTCTTTTAAAAATCAGAAACTGGACCCTCCTCATCGTTTAGGCTTTAAGAGAGTTTAGGGTCAAGGATACAACTTCAAGAGACTCAACAGAATGAGACTGTTTGTCTCGAGCTTGCGCTTGTTTGATTTAGATGGACCGGAGTGCACAGAGAGCATAGCCGGAAGCCAAGGAGCAGAAGGCGAATGCGACAAAGGAGACGTAAGACAGTGCGACAGATGCTCTAGCCAAGTCTGGGAACTTGTCTGCTCCCCAGTTTGACTGCCAATCGTCTACACGGATCGAAGCTGATGTAGAAGCCGATGCAAGAAGATATGCTAGCATCTGGCAACATAAAAAATCACTTTAACTCATAAGGGTGTAATGGGAACAGAGTTGAATTCAAATGCACGGGATTATAAGCCTAGAAGCACTAAACTTTAATGGATCACTAAAGTTGTAACATCAATGATATGTCATCAAACAGAGACGAGTACTAAAATATGTACAGGAATCAGATAGAGTTAGCTCAAAAGATGGAAGCAATCACATCTTTGGTTAGCTACTTTAAGACTTCAAGCATCTTTATATGTTTTACACCAACAGTACTTTAGCATGATTCGAAGCATATTTAAAACAAAACAGATGATGAACTACCATAAGAGAATCGAATTGACAAGGAATTAAGTCTATCAGTATTCAGAAAAAGACCAATGAGAGTCGCTAAAAATTCAGCCTCAACTTCTTGTTAGTTCTATAGCATGCATCAAGTTTCAAGCTTTAACTTTTTTTTAACCATTTGATTGATTTAAAAAGTACAAAGTTTTCGAATCACAGAGAGGCAGAAGGAACATACTTGATCAAGACCAAATTCCAAGAAATGGCGCAGGTTATGTCGTGATCTTCGGATGCTAGTAGATAATAGGTATACAAGATCACATATCATAAAACCAGAGTAGACAAAACCAATCACATTTGCAGCCATACAGAACCTGCAACCCAAAATGCCAAAGAAAACACACGAGAATAAATCAACTCTAGAAAACATTTACAGAGAACTTTATCAGTTTAAAAAGTAATCTAAAGAGAAACTGTTATAATTTAGGTAGAACATGTCATTAGATAACCACATTAGCATTACACAACTTCCGTGGCTAATTTCATCAAAAAGCTTCAATTTCACACAGTGATCTAAACCAAGTCAGAGTATAAGCCAAAAATCAAACCTTGGAAAACATAATTAGCCTTAGAAAACGACAGCAACAGCCACATTCCAAGTAAAACTTCAAATTCCACACAGTGATTAGACCCAATCAAAGAGATCTAGCAAGAAACACTTTGAGCTCAGAAGAGAACCAAACCTAAACTTAGATTTAAGGATACTAACATATCAATCTAGGAACTATTTGAAAGCTACAAAACATCTTAAGATATAAAGAAAGTTTGAAACTTTAACCTGAACTCTTTGTAATTATAGAAAGAATCACGAGCCCATCCTTTATCTCTGTCAGCAACCATAACCGAAAACGAAACGAGACACGAAACAAACGCAGTAACCCTAAACCCAAGCAAAGCTTTCCTAATCAAACTTGCCCATTTCGATTCACGAGGAGTAGAAGAAGAAGAAAAGCTCGGCCTTAGTTGTCTCCTACTCTCACCAACCTTCTTCTCCTCCTCAACGAAGTCTCCGTTCGTTACCCTGAAAGGAGTCTCCGTCTTAGTCGCTACGGAAGGAGTCGGAACAATCGTGTGAGGTGAAGATCCATGGCTATCGGGGATTGAAGATACAGTAGGTGAATCAGGAGGTGAATCAACCGTTGCTTGTGGTGGTATTGAGTGAAGCGATGATTTTGAAGACATCTCGAGGTTGAGATTGTTAAGTGGTGAATGGGATTGAGAAGACTTCTTCTTCTTCTTATTGTGAAATTTCTTCGTTGTGTCTTCTTCTTCTACTTCCATTTTCGTTGATATTTTGTGGGTTTTATTTAAAATTAATTAAAATTTGTTTGCCAGCGGAAGTGATGAAGTAAGCTCTTGCAACTGTCTCTCCTCTGGTCAATGGAATCAATTGGGGAAGACGACGAGAGTGAGAGTGACTTTAAAATATAAGTTTTTGCAAAAAGGGGCTTCGCTTTATTATTTTCTTCGATTTTTAACCTAAACTAATAAATAATACAATTTGGTTTGGTTCTTTTCGGTTTAGATATTCATTCTTTCTAAACTGGTTTAGTTTAGCCGACAAACCACTAACTTCTTTTAAATAACCGATTCGGTTCAGTTAATTAAGAAAAATCGGAACGGATTATTTAAATATCGGTTTCAATTTCGTTAAATACCGGTTTAGTTCGGTTTATATATTGATTCCTTCTTCTCACAATCTCACACCACTTGTCAACAAGCTTACTAAAGTTCTCACCTTTTTCAACTATTAGGGGGTGTTATTGGATGGAGAATTTTAAGGGATTTTAATTACAGGTGGATTTTAAAGTTCAATAGCCTTTAAATACAATTAAGATGGATTTGGTATGAAAGAGATGAAATCCTTTGAAAAGTGTTAGGATTGTGTTTGTACGTGTTTTAGATGTAAAATACATTAAAATCTTAAAGAAAACAAAATCCATTGAAAATTGAATAACGCTTGTTTTAAAATACTTTAAAATACATCCAACAAATGTTAAGGGGGTGTTATTCAATACTGTATTTTAAAGGAATTAGAGGTATTTTAAAATCCAGCGTTATTCAATTAAGTATTTTAAAAAGTACATTAAAATCTGTTGTTATTGGATCATGCATTTATTTGGTGTATTTTAGAATACGTTCAAAACCACTGTTATTCAATGTCTTCTTGATTCTGCCTTATTTTAGATTTCGTTGTATTTTACCCCAAAAATATGAACAAACACAATCCGCCATATTTCTCTGAGTATTTCAATTCATTTTCTATAATTGAATTGAGATTCGAAGAAATACAAGATGGCTCTGAGCCTCTAACCAAAGGATCTCTACATCAACCTGATCGGGTGCTCTGCACAGCTTGCAAATCCTCAGATCTGATTATGCCTATCAAAAATTAAAGTTGGAGCTATTGCCCTCGAGGCGAAGTTAGAGCTGTTTAGAAGTTATCGTAACAGTGCTGGGATCACATAGCTTATGGATCAACTCTTTCCTCGTCATTACTTGGCTCTTCAACTTTCTTTCTTCTCATTTCATCTCTTTTGTGTTTTTTAAAGTTTGACACTTGCTTTTGAATTTTCTCTGGTATATCATTCTTGGACATATTTTGTAAGAAATTGGCAATTCAATGATCTTTTGGAGAACAATCTAGATGTTGGAGCCACCAGTAGAGAGAGCAATAGGATTGGGGATTATGATCTGGGAAACTGTTAAATTAAATCTCTTCAGCATCAAATTGGATTAGGGATTCTGAATTTTATTTGAGTAGTTATTGGTTGCTATTTGCTATAGGTTCTTGCAGTTACGTATTTCATAATTGTTTATATAAGTGACAAGGATCTTTTCGCCGAGTTATACAAGTTTAGTTAGTAATTTAATTTGTATTCTGGTTCACAATACTATCTCATGTCTTTGTGTTGTGAATTGGTGTGTCTCCAATATCAAATGAAGTTCCCCTATTCAAATGTGTCGTTCGTTGGTTTCTTGTCATATATTGGGTTGGTATCAATTTCTTTCTCTGGTTCACAATACTATCTCATGTCTCTCGTTTCTCCCTTTGTCTCTCTTTTGAGTTTTTGTGATTGTTTCCTCTGCTCTTAGTAGCGTTATTGCGAAGAACTGAATTTACACATGTAATGAAATGCCAAAACTGAATTCACACAGATATAAGCAATGGAAAAGAAAACCATAGAGGGGGTTTAAGCAACACCACTTCGTTGGCTTGGTTTTGGGAACCTTTTTTGGAGTAGCAGGAGGAGGAGCCGCATCCGATGGAGGTTGATGATTCCATCTCCGACTGTGGTGACAAGATAGGACCGTCGTGTTCACCGTTGGATCCGAAAACGTCGTCATCGTTCAAATAAGTCAGAAGCAAAACACCGTCCACAGTCATGGACTGAGCGCCATCGTAGGCTCAGGCTGAGAATAATAGAAATGAGAATAGTAGAAAGTGCATGAGTTAACATACTCAATGAATATAACGAAAGGTTGTAGTTTATTTTATATTTTACTTAACTTCAAAAATAATAATATTTCACTAGTAATGTCTTTCAAATCTCTAATAATGCCTTTCAAATCCACTGATAATGACATCCTAATCCACGTTAGATGAATTACAAAACCATTGGATTTTAAAATCCATCAATAATTCAAATCCATTAAAAACACATATCCAATAACACCCCCTAAATCCAATAACAGCAGATTTTATTGTGGTTTTTAAAATACATCGTTAAATAACGCTAGATTTTGAAATACATCCAAATCAATTAAAATACAAGGTTGAATAACACCCCCTTAAAAATATAAGTTTTTGCAAGAAAGGTCTCACCTTTCTCAACATCCCAAAGACTGTCACCGTAGACTCAGATTCAAAACACAGAGACGTTTTGTGTTCCATTAAAAATGTTTCGTTTAGTAAATTTTCTAACTTCAGTTAATTGATAGTATATTAGTGAAATTTCTGTTGAAAACTTACATACAAGTACAACACTATGAAAGAACAGGTCAACTTCTGTTGCCAAGAGTTTCCAATCCATTGGTAAGAACAGGTCATGGTGCTTTAAAGAAGTACTCCATAGCTTCATTGTACCGATCCATGACAACGTTGTGGAGGAGGTGAACAGGTTCAAGGAGATTCGAGTAGCTACCCAAAATATCACGAGTTAAAGGAGGAGTGTCCTCGTCTTTTGACCAAGCGTGCTGAGCCACAGACAATCCGCTCAGACAGTAACATGTGTGGTAGAAGTCACGGGGTTTCCTCGGCTTGTCTCTAAATCCACCATCAGGTATCTGAGCATACAAGTGTGTTGTATGTGCGTGTGTTATAAATATAAAAAACTTGTTGGGAAGTGTAAATCTGGTGTTCAAGAAACTAAGAACTGACCTTAGAGCATAAGAGTACATATCTCTGCAAGCCGAGGCTATCAAAAACTGGTTGTATTCTCCTGTTAATGTATGTGGATGTATGATGGACTCCGTGACCATTCACTGAACCTGCAGATATATGCTAACCAAAATCATTTGTGCTTTGGATTAACGGATGGACTGAGAGAATGAGAAAATCAAGTGCATACCTTCATCGCTGTCCTCATCAGAATCATCATCATCACTATCTTCAGGATAATCTTCATCATGAACATGGTCCTCGTGATCTTCATCTGTCCCTTGTGATATATGTGATGATCCATGATGTACCAGATCATGCGCTGAATAAAATCGCTGTAGCAGAACACAAGGTGCTGCCTGTTTAACACATACCAAAAGGAACACCGAGAGTGATGAGTGGAGTAGAATTTTGAAATAGGATGTATGATCATCGAAAAGGAATATACAATGTCACAAAAGAGAATTAAAAAGTTGACCTGCCAAAAAGTGTAGCAACCATCGACCAATTTGTTGGTCCTACCTTGGAATCCCATTTCTACTCCTTGTCGATGTACAGCCCAATTCTAGAATCATAGGAAAATTAATTTGTAAGAAAAGTATCTCTATCAAGGAAATGAAAAGGTACTCCATTAATAATCACTGAACAGCTTTGAGTTACCATTAATGAATCCAAATTCAAACGGTCAACTTCATTGATTAAAAACATAGTTGCCAACCCACAGTAAGTATACCTAATTAACAAATTATATGGTAATAAGATTAGCCTTAGATAAGAAATCAATATTTCAGGAAATAGACTTTACTTCACTGAAGCAAGTAGGAGACCGTACCCACCATGAGCTTCAGAGCCAGGTTCACCTCCAATGCCGCCTTCATAAGTTTGGCAACTGCTCAAACAATGTGAGTTAAAAGAGCTTTCCAAGCGAAATAAATAATCATGAACTAACAAGATAAAAGTGATACAAAAAGCTACCTCAAGATGTAATCTCCTAGGCTCCGAGTGAGTTCATCATCCATAATATTTAGGATGCTTGCAACCTGTGTCAAAAGAGAAGTCAAACATATCAGGGAGAACCAGCCATAGGATGCATGACTTGTAAGTCTCAATACGAAAAAATATCTCAGCAATAATAAGATCACTAAAAGTCTATTGTTACATTTAAGCCATAGGATGGTGGATCCTGAGTATGTTAATCTCATTCAGTCTATAAAGTTTTGGTGTCCACAAGAAGAGAAAAATAAGTTTTGGTGTAAGCCTAATGTGACATTAAAGCCATTAAAAGTTGTCAGCCTAATGTGACATTTATGCCCTAATAAAATATATAAAGTTTTGGTGTCAGCCTAATGTGACATTTAAGCCATAAAATGATGGGTCCTGAGTTTGTTAATCTCATTCAGCCTCTAAAGTTATGGTGTCCGCAAGAAGAGAAAAACAAGAAATTAAGAGTTGCTAAACGCACCGAAATAGCAGTGTAGCACGCACGAACATCCATTTCTCCCATGTCATGCATCCTACAATCAGTGAGTGAGTCATTTTAGTACCATGATTAGGAGCAAACAAATTGCATCAAATAGAAAAAGAAACGAGCACAAATTGAAGAAACAACATGGCTGAGTAGCTATGGCATTAACACAGATAAGAAGGCTTAAAGATTGATCAGTCAGTAAAAATAATGCCTTCAAGAAGTTTTAGCAGAAAGAGAATCAAACCTGAAACCCCCACTTGTATCCTTCATTCGTCTTAAGAAGCAAGACATTTTTTCTCTGAAAAGTATGAGTCACATGTAAGACTTCTGTAGGAAGCATAAGTTGTCTCCTATTGAAAAGAATCTCGTACAAAAAAATAAAGAATACACCACCTATTAATTGAAGAAAGGGCTTTGTCACCCCCTAAAGTAACCAGTGCATTCACTGCAGCATAAGTGGTTGCAAGGTGTGGAAGCTGGGAAGAAAATATCTCCATTACTAGTGAAAGAGAGAAACAAAGAAAAGGAAACTGATAAAAGGCAGGCTATAATAAATATCTCAACTTTCTCTGCCATGTTTGATATATTTACAGTTTACAACAACAAAAAGCTTAAACTACACCAAAGATATTTAACATAATAAAACGATCTGGTCATCATTTAAAGTTCCTAGTTCATGAAATGATAGTGATCGGCACATGTTCAAGAAACAGGCATATACTTACTTGGCCAGGACCACCACCGTATCCACCATCAGAGCCCTGAAAAGTGAAAAGAGACATGCGAAATAAAACTAAGTACGAAATGAACAATTACAGGTAACAATATTAGGAATGGGAAGTAAAACAACATGATCTGAAGGAGCAGAAAAACAAGAAGATGGATGAACAAATCTGAAATTCCACGATTCAGAGAGCTAACTTAGCAATAGAAATTTCGACTAACCTGGCAGCGTCCAATAAAGTCAATGGCATTGTTTTCTAATTCATCATCCACAGACTCCCCAAGCAAAGCTATTGACTGAAGAATCCAGTAACAAAGCCAAGGTCGACTGTTCCAAAACCCAAAATCAAACTTAATCTATTGGCATAATAAAACCAATACAACCTCCTACATCTCTCAAACCCAAAAATATTTGCAAGACTCCATTAAAAAGCACCCAAATTATCTCGAAGAGAACACAGTGACTGGCTAAATGAAGAAAATTCGAAGAATTGATTCTTTTGAACTACAAATTCTAGCCATGAACACAAAAATCTCACTTACTTAGAATCTAAGGACGAAAACTGTGGACCTAGCTGCCTTAAGCCTTTCATCAGATAATCCAACTGCTTATCTCGCTGAATCTCCATCCTAGGAACAACAACAACTTCTTCCATCAATATGTTTCATTCCACACTTCAAAACGCCACTAAAAACTCATCAGATCATGAAGAAAACTCGAAAATCAAATCAAAATCCGCGAGCTCACATGTATTTCTGAGTAGAGATGTCGCTGGCGTCGAAGTAACCATAGATCCCGAACACATCGTTCTCCACCAGAAACTGCTCGCGCTGACTCACGGTTATCCTCGGAAGCTCTTCCATCTCCCTCCGCCGCGTTGATTCGCCGTGTCCGAGTCAGATTCGCCGATTGAGTCCACTCCGGTCAAGTCTGAGCCCTATCACACTTCAAAGTTCAAAACGCTGGAGCGTCCGTCCATGTAATTTGGTACATTCTAAAATGCGAATTTGGTCCCGGTTTTACACCGGTTCGTTTTGGTTTAAGGGTACCGAAATTAATTTTCCCCATAGCTGTTTAGTTGAGATACGTTAATCATCTTCCGGATTTTCCGAACCGTCACCATGAACCCACTTCTCCACCACCACCACGCCACCACCTAAACAACCTCTACCTAAAAAGCCAAATTTACAATATTAGCCCTATATTTTCCATTTAGTAGAACGAAACCCCTGTACTAAAACAGTATGCTTTATAAAAACACTTTTTTTTTGTTACAATCATGAAAAACACAAGTTATTAACTTATTATTAATTGTAATCAAATTAAAATATGAGAATATATCACGTGAAATGTATGCACCAAATAAAAAATTGAGGTGTAGTTTTATATTTTCTTAAAGCATGTGGATAGTTTGGGATAAAAGAAAAAGTATAGGGTTATATTTGGAACATTTCCTTTCATTTAAGGTTTAATGGGAATATTAATAGCGTACAAACGTCAAAAAGGAATTTAATAAGATACCCTCTCCCTCCTCTCTCATTCGCGACTTGTGCAGCTTTAAATCGCTGTCTCTCTCGTCGTCGTCTTCTCTCAACGTAACTGCATAAAGAGCGAGCGACTGAGTGAGAAAGAGTTCGACGTGAAATTTCAACTGATGGGAGCGTATTGCAACGAAGACCTAGGTAGTTTACCGGTTTACTCCTCCGGCGCTCCGACGAACGAGCTCCGGTTCAGCAAACATGTCTACGACAACGTTCACGGAAACATCTATCTCGACCCTGTGAGTAATTGATTTCCGTATAATCTTCTTCGTTTCCTGTTTTTGTGATTTCGTTATGGTTCGTTTGCGAGATAAGGAGTTCCAGAATTCCATCTCTGCAATGGTTTTGTTCGCCGGAGAGATTACTGTTTAATTTCCGGTAGTGTTTGTTCGAGTTGGAATTTGGATAATGTTATCGTCATCTCTAATTTAACGCCGTGATTTCGCCGGAAATTTTATGGAACTGTCGGATAGATAAGAGATTTTTGTTTAGCCGAAGATTTAACTGGTGGATTTTGCTAGAATTGAACTGAATCTTCTTTGATTCGATTCTTGTTTGTATTTCTGCAGTTGTGAATTTTTTTTTCCAAATATATAGGAGTTTCAAAATTCTCTAACTACTGTTCATACGATTTTGAAAGCTCGTTACAACTTGTAGTTTTCTATTGACTTAATATGTCATCTGTACTAATTGTTCCCTTTTGGTTTGCAGCTTTGTTTAAAATTCATTGACACTGAGCAGTTTCAAAGGTAAGTTGTTGGATTGTGCTCATTTCCTTGGTTACATTTTTTATGACTACAGTGTTCTGTGTTCTGATTCTTTAATCTAATTGCTTGTGGCAGGCTTCGTGAACTTAAGCAGCTTGGTGAGTCTGCCTTACGTTTTCAACTCATTTTCCCCCTCCTCTTGTTTAACAAGCTAGATGGTCTTGTTATGTCTATTTCTTTCCCCCTCGATAAAATAATATTTATTGTGAGAATCACTGTACGAAATGCTAGGATCAAATATAGAAAATTTTCATTGAAATCTTTTTATCCTGTATGTAAGATTATTTGCTTTGGTTACTCGTTATAGCAGCAAGGAGTTATGTATGGTTATCTTCTTTCTTTGAGAGAAACTTTCTTGCATGGCTTAGGGGTGACAAACATGGTATATCCAGGAGCTGTGCATTCTAGATTTGAGCACTCTCTAGGTGTGTATTGGCTTGCAGGCGAAAACGTTCAGAGGCTAAAAACTTTCCAGGTATTTGGACATTTTGGACTGACACAGTCACATTTTGGTTAAGTAGGGTAAGGTTCTAATGTTGGTGCTTAACTTTTTATAGGGGATGGAGCTTGGTATTGACAATTATGATCTTCAGACTGTGAGGCTTGCTGGTAACTATTGTTAGCTCAATAACTACATTATTCCTTGATACTATTTCTTTATGATATTTGTTTGTATATGTAGGACTTCTCCATGATATTGGTCACGGGCCTTTCAGTCATATGTTTGAGCGTGAATTCCTTCCAAAGGTCATAAGTGGCAGTCAGTGGTATGTTTGTGCATTCTTTGAAAAGATCAATGACATGGTGTTACTTGATATAATAAGAACTGTGCCTTCAATTTTAGTACTTTTGGTTTTTTATGGATTATCTTTAGCTCTTTATATGCCAGTTCTTTAATGCAGGTCTCATGAGTTAATGTCTGTAAACATGATTGACCATATGGTTGATACACATAACATTGATGTTGATGCACAAATGCTGAAAAGAGTAAAGGTAATTTTCATTCTCCAAGACTGTTTAGCTTCTTTCAAATGACCTATAGGTCTTGAAACTGGAAACTGTGACAATATTTTCAGTCTTCAGCTTACAAATCTAAGTCAAATATGTTTTGCTTCCTTTCCGACTTTGCTGATAGTTTTCTTAAATGTTTACTTAACAGGATATGATACTAGCTAGTACTGAGTTTTCACAGCTGAAAGTAAGTTTTGTAACAGTCATGTTTCCTGTTCTAGTCAAACATGAACAACTAACTACTCATGCTTTTGTATATATTTCCCTTTTTTCATAATATGCAGAGCAATGCAGAGAAACGTTTCTTGTATGACATTGTTGCTAATGGCCGGAATGGGATTGATGTGGACAAGTAATTCTATCTGTTCCTTAGTTGTATACTAGCCTGCAGTTTCTTTCTTGCCCATTTCAATTTTTACTCATCATGATGCTTAGATTTTCACCGTCGTCTTAAAGACTCAATTATAAATGAATACAAAATTTTATAGGTTTGACTACATTGTCCGTGATTCTCGAGCTTGTGGACTGGGATGCAATTTTCAGTTCCAAAGGTATTCATACTACTCTAAAGTCGTTTCAGTTTTTGCTAATTAGGATGGTGCTAACTATCAGATGTTTCTAGACTAACAGAGATGATGAAAGTCATTGATAATGAAATCTGCTATCCCGCCAAGGAATGTGAGTTTTTTCCACCTGATATTCTTGTATTTGCGTTTGCTTTTGTCCACTTGTAAACTGGGGTGAATTTTGCAGATCGTAATGTCCACAAGTTATTTGCAACTCGTGCTGATCTTTATCGAACTGTCTACACACATCCGAAAGTAAAGGTATTGTACCAGTATCATTCTCTCTGTTCATTCTCTATTCTTTCTCTCTTTCCCACTTTTCTCTTTCCAATCATTTGCAGGCGATCGAGCTTATGATAGTAGATGCCATGGTCAAAGCCAACAGTTTCTTGGAAATTTCTTCTATGATTAATGATCCATCTGAATACTGGAAGGTACAGTTCTTCCTTCAGAAGACAATTTTTTTCCCTCTCTGCATCAAAACTATTTCGCCAGTTTATATAGTTTTTGTTCTCCACAAATGCAGTTAGACGACACAATCCTCAAAACTATCGAAATAGCTCCAGATCCAGAGCTTGCAGAAGCTAAAGAGCTGATACTCCGTGTTCGCAGAAGGCAGCTGTACCAAGTATATACCATTTCACCCAGTTTCTTCTTTTATTATGCTTAATTAGGCTAAGAATTCCCTTTCTAAGGAAGAGCTATACGGATATTTACTTGCAGTTCTGTAACGAGTATGCGGTTCCAAAGGACAAAATCGATCATTTCAAGGCTGTCACTCCCCAAGATATCATATGTTCTCAGGTTTGTAATTTTTGGCAATTAATTAGAGGAAAGCTATATTGCACAGTCCATTGCCGTACTTATAGTGCTTTTGATTTAACAGAAACACCAAAGCTTGACACTAAAAGAAGAAGATATCGCTGTTACAAACGTCAAGATTGATTTGGCTCGTGGGAGACAAAATCCTCTTGAATGGTAAACAAAGCACAATTTAGCTTCTTTGTTTTATCAATTTCGCTCATTAATGTTCTAACCAACTAATCTTTGTACTGGTTCTGACTCCTTCAGCATCAACTTCTATAAGGTAAATACATAAAAGCCTTCTGTTCTTGTTATGCAGATCTGCTTCTCTAAGTTTGTAAATAGGAAAAATTGAAAATAACACAGAATCTCTCTCAATAAACCAATTGATTTGTATGATATTTACAGGATTATGATAGTACGGAGAAGTTTGTGATACCTGAAGACAGAGTCAGTCACTTGCTACCAACAACATACCAAGACATGATAGTGAGAGTATATGCCAAAAAGCCAGAATTGGTATGTGTGATAATCATTATAAACCCTCGTTATTTTTATACATCATTGTTTCTACGTTATAATCTTTGGTTTTGCAATAACAGGTAGAAGCAGTTTCTGAAGCATTTGAAAACTTCCAAATGAGAACGTATGGAATCAAAGCTCAAGTGCACGCAACACCTGAGAAAAAGAAAAGGCGTATGATGTAGTTGTTACGTGGCTTCAATTCACTTCATTTCATTTGATGGTTTCATTTTGGTTTTTCACGTCTTGAAAAAACTTTAAAATACGGATGCGTTGTACATATACTAGCTAGCTTGCGTTAGACTCACGATCCCGAAAGCTTTGGATTTTTAGTAACAGCGTCTTTATACATAAGAGTAAAGGAAAAAGGCAAAGGCACAATCTTCTTTAGTAACAGCTTTGCATATTTTTATAATTGTCATTTCATTATTTATTATGGTCAACTTAAGTATTACAGTTCTCCAATGTGAACATGACTAAAATTATGGTCAATAGAATATTCAAACTTGTTTAGTTGAAACTCCGGTTTAGGACTTAGATCCGGTTCAAACAAATCGTTTCTCTATGTCTAAGTTTAGTTGGTCTCTCATCAATATACAGATTGAGCAACGAATTTGTGATGGGCTTACAAATAAACAAAGTTATGACCCATGAATATATATTTTTATCCTTACCAAGTTTTGAACGTCCAACATCCCACATCCCACATCGGTAGCAAAACTCAGGAACAGTAAGTCAGCTCTACTATAAATAAAGACCCAAGAGCTATTTCCAAAGTCTCACGGAGCCGTGCAGTGAAGACAAAGCGAACTATTCTTTCGCCTTTTACTAAAGAATACCGTGTTTTCTCTGCATTTAAACGGCATACGCCTATTTTTGGAAAGGTTTATTTGTTAATAAACCTCCATCAATACTCTAGTTTAAAATGACATTAACACTATTTCTCTAGTCAGTACTTAGCTATGAGATGCATATGTGATCAACATTTTTAACAATTGCATCCGCAAGAGAAAAAGGCCTATTAAATGTAGATTTTGATTACTATGATAGAGCGACCTTTAATATTAAGGTTAATATGTCATGTGTGAACCACTTTGTCACCACCACTGCCATCGTCTGACGTTAGTTTAGCTTTATTATGAGAATTAATCTATCTCTCTTAGAGGGAAATCGGTTAATTTCTTAGGAAATTCAGACCCCATCATTATATATGAAAATTGTTTTCGCATTGAATTGCCAATTGCTTTGTGCTTTACTGTTCTTTATACATGGTGGGGTTTCAGCACCCTTGCATGCATGAAAACACCCGCATCGAGTTTCTTCTTAGTCTGAACACCCTTGCATGCATAATGGACTAAAAAGAAGAAATTCGGTGCGAGCAATGATGTCATGTAACACAAAAGTACAACTAAAAAACATAATAACAATGAACTAGTAAGGCTATATATATAATATTGGCATATGCACCCTTAAGGATATATGAAACGTCTTCTAACCAGAAAATTATACAAGTATTTGAGTATTTCACCCTTCAAAACTGTTTGGTTGAATAATTATTTGTCTTGCATAGTTATTATTATGTTTTTTTGGTTTATTTAAATATTTATCACTTTAATTTTTCACACTGAAAAACATATAAACTGAAAATGGGTTGCCGTAGGCTACTAGCCTACTTATGGATCGACTCGGCTGAGACTACTTGTCTTGGTGTCCTCAGCTCTCGCGGCATTGCCCTTTATATCAATCTATGAAGGAATTCAAAATAACTAAATTTGCCCTAGTCAATCTCTAATTTTGATTATTATTATATATATTAAATTATTTAAACATTTATAAAAAATTTGTGCAAAAGAATTTACAGAAGGTAAAGCAAAGTTAAAAAAATTAAAACAGAAGATATTATAAAAATCGAAAATTTGATATTTTCCGTCAAAACCTTTCACACTTAAAAAAATGTATTAAAAACAAATAAACCCTCAAAAATCCAGAAGAAACTAAAACAATTGGAAAGTCTATTATTAAAGAATTCTACCAAGACAAAACCCCAAGAAAATGCCTACACATACACAAAACACAATTTGTGTGTGTATGTAAAATGTACGTAAAGAGACAAAAATCCAAAAAGAAAGCAAAACAAATTCTTCAAACTCTGTCCGTCCCAGAAATCTCAACTTCAGATGGCTTCACCGTCTTATCCTTTGGTGTTGATTTGTAGTACATGAAATACACTATCAACTGCGACAGTGCCAACAACGTTCCAATCCCATTACTCGCCTGTAAAAAAAGTTAATCACGCCATTAATATCATCAAAGCCATAACATTAGTATCTTGTTACAGTTGTAGTATATATATAGAGAGAAACTTACAAGGACGTAGATATCGATTTTGAAGATGAGAGAGTAAGAAGTCCAAATTGCAGCATTAACGAAACAGACCAAAGACAACAAGAATGGCATGTATTCAGTACTCTTGGTTCTCACCACTTTAAACTGTTAGATCAACCCACAAAACAAAACAAAGTATCATCGTCAAATTAGAAACAAAAAGCACAAATCGGATCATTAAGGTTCAGAGGGAAAGAAGACTCACAATGGCCAATGAAGGAGATGCGTACATAGCAATGTTGAAGATATCACAAATCACACCAACGAACGTTTGCTTAGCAAAATCATTCTTGATTGCAAAGAGCGTGACCAGAACTATAATCGCAACAGCAACAACTTCAAGAATTAAGAATCCCAAAATGTTCCTCTACACAAAACACACAAACAAACACCACATAATACAATCAGACACCAAACCAAACCATATGATTAATGCAATGTTAAATGAAAATAAGAAAACTCACTCGAGCGTTCTTCTTGTGACCACAGTAGGCCAAGTACAAAGCCACGTAGAAAATCTCAATGACTAACCCAACACCGTTAATGGTGGAAACAAGGATACTGTCCTTGTGAACCACAGGGAGACCGTAGAACACCCACAGCATACAGTTCATGATCGTAGCTACGTATGGCACATAAGAAAACTCCTCCACTGATTTCTTTTTGAAGATCCTCCAAAACGTCTTCCTATTAATAGATAACAACAAATATTACTAAGCTTCACCAAATACAACACAACACATAATCATACGTTCATCTAACCATAGATCACACTAACCAACACAGCATACTAAACATTATCAAATCACTACCTACAATTATACTAGAAATTAACAACTACAAACACTACAACTAACATAAGATTAAGATTTCGATTTAACAATATTCACCAAGGTTTGTATAGATGTAACTGTAAGGCCATAAACACATATTAAGATATGATTCGCGAGGAAAATATAGGAGAGGATAAAGGAATCTTACGCTGGTGCGGCAAAGAGACCAAAGGAGATAACATTTCCTGCACAGTATCAAACGAGAGAGAGCAAAAATTTTGTTAACCACATATCGTTTAATCTCGTTATCAAACAAATCAACATGAATCTCTATAGCAAAACCTTAAATCTCCTAACAATAACCACTAGAAATCGAGCTTATAACACACAACAAATATGTAATCAAACGATCGATGAAGATAGATCATAGAGTCGCCATTAAAATCAAAGCTCAACATCACACACACGAACACACATTAGATTCAAAAGCTCATCAATATCAAACTAACAACATATATATGTAATCATCAACGATCTATGAAGCTAGATCATAGAGTTAGAGTCGCCATTAGAATTAAAGCTCAACATCACACACACGAACACACATTAGATTCAAAGCTCAATAAAATCACACTCACAACATATACATGTGATAAACAACGATCGATGAAGCTACAACATAGAGTCGCCATTAGAATCAAAGCTCAACATCACACACACGAACTCACAAAAGATGAGCGATCGGATTAAGAATCTATCGGGAAAATTAAAAAAAAAGTAACGGTTCGGATTCAGATCAACGATAGAGAAAGAGATAGCGTTACCGATGACTCCGATGATGAAACGAACTTGCTTAGCATCAACCATTGTGAAATCGCCGTAACAGAGAAAGAGAGAGAGAGAGATTGAAGAAGAAGAGAGAGCTTAAGGAAGAAGAAGACGAAGAAGTGTAGAAGTAAACCTAATTGAGAGAGCGTTTGGGAATTGTGTGTGTGTGCCTTTGAGTATTTATATATATATATAGAGAGAGAGAGAGAGATAGAGATAGAGAGATTAAGATAAGAGAGACGTTTGAGTCAAGGAGTCAATATTTTCCCTTAACTTTGGGAATTATCGAAAATAAAATGAAAATACATTTTTGTTTGTTACGATCTGTTTCATTTTTTTTCTCATTTACGGATAATTATTACACTTTCGTAAGTTTTTTTTTTTTTTTCAAATTTTCATTGATTTAAGGGCTTGTTCAACGATTAATTAATTGTGTTTCTTTTTTTTTTCATTTTTTTTCTTTTTGGGAAATTGTCATCGCATTTTTAGGTATTATTATCCAGTTGATTATCCAAAACTGGTTACAAATATTAATTTTTTTTGTTGACCAGTGACTTTATCTTAAATAGCTATAAACTCGCATTTACGGTAATATCTGATTCTTCAAGAATTATAAAAAAAAATTAAAAACTTCTGTTGAAACAAATCTTTTGGAAAAACACAAAAAATAAATCACGACTTGACCATGTAAAATTTATAATTTTATTGGCTGAATAAATACGAATGTTAATGTTGTTTTTTTGTTAATAATCAAGTTTTAAAGATAAATTAGAACGTGAATTAAATGGATAAACTTAAAATGAATAATTTATTTCTCTGATAATTAATTGGAAAAAGATTTGATTCTGATTAAATTTTTGAGTGGTCGTGCGTTCAAAGTTTTTTATTTTTATTTTTTTTCCGTTACGTCCGTGTTAGTTGTTACACGCCACGTCAGGATTCTTTTTCGGAAATTACTGATAGGTCTTTAATTTTGGAAGGTAATTACGAGATTTGCCACTAACAGTACAGTTCACAACAAACACATGCAAAAGTATCTACGAGCGAATGATTTCTCTCTCTCTGGGACTTGCTCGCCACGGCAAATTAACCGGATGGTTTATTTCAATTTCATTTATTCGGTTATGCGATGCGTTTCCGGTTTAATCTTATACGCAATATAAACCGGATGATAACTCTGTTTTGTTCAAATTGTTTCCAAGCTGTGTGAACTGTGAAGGTAGTAAAAATGTCATTCAAGATCACCTTTGAGACGCTTCACTTGTTCTTGAGAATCTTGTTCTTGTCTGATCATCTCTGTTTCTTCTTTTGAAATTTTGAAAACTTCCCGTAATATGATCTAAAGTATCTAACTTAGAAACTTTGTTACTAAATTAGTAACAAAACTGGCCATCGAAATGGAAAGAAACATCGTCAAGAACGTATTTGACCATTGAAATCGATGATCATTTACACAGAGCACAAAGCCATTTACATAAGAGCACAGAGCACTTTGACTGGGGAGCTAGACCCAAACCCAAAGAAATTTCGAAGACAAGCTACTTAACTCCAAAGGTGATGAAAGATTCCATTAGCAAATGAAGACTAACTCACTAGTTACTAACATGTTTATGAACAATGAATCATTACCTCACTAACATGTTATGAACTATGAATTATCACTCAGCTGGTAGGTTTCAGCCATCGAATCTTATGTAAAAAAATCTGAGAATCCGACATCAGTTTATAGTACAAGAGACATAGACATATAGTATACGAAGCTTCTGTTCTAAACATGGGCAAAAGCTTGAACAGTCTATATAACATAATGTTGACATATATTTGAAGTAAGAGACTTCATTTTTTCTTCTTTTGGGTATATTAATTTTTATGTGTAATCAATCAAAATCTCTAGTGGGTAATGGTTTTTATGTCAGAGTCAAAGAAAAACATATCGACCCTACAATAGCCAACATAAACCATTAGAGCCAAAGACTTTTGAATTTAAAGTCTTAAAAATGTAATTGGTTTATGGAAGATATCATTTTTGTTTTGATTATGATAATGACTCTTGACCAAAACCAAAGACTTAGATTGTGTTGTGTTTGAACACAAGTCAAAAGTTCCCATTTGTTTTCTATATCCATCCTTGAGTATATATCACTTAAAATTTCCAACACTAATCAAGAAAGCTTATTATAATCAAGAACTATACAAATACAATAATATATGTTTAAAGCTAACAGTGAATTTGGTGAGAGAGTAAAGGAAAGTATATGGAAAAGAAGAAAATAAAGAGAACCAGTGATTCCAAAGTGAAGAAAAAAGAGACAAAAGATAATAAAATTAAAGCTAAAGCATCTCATCAGTCTTTTTGGAATCCATTATTGTTGAGCATGCGATAATTTAATTTGATCTCATATGATTAACAAGCATAATGCAACTGAAATTTCTTATCAAGAATCAAACCCTTTTGAACAATATGGTACAACATATGATTACGAATCCTCCCCCCCAAAATATGATCAGTAAGAACCCTAAAGTATCGATGATTTTGATTGAAAAAATTGAGCAAACGATACTACCTTTGGTCATTCTCCAGCTTCTTGTGTTCTTCCATCCATGGAAGTTTCGGAAGATCATCAACGTTAAGTGATGAAGAAGGCAATCTTCTTTGAGCATCTGAAGAGAACTTGTCTTTCTTTGGCCATAACCAAATCTTAGAAACCGAAAAGCTCTCTCCTTTAGCCACACTATTGATCTTTTTGTTCTCTTCCGATGATGTATTCCCTGTCTGCTCAGAATCCTTGTCCTGAGGTTTCAATCGCGGTAGTCTATCGTTGGCAAAAGGGACTTTAAGCTCGGAATTACCGAGTATATACTGATAAGAACCCATTGAGAAACATCTCCTTGCATCCAAATTACTGCTACTAGTCTCTCCTCCAGCAACAACATCCTGATCTTGACCATTACCAACATTGTCAAGCCTCTTAAACTTCCCTAATCTCACAGGTAAAACTCCTTTCTCCACAACGATTTCTTGGATCTCCATAGTTTTCTGGCTTCCATTCTCGGCCACACACTCTTCGTCTTCCCTTATATCATCGAAATCAAACATCGGGTTCTCCATTGAGAAACCAGGGGAAAATAGAGTCCCACGGCAAAGAGGACAAGTCGAATTTGACTGAAGCCATGTATCTATACAGTTCAAATGAAAAGCATGGCTACACATTGGTAACAATCTCAGCTTATCTTTCTCAGAGAACTCACAGAGACAAACCGCACAATCGAATGGCTCCTGAGCAGCACCATTGCCACCACCACCACCACCACTACCAACAATCTCTTTGTAGTGAAAAACAGGTAAAGCGTCAATAAAAGCTTGATCAAGACCAGAATCATTCAAATGAAAAAGCTGCTGAAGCTGTCTCTGAAGAGCATCACTAGTTGAGATCTCAGGGAATCTATTAGACCTTGAAGAAGCAGTAGCAGAAGGATGCTTAATGAGAAACCTAACGAGCAAATGAAGAAGTCCAGAGATAAAGAACAAGACAGCTAGAATCACAATTACAAAGAGAACCGCCGGACTGATTCTGTTACTGGACGACGGTGGCGGAGGAGACGGCGGAGAAAGAATTGGGTCTTTGTAAAACGATGGTGGGTACGCAAAGCTACCATCTTTTTGCTCAATTGTGAATCGAACCCAAGACATCTTGTAAGATTCAGAAAGATCTCAATTTTCAAGATCTCACAAGAAGCTCAATGAACAAAAAAACAAACAACTCCAAGTTAAGTGGAAGAGTTCCAATTTCAATAACATCAACATCAGAGATAAACAAAACAAAAACAAAACTCACCTAAAAGCTTCCCTCAAGATCCTCAAGAAAAAAAAGTAAAATAAAACCCTAATGAAAGAGGGATTTTTTATTAGCTTATAAAAAAAAAAATCAGATTTGCAGAGAGGAAGAAGAGAGTAAAGGAACTCTCTTTCCTCTTGCTTTTATCTCTCTTCAATCTCTATCTCTTCTATCACTATCTCTCTATCTCCCAAAAACCTTTCCTTTTCTTGAACTTTAATGGTGGAAATAGAAGACCCGAAGAAAATGGAAAGTGATTTTGTAATTTTTCGAAGTGCGAGGCAAACAAAAACAACATTGATAAATTAAATTAAAAGTAAAAAAAGCTTTGAAAAAAATGAGAAAATTAAATTAGAACCCTAAGATAAATAAAAAAGCGTTATGTTAATAGATTTGGGTCCACGTGCATAGATGAACGAGTTGATATGTCAGATGGTCAACTCCGAAGACAAAAAATGACGGTTTCCTAAGTTTTTGGACTTATGTTAGATCCGTACTGGGCCGGACCAGGTAGCCCAATTGTCTCATTGAGTTTCCAAATCCACTGTTTAGAGCGTGACCAGGTATAGACAATAATTCGGTTTAGTTTCGGTTTGGTTTTTCTTGGTTTTATAGGTCTCATTAGTTTTTGTAATCATATAACATCCATTTTTATTTTTAGTTTGATTTCGTTTAATCGATTTTACAGACATTAAAATGAAGATAATATGATTCTATTATACGTTTAAGCTAGAGCATTGGATATATCGATCGATACGGTTGAAATTATTTGGTTTAGTTCGATTTAAAGTTTTGGTTACGGTTTTGTTCGGTTTAGTTCGAGTTTAAATTGGGAAGCGTGTTAACGACTGGATGAGAAGCGTGTCACTTTCTCAACGAGTGTCTCAAAATCTAACCGTTGGATCAATTCTTTTTGACGGTCATCGTCTCGCCGGCGGTATCAAACGGAAACATGTCTCCCTGTAAGTTTCTCCGCCGCGTACGACTGGGGAATTGGCGCGATTCTGGGGATCCTCTTGTACAAGTTAGTTTCGTATCTTTTGTTACTGAAGGATTCGAAGGTCAGCGACGACATTGCTCTTGGTATTAACTTTTAAGAAAATTGGTGAAAACAAGGATTGATTTAGGTTAAGTTACTATTGATGGCGTTTGCAGAGTTGGGGTTGATTTCTGAAATTAACTCCCAATTCTGATGATTGTTCTCTGAGATTGGTGAATCATCTATGAGCTGTGTAGTGATTTTTGATCTTTGGTGGATTCTGTGTTGATGCAGTGATGATTCAGCTACACGAAAACAAAGCTATTAGAGTCTACATCAGTGGAGGAGAATATTCCAATGGAAGGGTATTAGAGCTGATGAAGGTATTAGTGCTCTATGGCTAAAGTTCGTTGTCACGGGTCCCCTGTGATAGTAGAATATGGAGTCAAGTTGGGATATTTAATTATGGAGAAAGGCTGATATTTTCCACATGTGTCGTCACTGATGAAGTTGTGGTTTTATATTAAACAATGACCACTTTCACAAGAAAACAACATGATTGGTTGCTTCTGAGTTCAGTTCAACTTCAAAAGAGAGTTTCTGAGAATCCAGATATCAAAAATCTGTAATGAGAGAAACAGGAGAAGAGAAAGTGGCGTGGAGGTATTTTACCAGAGATGTTGTGCCGTTTGCTGCTATGTTTGCCGTGGAGTGTACCACGGTTGGGTCGAACACACTGTACAAGGCTGCAAGTTTAAGAGGATTGAGCTTCTATGTCTTTGTCTTCTACTCTTATGTTGTTTCAACAATTCTCCTTCTTCCACTTTCCTTGGTCTTTGGAAGGTACTAATCTCCTCATCTACTCTTTTTCCAGTATAATCTTTTCAAGAATATCAACTTATTTTACACATGCAGGTCAAGAAAATTACCTTCAGCCAAGTCTCCTCTCTTTTTCAAGATTTTCTTACTTGGGCTTGTTGGGTAATATTTTACTCATGCTTCTAGAATTAAAGGCATTTATGGCTTTTGTATTCTAAGAATGTTCTGTTTAAACTTGAGAGGAACAGGTTTATGTCGCAGATCGCTGGTTGTAAAGGTATTGAATATAGCTCCCCAACTCTTGCCTCTGCTATCAGCAATCTGACACCAGCTTTCACATTCACACTCGCCGTTATCTTCAGGTTCGACCTCTTTCTCTTTCGTTTCTGTTTTGGGAACTTAGTTTGGACTATGAAAAAGGGGATAATTTCACTCCAACTAATCTTACAAAATCTCAAGCCTTTATTTTGTGTGGAATGACTAAGACTGTGTTTTTGGACTTCATGGTCTTGTACTTGTTTTTGCCAATCAATACCAAAAAATACAGAAAACTTCCCACGTTTATTGAACCCACAAAGTAATATTACTAAGTACTGCACTTGTGGTCACTGGTCGGTTATAAATGTTCTTCCCTTGTTCTTTCCTGAGATAAGTTGGCTAGAGATGAAGTCTGTTTGTTACTATCAATCTTATTATCTAACTCCTTTTTGTTTTCTTGGGTGACTCGTAAAGGATGGAAAGAGTAATGTTAAGTAGCTCTGCTACTCAGGCTAAAATCATTGGTGCAATAGTATCAATATCTGGTGCTCTGGTCATTGTGCTATATAAAGGCCCAAAAGTTCTTGCTGCTGCATCTTTTACACCTTCATCACCTACCATTTCGTTTCACCATCCGTTGACTTCAGTAGAGTCTAGCTGGATACTCGGAGGACTCTTGCTTGCTTCACAGTATTTTCTTATATCGGTCTGGTATATTATACAGGTACAAATACTTGAAAATTCACCTAATAGACTTAGAGTTCTTGTCCAGACATTGAAAGTTTTGCTAAATACGGTAGCCCTACGTTTCAGACTCGGGTCATGGAGGTATACCATGAAGAAATAACTGTAGTCTTCTTCTACAACTTATTTGCATTGCTAATCTCAACACCAGTATGTCTATTTGCGGAAAGTAACTTGACTTCTTGGGTACTTAAACCGGATATTACCCTCACTTCAATCATATACACGGTGAGGATCAAAATATTTATAATCTGCTTCAACTACTGATGATGTTTTAAACTCAGAAATTAACACTTTGTTGCAGGGAGTTTTCATTTCATTATTCAGCGCACTTACCCACACATGGGGTCTGCATCTGAAGGGTCCAGTGTACATATCCTTGTTCCGGCCATTGTCTATTGCAATTGCAGTCGTCATGGGTGCTATATTCCTCGGCGATGCGCTTCACCTTGGGAGGTACCGTCTCTTTCATCTTCTTACTTTCCAGCGCATTTAGAAGATTTTATCCATACTAGAAACATAGAACTCATCACTGGGTAGTTGAAATGCTTAGTATCATGTATCTATCTAATGGTATCACATTCATAGAAATGGTGTCTGAATTCTAATCGATATGAGCTTTCATATATAATTTCTTCTGTATTATTTTCGCGTGTGAGAAACACTTTGTCTTCCAATTTCCATGGTATATCACTGTGTTAACTGCAATAAGCTTTTTGTGACAGTAATAATGAATATAGGTTTTGCATATTGTATTGGGCAGTGTCATTGGATCAATAATATTGTGCTTTGGATTCTACACTGTGATTTGGGGGAAAGCAAGAGAGGATAGAATCAAAACTGTAGCTGGTTCTGAGCAGTCACCTTTGCTGCTTACACACATCATAGAAGATGAAGCCTTTCCATTAAGATAGGATTGGTGCAAGTGAAATGCTTATGCTATTCATTAATAAATATGGAACCGTAAAACTGTTGGTCCTGTATGTTTATAACTTTAACGATGTATATAGTTAAAAGTATAAGATATATCTGTTCTTTTTCCTTGTGTCTATGTTTGAGGGTACATATGATTTCTTCAGCTTCCGTTTTCTTTGATTCATGCAGTGATTTTAAAAACTTAAATTACATGGTCGTATTATGAATCTATAAGAAATGTTTGGTCCTTTTTTAATTATCTTGTCACATCTTTGCATAAGTTTCTGGTAGGTTCCTTCCTTGGAGGAGAATATCCAAGTGGAAGTTGGGAAATTAAGCTTCATGGCCAAAGAGTTTCTTTTTTAAGGTATAGAGCTGTCTTAGTAGATTTGTAGAACTACATGATGAAAGAGTTTCTTGTACTGGAATCCTGATTATCTAGATATTATCCCAGTACAATGTATATATTAGTTGGTGTGATGTATTGGTTAAGTTGGTGTAAAGTATTGGTCAATGTATATATTAGTCGTGACAGTGATGTAAAGTATTGGTTACGTTGTTGGGCTAATATATCTAAATTAAATAATGTGCCATTAAGGAAATGTGATGGGATTAACCACTATGATTGGTTATGAACTTACTTTGACTTCTGAGAACTTTTGAAAGTCTGGACATCAGATCCTATGACAGGAGGAGCAAGTGAACAGACAGAGGCATGGAGATACTTTTGCAGAGATGTCATGCCGTTCACTGCAATGGTTGCGGTGGAGTGTGTCACAGTTGGATCTAACACACTGTTCAAAGCTGCAACATTGAGAGGATTGAGCTTCTATGTCTTTGTCTTCTACACTTATGTTGGTGCTACACTTGTTCTTCTTCCACTTTCCCTAATCTTTGGAAGGTACTGATCTCTTCTCCTCAACTACTCTTGATTAGTACAAAATATTCAAGAATGTGAACAGAATTTATATGTGCAGGTCAAAAAGATTACCTGCAGCCAAGGCCCCTGTCTTCTTCAACATTTTCTTACTTGCGCTTGTCGGGTAATGAAATACTCCTAGATTTATGGGCATATACATGTTTTTCTTTTTCTAGTTTGCTAACTTCTGGGAAACAGGTTTATGTCGCTGATAGTTGGTTGTAAAGGTATAGAATATAGTTCTCCAACTCTTGCCTCTGCTATCAGCAACCTCACACCAGCTTTCACGTTCACGCTCGCTGTTATCTTCAGGTTTCACTTCGTTCTCTTTTGTTTCCGGTTTGGAATAGTATATAGATAATTTTAAACATTTATTAACTGTACAACTTTTTAAGCCTTTTGCTATTGTGAATGGCCAAGATATATTTTGCTATCACAGTCTTTACTTTCTTTTTGTGAGTGATTACTGAGTATTTTAAACACTGTAAAAGTTGGGTACCAAAACCAAAACACATGGAAAAGGTCACAGCCAGCCACTAGTACAAGTAAAATAATGGTGTACCCACATGTTGTTCTGAGACAGAGATGGGTAAATTTGAAGTGCATCTGTTATCATCATCTGAATATACTCTTATATTACTGCTTCCTTATGTTACTCGTAAAGGATGGAACAACTAGTCTTAAGGAGCTCCGCGACGCAGGCTAAAATCATTGGCACGATAGTATCTATATCGGGTGCTTTGGTTGTTGTTCTTTATAAAGGCCCTAAAGTTCTATCTGATGCATCTCTTACACCTACCTACCAGCATTTGACTTCATTTGATTCAAGTTGGATCATCGGAGGTCTTTTGCTTGCTACGCAGTATTTACTTATTTCAGTCTGGTATATTCTTCAGGTATGGAAAATACTTTGAACTTTTTAGTGACACATAACTTTTGCTAAAACTGCGGCAGCTCTGTATGATTTCAGACTCGGGTCATGGAGTTATACCCTGAAGAAATAACTGTAGTATTCTTGTACAACTTATGCGCAACACTAATCTCAGCACCAGTATGTCTATTTGCGGAAAAAGACTTGACTTCTTTCATGCTTAAACCGGGTGTCTCCCTTGCTTCAGTCATGTACTCGGTGAGAATCAAACCTTACATGTTGCTATTAAGTAGAGACTACACTGTAATCTCAGAAATTAACACTCTGTTACAGGGAGGCTTAGTTTCATCATTCGGCTCAGTTATTCACACATGGGGTCTGCATCTGAAAGGTCCAGTCTACATAGCCTTGTTCAAGCCATTGTCTATTGTCATAGCGGTAGCTATGGGTGTTATATTCCTCGGCGATGCACTCTACCTTGGGAGGTACTATATATTTCACCATCTACCTAAATAGCACGCTCTTCTGATTTTATCTATATTGATAAACAAAGATAACACTCAGCTTTAGTTTCATGTATATATCCATGGAATCACATTGATAGTTACATGGTTTCTGGTGCTAATTCATCACAAGTCACACTTAGCCGCAATATGTAGTTTCTTCATGTCTTTTTAGACAATAATAACCAATATAGATTTCGCCATATATGTGTTGTTGCAGTGTCATTGGATCAGTGATTTTGAGCTTAGGATTCTACACTGTGATTTGGGGAAAAGCAAGAGAGGATGCAATCAAAACTGTGGATGGTTCTGAGCAGTCCCCTTTGTTGCTTACACACACCATAGAAGATGAAGCCTCCTCATTAAGATGTGACTGATGCAAGTGGAATCTGTTTATAATAATCATTTATAAATATGGAGCCATTAAGAGATGCTCCATATTGATGTTTACGTATATCTTACATTGTACATATAATAGGCTTACAGCCAAATCTTCTCACATCATCAAGATTATCTAAAAAAGGTTGGATGGATATGAGGTTTTCTTTGGATCTGCTGCATATTTTACTTCATTCGAGTCAAGTTGGATCATTGGAGACCGTTTTGGTCACTATACAGTATTTGCTTATTTCAGTCAAGTCTAGTATATTCTTCAGGTACATATACTTGAACAGATTCATGTATGAGATTTTGTTGATGTCAGGTAAACTTGAGCTAAATGTGGCGGCTGTACATGATTTCAGAGTCATGTCATGGAGATATACCTTAAAGAAATAACCATAATCTTCTTCTACAACTTATTTGCAATGGTAATCTCAGCACCAGTATGTCTATTTGCAGAAAAAGACTTGACTTCTTGGTAGCTTAAACCAGATATGGCCCTCTCTGCAGTCATATACTCAGTTAGAAGTCAAAACTTATATAACTTGCTTCAAATACTGACTCTTTATCTTAAGCTCAGAAACTAACATGTTGTCTCTCAGGGGAGTAGTTGTTTAATCATTGGGCTCAGTCTAGGTATCCTTGTTGAAACCGTTGTCCTTCACCTTTGGAGGTACCAGATCTTTCAACTGTAGTGTATCATCAGGTTAACTACTTTGAATCTCTGTGTTGTGGGCAGTGTGATTGGATAAATGAAAATGAGCTTTGGATTCTATACTGTGATGTGGGGCAAAGCAAGAGAGGATGCAGCCAAAGCATGCAGCAAGTGTATATGGGCAGTCACTTTTAGTTGGTTTTGTACCCATTTGAAGATGGATGCGTGATCATCTTGTCTAATCAATATCTTTATACTGTATATTATGTAAATTATATTATTTTCATCGAATTTTGTTCTTATTATTATTCTTTTAAAAAAAAAATATAATTTCAATTGTAGACCTTTTCTTTAGTAAATTCTTAAGTCAGCTATTCTGAGAAACGGCTATTTTAATCAATTCAGCTAAATCATATATATAAAAGTAAGGTTTCACTCTCTCTTTATTGGTGGAAAAATATTTAAGGATTTAATTAAAAAAAAAAAATGTTTATGACAATCATTCAATACAAAATTTAATTATACTATAAGTTATAATCATCAAATGGCAAAGAAAATGAAAGAACTTAATCATATATCATTCAACAAAATAAATAAATAAATAAATGTTTATGACAATCATTCATTACAAAATTTAATTACACTATAAAGTTATAATCAAATGGCAAAGAAAATGAAAGCACTTAATCATATATCATACAACAAATTTTATAAGCCTTATTGGTGGAAAATTATTTAAAATCATATATATATATAATATATATTCTCAATTGTTCCTCTCTCTTTATTGTTCCATTTTTTATTTATTTTTTAAAATATAATATTTATTTTTATCCAAAAAAACACATTTAATCATATACATTAATTCATACTTTAAATTCAAACTTTACTACTAAAATGAAACTGAAAATTATATAAATTTCCAAGGACTATTGGTTTTCTTTATTGAATTTTAATTAAACACACTATAAATTATAATTAGGGGGAATTTCAAAAATACCCCTTTTCATATACCTCTTTTTAAAAATACCCCCTTTTCAAACTTTATCAAAAACCCACTAAAAATGTTGAAATTTATCCAAATATGTGTGTAAACTTATAAATATATACAGAAATTACCTTTATATGTGTCTAAAACTTTATACACCTTTCATATAAAGCGTAAAAATAAATTATAAAAACCTTATAAAAACCTTATAAAACCGTATAAACCCTTTTAAAAACCTTTTAAAAACCTTATAAAACTTATAAAAACGATTTAAAACTATTTAAAACATTTTAAAATATTTGTATCGAATCTCGCAGTAGTAGTTAATATATATAAGTACCTTATAAACTATATAAAACTTTATAATTTTTTATATTTAAAAAGGGGTATTTTTGAAAATGGATAGATAAAAGGGGTATTTTAAAAAAGGGATACACCAAAAGGGGTATTTCTCAAAAATTCTCTTATAATTATAACTCCTCTAATTTAATTATTTTAAAAATGTAACTTACATCACTTCTTATCATATAAATAGCCATTCTAACATCCTTTTCTACCATATCTCATATCTTCATTATTCTCTTTGTTTTTTTTTAAAGTTCTTGCATGGGGTGAAAACTCATTTAAAATATCATTGTAAGAGTTTGATTAATTATTTAGTTTAAACTTTTGTTTTCAATTTTATTTATTTTTTGTTTTTATGTATTTCTTTATGTGTTCATTGTTTTTTATATTTTTAACTGTAATACATATGTATAATAATATTTTATGGTTATAAGAAAATCAAGCTAAAGAAACTATCTTCGTTCTTTTACTTTGGATGTTTGTTTCTTTCTCACATATTCATGTATATTTAATTTATTTTCAAAAGTATGTAATTTTTTAACAAAATAAACTTTTTGTTATATAATTATCAAACCAATTTGTAAGACATTCTTTTAAGAATAATGATTCTTATATTTAGTTTGTGATTCAACATGTAATAATACAAAGAACATTATAATTTGTTTTAACTTTGAATTTTACACTTGATTTCCTATCAAAAAAACAATTTGACATTCCATTTTCTATCTATTATATATACTACAAGGATGAAAAATATAATTAAACCTAGAAATATAACTTAAATTAAGAGGAATATAAAAAGAGATTAACAATAAAATTATTTCTTGGGAATTTTTAAGGTTTCACTCTCTCCTTATTGGTCCATTTA